GCCGAGGATCTGAGTGAAGAATGACCTTGACCTGTTCACCGTTCTGTCTCTCACATGTTCCAGGTGTCAAGAATGATTATGTTTGCCTCACAGTGGCAGATCTCACATACACCTTCCTCCCCGATCACACCCTCACTCTCTCTCTCTCTCACACACACACACACAAACACACCCACACAAACACACAGACGTCCTTTCACACTCACACATACTTATTCTCAGTGGTTTCACCATCCTGATCCCCTTGCCCGTTACCCCCCATTCCAGCTCTAAATTCCCCTCTGTGCAAATAAATACTTCCTGGTGTCTGTCCTGAAGTTGCCCCTCGCTCTCCCTCTCCCCAGGGGAGCAACCGAAAGGGAAGGATTATTCCCATTGACATATCCACCTCAGCTTCACTCTTCCAAATGGTTAATCACTGCGGGAGTGGTGGGGGCAATGGAGGGTAAATTAACCCCTAAAAGTGAGCGAGGGGGCGGCACAGGAAACCGGCTTTGTGGGGAAACTGCTGTGTGCAATTGACTACTGCGTCTGGCCCACAAAAAACACAGTCACTACACTTTTCAGTATATTGTGTGAAGCGCTTTGAGACGTCTCAACAACGTGATAAGGCGCTGTATCAAATGCAAGGATTATTATTATTATTGGGATGTGGAAAACCCAGTCAAGTGAGGACCCAGAGGCAGAATCTATTATAAATAAATCCATTGTGTGTTTCGAGAGGGAAGGACACAGGTATATGAAGGATAGAAGCTTGGAGGATGTTTGGGGATAGGGCAGGGAAGTGGGATTGGATGGACAGCTTGCTCTGACAGCCTTGTGGACTCGATGGGCCTCTCGATGGGCCTCTTGATGGCCTCTTTCTTGCGGGGGGCATTAGACCGGTGTCTTGACACATATGGAAACCCATCACCAAAGGGAAAAGGGTGAAAGAGTTCTCTTGGGATGAATGGCCTCCTTCTACGACGTAATGTCTACGACTCTAACAGTGATGGACCTGGCTCCTAACTTTACTGCATGTAAAATGTATGTGCCAGGTATACCATGGGGTGGGGGCCGGAAATCTATCGGATCCTTTCGATACAGGTGCAAGGCAACATTGGATGTGATAGCTATTAACCACGTTAAGACGGGATTCCACACCCCGGCTGGCCTCCATCATCATCATCCACTGGGCAAAATTCAGCATGAAAATTCACATCCCATGTTTCATTTTCGCCCCTTGCACCACCGTCAGGGCCTAGGGGGAGGCAGATTTGTCGTTGACGTCCTTGCCTTTGTACTTTGGCTCAGACCTAGAGAGAGAGAGAGAGAGACAGAGAGAGAGAGAGAGAGGTGGGGAGGGTGGGGTTAATCATTGGGTTCAGAGCATGTGGTGTTTAGAAGCCCTCATTTGCAAACAGACGGCATCTCAATACGCTTCATAGGGAATTGTTACCAAGTGGAGTGGGACTGTATGTTTTGTGGGTGAATGTGGCAGCCAATTTACGCACAGCGACGTCCCACAAACAGCCGTGAAGTGAGCGCGCGAATATTATTTGGGGAATTGTCGGTCAGGACACTGGGGAGAGAGAAATCTTTAACGTCCCCCTGACCAGGCCGGGCAAATGTCTGACAGTAACATCTGTGTACGTACCAGACTCTTCGCCTCCGCTCCACTTCAAACCTGAGCGAGAAAATTGAAAATCAAAACCGTTTCAGAGGAGCCTCTGTCTTTACCGCCTGTCGCTCGCTCACTCACTGAGAAACATATTATAACCCTTCAGCTTCTCTGCCCCCAGCCTCTGGAAACACTCCATCCCTGAATACCTCCACCTTGCCCCCGCCCTCCCTCCCTCGCCTCCTTCAAGGCACATCCCAAGACCTTCCTCTTTGAACATTGCCTTGGTCACCCTCCTACCCCCAGACCCTCCATGCCCATCACCCCTCCTGATCCCAACCCCAGCTTGAGAGCAAACCCTTCACTGTCCAGCGCTTTGGGATGTCCTCCGGAACGTGAAAGGTGCTGCGCGTGATTGCCTGAGTGTGTGAGTGTGCGAGTGTTTGATTGCCTGAGTGTGCGAGTGTGTGATTGCCTGAGTGTGCGAGCGTGTGATTGCCTGAGTGTGCGAGTGTGTGATTGCCTGAGTGTGCGAGTGTGTGATTGCCTGAGTGTGCGAGTGTGTGATTGCCTGAGTGTGCGCGTGTGCGAGTGTGTGATTGCCTGAGTGTGTGATTGCCTGAGTGTGCGCGTGTGCGAGTGTGTGATTGCCTGAGTGTGTGAGTGTGAGAGCGTGTGAGGTGTATTACAGCAGACACTCACCGCTGCTGAAGCCGGAGGTTCTCTGTGACAGAATGAATCATAGCACAAATCCTGTGACAAACACAGCTCAGTGAGATCAGTGTAAAACACGCCCATCCATCTCTTCCTCCCCGTCCCCCCCTCTCTAACCACCTCCCCCCCCTTCTCTCTCTTTCTCACACGCACACACTCTCTGAACGGTAATTCTCTTTTATACCAATTGAATGCCCTGTGATTTGGAAAGCTCGTCATGAGGCAACTCTGTTAGACTGAGCAATAAACAGCCCACCATCATTACACACATACACACTACCCCCTACCTCTCCCCTCACCCACCCACCCACACACAGAACACATATTAAACCCTCACAGACGCATCACGCCCACAAAATACACAGTCATGCCGCGTTACAGTATAATAACAATCCTTGCATTTGATATAGCGCCTTATCATGTCATTGAGATGTCTCAAAGCGCTTCACGGGATCTATCGTAGTGTAGTGACTGTATAGTTTGTGGGTGAAACGGGGCAGCCAACTGCACATGGCAGTGACCCACAAACAATCGTGGATTGAGTGAATCAAACCCAGGTCCTCTCGCTTGTGAGGCGAGTGCGCTAACCACTACGCTACCGCTACGAGACTCCACAGTATGTTTTGTGAAGCACTTCAAGATGTCTCAAACAAAGTGATCAGAAAATATAACAAATGTGCTTATTATTACACATACTCAGAAAAACATATACACCACTTCACACATGACTTCACACTTGCTTACACACACCCACAGCTTATCTACTCACATCAAAATTCTCGGTAGAAACTCTGCAAACCATATATAGTTGAAACTGAAAAAGGGAAGAGGCAACAGGTCTTGTTGAGTCCTGTAAAAAAATTGTTAATAATTCGATAGGCAGCGGTAAGAGTATAGTGTTTATTTTACAAAACAAACAGTAAAGCTCACTATCTTTAATTAACTTTATGGCATACAACAACACAATAATAATACGACAAAAATATACGAAACAAACCAGACACTGTTCCGTACTCCAGACCAAACAGTAGACCTGGGCTCACACCTTGACATACACTGGAGAGATCAGCCCCTGGAAATACCCCTCAGAGACAACTGACTCTCGTAATACCAACACTGAACAGGGATTGGCGTCTCGTAAACCCTCGGACCCAACCAGTCATACACAACAATATTCCATCGACAATAGTAACACCAAATCACAGAGAGTGGCTACGGTAAACCAGCTATTAGCCCAGCACCTCACTCGACATCTGGTTTTCCCCAGACCAACCGCTACTGCTGTTATTACTTCTCTGCCTCTTTCACTTTCACACTGGAAGTAAATTCCCTCACCCCCCCCAGTACATAGACATAGATACAGTAGAATCGATATGGATTCCACTGGGGACGTGCGCTGACCTTCTGCACAACTCCAACTCTTTCAAAGTTACATCACACAGAGCCTAATAATAATCCCTCCAAAACCAAAAACAATAATAAATTGGTCATTTTCAATCCATGACTGTTTGTGGGACATTGCTGTGCGCAATTGGCTGCCGCGTTCGCCCACAAATATACAGTCAATTCACTTTACAGTGTGTTCTGTGAAGCGCTTTGGGACGTCCTCCCGACGTGAAAAGCGCTATATCAAATGCAAGGATTATTATTATTATTATTATTATCTTTCTCTTATTTGTTTCTGACACCACCTCCCCTTGTCGCAGAGAGTTTTGTGGGCAGCAACAACAACAACTTACATTTACATAGCGCCCCCTCACACAGGAGAGAGTCCCAGAGCGCTGAAGGCTCGATTGCACACAGCAACCTCCACCAACAGCCATGAAGCGAACGATTAATCTTATACGGGAGGATTGTTGGCCAGGACACCGGGAGAGAGAGAGAGAAACTCCTTTCTCCACAGGATGTTTAACTTCCTCCTGAACGGGAACAGACGGACTCTCGGTTTAGGGTCTTATCCGAAGGACTTCGTCTCTGACAATGCGATGCTCTTGCCCCCCCAGCGCTGCACTGGAGTGTCAGTTTAGACTTAATCCCTGACGTGGGGCTTGAACTCCACAACCTTCTGACTCAGAGGTGAGAGCGTTGCCAACTGATTAACTATTTGGAGTTGAGGTACAGATCAGCCATGATCTCATAGAATGGTGGAACACGCTCGAGTGGCTGTGAATGGCCTATTCCTGCTCCTATGTTCCTGTGTTTCTGTGACCCTATGACTGAGCTAGGCTGCCTTACACAGAATCAGATTTGTTCTAAAGGAAGCGCTCTAGAGTAACGTGAAATATGTCATCCCGACCTGCGGGAACTTAGCTCCAATTTCCTATAAAGAAACACCGCAAATTAGCGTTCGAGTTTCAGTGTAGCCGAAACGCCAAGGTTTAATGTCAGGTTACCTTGATGGAGGCTGCTCTTCATCACAGGAGCTGTCCTACAAAATAAAATTAATATAAATAATAAATAATCATAATATTCCTTGCCTGTCACGCTGCGCCTGTAACTGCAAAACATCTCAACGCACTTCACAGGGAATTGTTGCCAAATTTAATGACTGTCAACACGGCAGTCAATTTACGCAAGGCGATGGCCCACAAACAGCTGTGAAGTGTTTAAGGGAATATTATTTGGGGGATTGGCGGCCAGGACGATGGGGGAGAGAGAGGAACTCCCTGCTCTCTCTCTATCTCAAAATCTTTAATGTCCACCTGACCAGGCAGACATCTGGTATTAACATCTAATCTGATTGATGGCACCTCTCATGATGGAATGCTTCCCCCCCAGATCCGACTCTGAAGACTCAGCGCTGATCTTGAGCTTGAAGCTCAAACCTTCTGAGTGAACAGAAACCTCAGCCTTACCTCCAGCATTTCGATCTTCTCCTCCTCCAACTCTCTCACACTGTTCTCATTGTCCTGAGAGCAAGGAGCACAGAAGAGAGGTCAACATCCCAAACCTACAGTTTCTGTTCCCCAACCACCACCCAACCAATCAATCAATCAATTGATCAATCAATCAACCAACCACCCGACCACACAACCACCCAACCAACCAACGAGCCCACCCTTCCAACCAACCACCCATCTACCCATCCAATGAACCAACCAACCACCCAAAAACCCCAAAAACCAACGAACTAACCAGCCAACCAACCAACCAACCAATTAACCAATTAACCAACCAAATGGCTTGTTACTGTGATCGCCATGGGGTATCCCAATTCCTGCGGCTCTGCTTCCTGCTCCGGGATCACGGGAATCTCCATCGCTCTCCCCTGGGAAAAGGAGTCACACAGAGAATCACAAACACAAACACATAGTCACAAAAAAAAATAATAATATGGTCAGTGCTGTGCTTAATTGGATGCCGCGTTTTGCCCATGAAATACAGTCAATTCACTTTACAGTATGAAGCGCTTTGAGACGTCTCAAAGGTGTGATAAGGCGGTTTATCAAATGCAAGGATTATTATTATTGCTGCGCATCATATAACTGTGTGTTTGCAGGCGAAAGCAACTATTTTCACATATCGATGTGCCGCACACTCTAAGAGAAGCGCACAGCTTGGCTTCCTGTGTGGTTTCTGACCCTTTGATGCGTGAAGGTACAAGTGCAATTAAAGTGCAAAATAGGAATTGAATTCACCAGTTTCCACATCTCGAGAAAGTTATAACGTCGTCAGTGAAACTGAGGGAGGGGTAGAGAGGCAGGCAAACCAGATGGATTGTAACCTGACCGTCCACCGTTTCAGTAAAAACACGCCCAGATTTTCACGTCTCTCCGCATAACTCTAACCTCTAATGCCCTCTCCATAGCTGTCGTATCCTGACACTCATGGGAATGTGCCTGAAATTGGAGGAAACTATATGTATCCGCAGGCTAAACAATGTCCTGTCAAAATTTAACACTACTTACGCTTGAGCCGTTTTCGAATAACATTCAGAAACCGCTAGACTCCAAAACAATTTCTGGATGATGCAATTTGCCATCAACATTTACTGCAGAAGCTGCTGACTGTTCACCCAAGTAACTGCAAACTTACCACGGCAGCGGGAATCATTGCAATCCTTTGCAATCCACATGACATTCACACACAGCGGCTTTGAGTTCTGGAACGTGTTTTACACCGCTCACCAGGCATCTGAGCTGGTGGGGGGTGATGGGGTGTGGGGGTGGGGGGGGCGCGGGGGGGCGCGGGAGAAAGATGATCGAAAGAGCAGTCACAGAGATACGTCGGCTGATCAACATCTGTATTAGGATTGATACTGACCCTGCAGGCTTCTTTCTCATTGCTCAGGAATGTCCCACAAAGAGCGAGGGTGACCACTTTTATCTCGGGGATTGTCAACCAGGATAATAATAATAATAATAATAACTCTTGCATTTGATACAGTACCTTATTATGCCATTGAGACGTCTCAAAGTGCTTAATAATAATAATAATCATAATAATCCTTGCATTTGATATAGCGCTTTTTACATCCTCTAGACATCTCAAAGCGCTTCACAGAATATACGGTAAAGTGGAGTGACTCTATATTTTGTAGGGGAAATACCGCAGCCAACTGCGCACAGCAGGGTCCCACAATCAGTCGTAAAGTGAGTGTCTATGTCAAATGCAAGGATTATTATTAATATTATTATTAACATTTCATCCGGGGACTGTCCAGGACATGGGGGATGTGTAGTCAGCGTAGCTGAACCCGAAAGGTTGTTGTGATCTTAGACAAAATGGTCTCACACACGAGAATTTCAAGCCTCGGATCAACACTGAACTCCCCAAATGGCTTCGCTTGGTTTTTGTCGCTCTCAATATTTCTACGTGATGACTGATGAGTCAACTCTACAGAAATTTCTTCCTGCCCCGCTCTCTGGTAACTGTTTTGGCCAAAGATCAACTATTGCTTCACGCCTAACCACATGCAAAGCACAATCATTGAAAGAAAGAGAGCTGCAGTGTAAACCGCTCTGATCTAGTTGGTGTGATAATGGTCACACCTACTCACTCAGGGAGATCAAAAGCACGGTTGAAGAAGAGGGTCTTGAAGGTGGTGAGGGAGGGGGTGAGGCAGAGGAACTGCGGGGTGGAGTTCCAGAGGGTTGGGGCAGAGTGGCAGAAGGCCCACCCGCCAATAGTGGGGCGAGAGAGGTGAGGGATGTGAAGCAGCCCGGAGCCCGCTGAGTGGAGGGAGCGAGCAGGATGGTAGGGGATTAGGAGGTGGCAGAGATCGGGGGGAGCGAGGCCATGGAGGGCTTTGAATGTGAGGACCAGGATCTTGAACTGTATCCTCTGTGTGATGGGAAGTCAGTGGAGTTGGGCGAGGATGGGGGTGATAGGGTCTCGGAGCCTTGTGCTTGAGAGGACATGGGCTGCAGACTTCTGGATGATCTGCAGCCTATGGAGGGAGGAGTTGGGGAGGCCGACAAGGAGGGAGTTTGTATAGTCGAGCCGCGATGTATGTAAGTGTGTATGAGGGTTTCAGCGGTCTGCAGTGTGAGACAATTTGTGGTTTGTTGGCCAGGACACCAAGAGAGAGAAACTCCCTAAATCCGGTGGCATCTCACAATCGTAAATGCTCCCCTCCATCCCTCCCCAGTATCTGGCCCCAAGCAATGTTTGTGCGTGGGCTGTGGGGTGGGAAGAGGCGACAGAGTGGGACTCGGAGAGAGGTGAAATTTGAAATATTTAACAATGGCATTCCTTACTCCGTCTGGGTAATGGAAGAGACTTCCTCCACCCCCATTATCTCCACCCATCTCCATCTGGAGCGCAGTAATTCTAACATAACAAATACCATTACGAAATCATGCAGTTTAGACTTGCCTCATTCACAAGAAACACACAGTCCCTACACTTTTACAGTGAGGTGTTTGATGATACCTCGAGGACCAGAAAGTTCGTAAACGAGTTGAGAGCAACTGGCCCTGAATTGTCAATGTGTTTTGTGATTATTTCTTCCCACCATTGTTCAACGCTTATCTGATTCTGTTTAATGAGCAATAAAGTTGTGGGATCCTGTGGTGTAGTGGTTGACTCGCAAGCGCGAGGGCCTGGTTTCTCGGGTGGGGCAAAACCGTAATTTCCTTTCTCCGCATTTCCGTTCTCCACACGCTTCTGTTTATGTAACAATAAGTAGGCACGTGGTTGTTAGTTACTTTTCCAGTTCTAATAACCCCTTAAATAATAATAATAATAATAATTTGTTTCACCCGCAAGATACACAGTCACTACACTTTACGGTATATCCTGTGAAGCACTTTGAGACGTGGTAAGCGGCTATATCAAATGCAAGGGTTATTATTACAATTAAAACAACCGATCGTACATTAAAAATCACTAACTTTATTTTAACCAGTGAGAGCGATAGTGAGAGAAAAGGAAGGAAGGGCAGGACAGGAAAACGAGAGGGTCCTGCGGGGCTGTTGTGATTGAATGAATGTTTGTGGAGTGAGTGGACGGCCGCTGAGGTGGTGGGAGGAGAGGGAGGAAAGGAAACAGGAGGAGAATGATGGGGGAGACAAACAGACAGACAGACAGACAGACAGACAGACAGACAGACAGACAGACAGACAGACAGACAGACAGAGAGACAGACAGACAGACAGACAGACAGACAGACAGACAGACAGACAGACAGACAGACAGACAGACCAACCGACAGACCGACAGACCGACAGACAGACAGACAGACAGACAGACAGAGAGGGGAGAAAGAGAGAGAGAGAAAGAGAGGAAGGATGAGCACTGCTATGTGATTAACGTAAACAGGTAAAGACCTTAAAGTTCGCTCAGAGGTTTGTCGGTACACACAGAATCTTCAGCGAACACAGAGACGTGCACGTCTGCATCTCAAACAAAGGAAACACACTAAAAAAAATAGTTGTCGATTGCGTTACCCACTTCTGTTGTAGCTAATTCTCTCTGGCGCTGTCTCGCTCTCGCTCTCTCTTGCTCGCTCTGTTGGTCTCGCTGTCTCTCTCAGAAAATATAAACCTTCGGTGGGAGGAACTACGAAAACGTCTTCAATTGCGTCACAGAGGGTGGGGCGAAGAGCTCAAAAACTTAACCCTTAACCTCTTTCAATCCAGAAGTGAATCCATCTTATAAGATCATGGAATCAGGAAGGGTGGAGGGCAATGAGGGTGGGGACAGGAGGGTGACTGAAGAAGAGGGCCTTGAAGGAGGTAAGGGAGGTTGTGAGGCAAAGGGACTGTGGAATGGAGCTCCAAAGAGTGGGGGCAGAGAGTCTGAAGGTCCGACCACCGATAGTGGGGCAGGCAGGGCACGGGACATGGAGCAGTCCGGAGTCTGCTGAGCAGAGAGCGCAGACAACATAGGACACTGTGGGAAAAACCCACTTGCGGTCAAAACAGGCCATGCCCCTTAAATCCAGCCCGAGTAAGATAGGAAGTGGGTTCAACCGCCAAGTTGTGGCACGTCCCTTTGAGCAGAAGCTGCCTTTAACAATGTGTAATGCAAGCTGGAAAGGAAGGAACTCGAGCAGAAATATCTAAACTAAACCAGACACGGTGAAGTTTCCCCACCCAACCTCAAATTTCTTTGAGGTTAGAACACTTTGCGTACTTGTCTGCACAAAGAATGCACACGCCAACCACCTCGCCCCACCAAATACAATTGTACACTGCTCTGGGACGTATCGAAAGTGTCAATCTGCATGGAGTCCTGTTAGAGCACTCGCCTCGCAGGCGAGAGATCGTGGGTTCGATTTCCGAGCAGGGCAAAATGTTAGGCAAGTTTCCTTACTCCACACGCCTCTGTTTATTTAGCAGGAAATAGGAACCTGATTGTTGGTCGCTTTTCCGGGGGAGAAATAAACCCTTCAAAATAATAATAATAATTTGCTCACTCAATCCACGACTGTTTGTGGGACACTGCTGTGCGCAATTGGCTGCCGCGTTCAGACGTCTCAAAGCGCTTCACAGGATATACTGTAAGTGGAGTGACTGTGTGTTTCGTGGGCGAAATGCGGCAGCGGTGGGGGAGCGAGCACCAACACAGACACGATGGGGAGAGAGCAGGGAATGGGATTAGAGTAGAGAACTCCAGGAGGGGAGAGAGAGGGAGAACCAGGACCTATTTGTTGACCAAAGTGTGAAAGCCGCAATCAGTTAAGTCCTCATAAATGGGGAAGTCTGTTCGGGTCACGTGCAGAGAAAGAAGAAATAGAGTCTTGATGTGCATTGATCACTTTATTCAGTGTAACAATTAGTATTCCACGAACATGTCACCGCCTTTTTGTGAGCGGTCATTAAGCTCCGGGGGGGGGAAAAAAATGGGACGTCTTCTTCTATGGCTGAGCAATACCGATCCCTTGGTTAAAATCACAAAAGAGGACATTTTAGTTTAAAGTTAAATCATTTGACTTTCCTTCCCTGATCTTGACTTCTCTCTCTCTCTCTCTGTCTCTCCCTCTCTCATCACTCTCTTGTTGTAGGTTCAATTCCCACTGTTGGGGAGTCCAGGCTGACACTCCAGCCCTGCGCTGGGGTGGGGTGGGGCTGGGGGGGGAATTACGGGATTGCGGAATGTGGGACGAGCGAAAAGCAAGGGATAGGGAGGGTGGGGGTGGGGTGGGGTGTGGCAGGATGACATCAGAGTCAAATGTAGCTCAGTGGTTTTATTCCCGGGTGGGATGAAACCTTACGCAAATTTCTTTACTCTACACATGGGGGTTGGGGAGGGGGTGGGTGTTGCGTCTTGGAGCGCTTACACAGGTGGTTGCTGCTCATGCTTACCTGCTTCCCTCTCTCACGGATTTGCCCGACATTTTTTCCTCGAGCTCCTTCTGACGCAATCGATGTCTTGAAGGAGCAGAAAATAGGATTAGTCCGCACAGTAACTATCACTTTGAGGGGTTTAAGTGTTCAAGTGTTTGTGGATCCTGGGGGTGAAGAGCATCAAGTGAATTTCTATGTTTTTTGGGAGTTTCCTTTTGGAAGCCGAGTTGTTTGGATCTGGAACGCGTCGCCTGAAAGGCTGGTGGAAGCCGATTCAATAACAACTTTTAAGGGAGAAGTAGATAATTATTTGGGGAGGACAAGTTTGCAGGGCGATGGGGAGAGCGCGGGGGAGTGGGATTCAATTGGAAAAGCTCTTTTCAAAGAGTCGCATAGACCCGATGGGCCAAATGGCCTCCTTCTGTGCTGCAAAATTCTATGATTCTATGATTCTAAGCCTGAAAATGGCAATGGCAGCAATACCTAATGATTGTTTTTTCACAATCCTGTTTCGTTCAAGGAAAAAGCCCTTTAATACTTAAAATTTACCAACTGGATCCAGAATTGAGAATTCTGAGGCCTGTGTGATCTGTGCTAATATTCATGTTGTGATCGTGTTGTACAAAGAGGATAAACAACCTGGTGATTAATTAATTACATAACCATCCCATACCACTGTCCTTTTGTTGGAAATGCAAGGATTATTATTATTATTATTTACACTAATGCAACTGGCTGCCGCATTTCACCTACAATATACAATTACTACACTTCACAGTATATCCTGTGAAGCGCTTTGAGAAGTTTCAAAGATGTGATAAGACGCTATATCAAATACAAGGATTAGTATTATTTCGATGCAGCGCTGACCAGGGAGGGATTCCCAACCTCCCCCACTCCAGCGCGTAATTCAGGGACAACAGGTTTATTATCACAGAGCGGGAAGCATTTAACAAGCACAAGTAGGGAATTTTCCGTGGTGTGCGTCTGTGCCTGTACTCACCTCGGATAGTTCTCTCGTTAGATTTGGACATTATTGGCCACCGCACATACTCGTGCAAAAATTCACCAAAGAGAAATATGATCCATGTTGTAATTATCATTGTCCTGTTGCCTTGAGTTGGGACTGAAATGACCGGCCACTCGAAGCCTCGCAGCTTTCTGACCACAATCTGAGGTCACCTCTGATGCCTGGCCCTGTCTCTGTGAGGTGACCCATGAGATGCAACAATCGTTGATCATCATCACGTCCAAGTCACCAGCGATCGGCTGGTCATCAATCTTAATATCTATAATAATAATAATCCTTGCACTTGCTATCGCAGCTCAGCAGTGTCCCACAACCAGTCACGGATTGAGAGGCCACATTTTTTGTTTAGGGATCACCCTCGGAAAGCGATTTGCCAATCAACTAACAACCGTGTTACTACTTACTGCTGGGGAAACAGAGGCGTGTGGAGTTAGGAAACTTGCCTAAGGTTTCGCCCCGTATGGGAATCAAACCCAGCTCCGATTTTTTTTGGGGGGAGGGGGTGCATTATTACCCCCGGAGAGCAATCCGCCAATCGACAAACAACCAATGGTATAATTTGTTTTAAATACAACGATTTTACAATGTGGTATTAGATGCGTGGTTTTATAAGTCTCCAAAGCAACGTATTAATTTTCTATTTACATTACATTACGAACAAACCAAAAACAACAGGAAAAATGTCATTCAAGAGGGACGTCGCTAAACCCGTCCTCCGCCTTGTATTCCTTGTTGGTTTCTTTACGGTCGTTGAGCCGGATGTTGGACGGTTCTGGGGACCACAGCCGGCATCTCACCCTTCGCTTCAGTTGATGCATTTGGCTTCTGATCTTGCCCTTTACTAGAGAGCTCCAGGTGTCTAACCTGCTCCTCAGCCCCAGCTCAGAGAGCAACCCTTCACTGCTCTGCTCTCTCTGCAGGGAGTCGGGGCTGATGTTTGTCTGTCCCGAGCAGCCTGACTGTGGACGAGGGTCCCACACGGTGAACCAGAGAGATAGGTTCTGATCCTCGGAGAAGACCGGGCTATCACTGTCCTCGGACAAGGTGTCATCACTGTTGTCTGAACTGCTGTAGTCACTGAAATCCGGGGACATCTGATGAATCAGAATTGGCTCCAAAGTGTTGGGAACGTGCTCCCGAACCTTTCTGATGGTTTCTGTCCAGCTCTTTCCATTGGGCATTGAGACACCCTCAGACTTCTTGTCACTCGATTCCAATCCTACCCGTCCAGCGCTGACCACATCTCCAGCCTTCGTCAGAGTGACCTCCCTTTGCTGCCCAAACCTGCCGCCTTGCGACTCGACCACCCACTCTCCATTGGCCACCGAGCTGAGGATGCCATGGACCGAGGTCCCAGGGCTCTCCGAGATGGGGGGCACAGGCAAGTCTTCTGTGGCCTTTGTGGCCCGGGTCCTATTTCGGAGCATGGTAGTCACCTCCCCCTCCACCTGACAAAACAGGCGCTCTGCATCCGAGAGCTTTTCACCTTCCCTGAAACACTCCACCATTTCACGGCTGGAATCTCAGGGCTCTCAGAGCTCTGGGTCTTGCGTTGCTCTGAAATGGGAATGGGAGAGACAGAGAAGGCTAGGCCTCCTCATTGCCCAACGCTTTTCCCTTGTTATTGGCTGAAGTGATGGAATGCTCCCCTTTGACACACACCTACACAGAGGACATGGTGGTGTGGGGATGCTGATACCTGCCCCAACGCTGGTTTCCTAAACTGCAAACCAGCTTTTGGGCTTTGTGATGTTAGAGCTGAAGATGTTGATGATTTGGACATTGATGTAACAGTAGATTAACATCACCAAGGTTAGCTAGGCTGGTGTAATGGGAGCCGGTGCTGGGGTTAACAGTGTGGAAAGATGCTGGCTATGGCAACAACAACAACAACAAACTACATTTGCATTTACACAGCGCCTTTCACATTGGGAGGACGTCCCAAGGCGCAGGACGGTCAGGGATTTGGATCAGGAGGGGTGGAAGGCAGGGAGGGGGTGATCGAAGGCGCGGTTCAAGAGGTAGGTTTTCAGTTGCGATGTGAAGAGGGGGCGAGGTGGAGGGACTGAGGCTGGACAAGGTTCACCTTCCAACCAATGACTGATGCAGTCAAGTGAGGGATAAACACCCTCCTCTCACTCACTCACACACGCAGACACACATCCAGACACAAAGACAAAGACATACACGCACACAGATACACACACACGAATAACCCTAACACTGATACACTAACACACACACAGCGCAGTCTGCTCCTGCGCTTCACATTGGGCCGAGTATACGATGTTTATAACAGTTTTTCAGGAATGACTGGAAACTCCCCTGAGTATAAAACAGCAACAGGTTTATTAGCAACCTGAAGTCACTCGTCATTGTTATCCTATTTCTGTAATAATGAGACACAGATTAGTCGCGGGTGGGGGGGGGGCAGTCAGAGAGCATCACGGGGCAGAACCAGAACCGTGGCCCTTCTCCAGTCAAACCTCGGAGACGTCAGAAAGGATTTGGTAACGTCAGCGGAGACTAGTGAGGGCGTCCCACCGTCTCCGGGGATTCCGAAGCAGCTTCCTCCGAAGCAGAATTCCTGCAGAGTTCCTCTTGTGTGTGTGTCTCCGTGTGTCTGTGCATGTCTGTACGTGTTTATGTCGGTGTGTGTGTGTGTGTGTGCGTGTGTCTCTGTGTCTGTGTCTATGTGTCTGTGTGTGTGTGTGGGGTGTGGTAGAACTCAGTTGTTGACAAGGGCATAAAAGACAACAACCCACGTACACACTGGGTGGATGGCAGGTACCAGGAACTCCCTGCGAGTTACAACAGGAATGCCACGAGGCACAAAAACAACCGCGCAAAAAAGTGCGCGTGAACATTACCGCACAGTTCGCCCCAACCAGTTAGTTGTTTAGTTACAGACATTTCACACCGAATAGCTCATTTACTCCCCACACCAACGCAATAGAATTTTCACGACTCGCACTTTTTAAAATCCCGATCACAAAGCTCGCTGTCCACACAAATTTCCAACAATAAGAATAACAATAATCCTGGCATTCGATATAGTGCCTTATTAGGTTTTCGAGACAAGTCACAGCGCCTCACAGAATATATTGTAAAGTGGACTGACTGTGCATTGTGTGGGTAAAACGCCAATTGCGCACAGCAGAGTCCCTACAAACAGTCGTAGATTCAGTGACCAAATTATTACTTTTTTAACAAAGAATACTTATTATAATAATACTACTACTACTAATAATAATCCTGGCATTCAATACAGCGCCTTATCACGTCTTCGAGACGTCTCAAAAGCACGTCACAGAATATACCGTGAAGTGAATTGACTGTATATTTTGTGGGCTAAACTTGTCGGCTTCTTAATATTTTTTTACAGGCATTAATTACATGTTTTTTTAATATATAAAAGCACTAAAATACGCTTGGCATTTCATCTCACACACGTATTGCACTTTGACTGTGGTAAAAAGTGATGTAATGCCACCACAGGGGAGCGCTATTGTTACAGCGAGAAGGTGTTGTCCCGGGCAAGTGGCAGCTCAGGATATAACCCATGTTTTTTTTGGGGTCAGCCTGGGGGGGGGGGGGGGTCTGACACATGCGGAAACCCATCACCATGCTTAAGGGCCTCCAAACCAAACTGGGAATTCCATGCATCCCACCCACGCATGGAAATTCCAGAGAAAGCAGAGCAGGAAGGTCTGAGCCCGGGGGAGGGACACAGGTACAGGGGGAGGCCATTCAGCCCCTCAAGCCCGTTCCACCATTCTATTAGATCACGGCTGATCTGTATCGCGACTCCAATTACCCGCCTTTGCCCCATATCCCTTACATGGGTGGTTTGCTACATTGAACAAACCGCAACTGGAATCTGATTTGCTTTATCCTTAATCTCTACCAGTGTTATTTGGAAAAGGGGGTGAAGAGATGCGAGGGGAGGAGGGGGCAAGCGAGGTAGGGGTTGGGGGGGGAGGAGAGAATTATCTGGAGGAATTATTCACAGAGAGGGAGGGAGGGAAGGATTCTCGCTCTAAGGGTGAAATTGGAGCCTGTTGGTTTCTGGGCAGGATGCCATCTGAGACTCCTACTGAGAGTTCACACCTTCCTGCAAACCAATCAGGTGTGGGGAAAAAAAAATGATTAAAACCTGTCATGTGAGCATTCCTGGCATCTTTGAGTAACCAAACACAGAAGCAGGTGATTTCTCATCACACGATTCTCTGGCAATAACATATGGGCAACGACATGCGAGAGGCCTTACCATGCCCCCACCCGCCCCGGGCTACCAGAATACTTGAGCGAATTTGTGCCCTTCGTATCAGCGCAGAGTTTAAAAGGAGAGACCCTACTGATATCCTCTGATATTTAGCTTTTCATTCTCCGTGTGTGAGGGGAATAATCACATGGTGCAAATTTACCGTCCACCATTCTCAGTGGTGTGTCCCCACTCCCATCTGTTCCCCCGGCTTCAGCACAGTGGTTGAGTCTGAAGCCATCTGGAGTCTGCGGGCTTTGAGCCCTACCCCATTATGCCAAATATATGGGATGGAGGGGGGGGAATCACACCACAATTGACCACAATATTTCCACCATGTGATAATTATCACATCACACTCCGCACTATTCACCCCCTGGTTTCTTTAGCTCTGACACAAACATTGAATGCTGAGGGAAATCTCACAATAAAATTAGTTTTTATGCCATTTGAAAATTGGACAGATGTGTTTTTTATCCCTGGATAACTTGCTGCCCCGCCCAGCCTGTGTTTCCAACCCTAACCCTAACCCCAGCAAATCAACCTGACTTGTTTAACCCATTGTTTGTGGCAAATACTTGTAACAGTCACTTCAAGCGCCCCCGCACTGACATTTAATCTTTGACCCTGGCTCGTGAACCCAAATGACCCCAAATTAACTTGGCTATTGTCAAAGACAATACTTTTAGAAAGGAGAACCTTATAGAGTGGACATCCTATAGAACGAGCACTGTACAGAAGGGGTATCCTAAAGGATCACCTTACAGAGGGTTGAATATAGAGGTGGGGGGGACAGGGTGGGACTCTCACCAAGTTGAGTTTAGATTGGCTGGGTTGTTCATTGGGATTTTGATGATGTTATCCGGCCTCTCCCTTGCCCCCCCACCCAGACCAAGTGGTCACTGGTCTTTGGCAGCTTACAATCAGGGGCCCGAGTATTAAAGGGGCAGATCCTGGCATTCAGGATCGAGGGTGGACCCAATGGATTGGACTAAGCAACGGGAACCAAATCATCCCCTCCCTCTTATCCCCCCGCCCCCGCCCCCCCCCCCCCGCCCCCCCCCCCCCCGCCCCCCAACCTCCAACAAAAACAACAGAAGAGGCAGCAGATTTTTACCCATTCCTGAAATTCCGCAATCCTAAACACGGACAAACCCAGCGGAAAACCTTGGGAGTTGATCCCGAGATGTGAAGGAAACTCTGTACGGCAAGATTGATCCCAACACCTCCCTCCCTCCCCACTCCCAAGGGACCCCCTGCCCTGCCCCAACTTCCTAACCCAAACCCCCCCCCCCCCTACCCACCAATCCCAATTTAACCCTTAAAAAAAACTGTTTGCAAATTGGGAATGTGGCCCCGGTCGGGCGGCAAGGAGTTGTGTTCCGTGGTTTGGCTTCAGGACGTTCCCTTCAGATGATGGCAAGTTGGGTATGGTTGCTTGGTGAACATGCTGCAGTTACTGTGGCTTTGAGATGCAGTCTGTAAGCAGGAGTCTGGCAGCCAAGCCAAGCCTGTCCTTGCCCTCCCCCAGGGCACGGCCCGAGCTAAGTCGGGCACAAAACTGGAGAAAGAGAACAAAAATAATAATAATCCTTGCATCTGATACAGCGCCTTATCGCGTCGTCGAGACGTCTCTCGAAGCTCTTCACAGCATCTATCGTGAAACGGATTGACTGTGTATTTTGTGGGCAAAACGTGGCAGCCACTTAGTTCCCAGTTTCCGCCCTTCCTAATGGGATCAGCCTGTCAGTCGGGAATCCGTTCCTGCGTTACCGTGCTTGGGAAGGTCCTGGTCTGAACCCAAGGTCGGCAAGTTGAGGCTGAGGGGAATTGTTCCCTCTGGCTCCCTTCAGTGCAGTCCAGGCCTGAGCGAGTGCGTCAACAAATCGATTCCCATTCACTGAGCTTTCCTCGCACACACTGCAGAGAAGCCTCTCACCTCTCCCGATCTCATTGGGCACAACATTTAAACGCGACAGCTGTGATCCGCTCGATCCCATCACTGGAGTATATCGACCTCTTAAAGCAATCATTATTCTACGTATCATTACCATGTGGAGTCAGTCCTGTAGCTCAGTGGTTACAGCACTCACCTCGCAAGCGAGAGGACCCGGGTTTGATTCCCGGGCGGGACAAAATGTTAGGCAAGTTTCCTTGCTCCACATGTCTCTGTTTACCCAGCCGTAAGTAGGAACCTGGTTGTTAATTGATTGGTGGATTGCTTTTCGGGAGCAATAAACCCTCCAAAAAAAAACAATAATAACGTGGTCACTCAATCCGTGACTGTGCATGGGACACTGCTGCAATTAGCTGCTGCTTTTCACCCACAAAATATACAGTCACTTCAATTTACAGTATATTCTGTGAAGCACTTAGGATCCTGGCCACACACACAGGTCTGGGCAAAGCCCTGGAGTGGCCCACATGTGCCCCCTACCAGTGGTCACGGCCAGAACAGCGTCAGCAGCAGAGGGAAGGGAAACAGATGGGAATTGGGGAACTCTCTTCAATAAACACAGAAGTCTTTCTTTACCCTTTAAAATGTAGTCAGTCAGTAACACCGGCACCTTCTCACTCTCCTCCTTCATCGCCAGAAGAACTGAGGAAGAAGAAGAATTTGATGAAGATAACCAGAGACGTCTTCCCTGCCTCGAAGGCCTGAAATTCCAGCTAGTCTTAGCCTGTTACGCCATTTCGTCCCAAAATCTAAAGTGACGCAGATTATGAGGACAATTCTCGTCTCGGAAACCGTGAAGTGAGTGACCAGTTTTATCTGGGGGTTGTTGGCCAGGACACCGGGAGAGAGAAACTCCTTTCTCTTTTCGAATAGCGCTGCGGGATCTTTAGGGTCCACCTGAACAGGCAGATGGGAAAACTCTATGTTTGGAAGAACCAGGCACCTTTAGATCTAAGGTTCCCAAAGCTCCCCACTGTGCTGTAGACGAAGCCATACAGAATTAACTGCTATCAACATCTCCATTATTGTAGCAAGCGACTGCTAGGGATGGTAGAAGGTGAACTGGAGCGATCTGGGTCTAACTTCGTCTAGCAATTCTTATGTTCCTCCCAAATCCCCAGCATAGATTCCCACTTACTTGTCGTGAGTATCTGAAGATCCTCAACAGTTGGAGGAACTCCCTTCTTTTCATAAGGAATCACCGTGGTGAGATACTGGGGTTAAGAAACAGCAGCTATGAGTCAGCTCAGGGGACAATATGATTTTATAGCACTCATTACCCGAGCTCTTAGAGAGAGATAATGATAATAATCTCTGCATTTGATACAGCGCCTTAGCACGTCGTTGAGACATCTCTAAGCGCCTCACAGGGTACACTGCAAAGTGAATTGACTGTATATTTTGTGGGCGAAACGCGGCATCCAATGGCGGACAGCAGTGTCCCCACAAACAGTCGTGGATTAAGTGTCCAAATTATTAACCGGGTTCCTGCTTACTGTTAGGTAAACAGATGCATGATCGGGAAAGATATTTTAATTAGAATAATTCTCGCATTTGATATGTCGCTGTATCATGCCGAGTTGTCTCAAAGCGCTTTGTGGTTTTCGAGGAAGTGTAGTGACTGTGTATTAATTGTGTAGGCCATGCGGCAGCCAGTTTGCCCAAACAGACAGATGGGATCTCGGATGGCACCTCTGGCAATGCAGCACTCCCCTGGTAATGCGCTGGTCAGAAGGGAAAGGGATAAGATTGAGAGAAAGGGAGAGAAAGGAGAGGGGAGGAGAGGGCAGTAGTACCTGTCTGTCGCTGCCCGAGTTGCCGAAGGTTTGACGAATGCCGCTCTGAATAACACTGGAGATCCCTTCCATGCTGAATCGCTGGGAAAAGAGGGAAAGTCAACATACTCATCACACTCTTTATACCAGACTGCAATATACAGCAACATACAGCAACAACAACTTGCATATATATGTAGGATCTCACTTTGATGGGCATGTGGTTGCCCCTCTCAGGCCGGCTGCTCTGGGGGCTCCCTCCCTTCTCCTTCTTTTTCCTCTTCAATGATTCCCGCTGCTCCTTCTGTTTGTTCTGCACCTCAATCAGGACGGAGATGAAGCTGTTTTTCACCTCCTTCTCGAACTCCAACTCGTCGCGGAGAGCCAGCTGCTGGATCAGCTCCTCCGAGTACCCCCTGGTCTCCCCCTCGATCTCCTCCAGCAGCCCCCTCAGCCCCGCCTCGGGCATCTGCCTCACATCTGTAACATCCAGAGAGAGAGAGAGAGAGAGAGAGAATGTGAGAGAGAGAGAGTTTCCTTACTCCACACACCTCTGTTAACGTACACAGTTTTGGACACGCACCAGACTCCGTGACCCTATCACCCCATCTTTGCCGGCTCCACTGCTCCCCGTTTCCCAGAAGAAAGAATTCAAAATACTGGTCCTTGGCTTCAAAGCCCTCCACCGCCTTGCTCCTCTCTACATTTGTAACCTCCTTCTCGTCGTGTCCGTTCCCTCCGCTCAGCGGGCTCTGCCTTGCCCCACATGCCCTGCCCAGTCTGCCCCACCATCGGTGACTTGGCCTTCAGCCTGTCTGCCCCCACCCTTTGGAACTCCGTCCTACAGTAGCTTCGCTTCGCCCCCTCAATGCCTACTTCAAGGCCCATCTCAAGACACTCTTCTTCGACCGCATCTCCCCCTCGTGCTGAGGACCTGTTGGCAGGACGTTAAAGCTCTGGGGCTCTGTCTTACCGTCTGCCGGGCTGCTGCTTTGGGTCATCTTGACCTCGGTCTCCTCCTGTGAGCAGACAGACAGCTTGTCAGACTGAGACGTCACCTCCTCCTCTTCCTCCTCTTCCTCATCTGGGTCGGGAGAATTCTGCATCATTTCCTCGATCTCCTCAATCACCTGCAACAGTGGCTGACACGATCACTGCAAGGCCGGACATCCGGCTTATAATAATAATAATAATAATCCTTACATTTGATGGAACGCCTTATCGTGTGGTTTGGACGTCTCAAAGCGTTTCACAGGATATACTGTAAAGTGGATTGACTGTAATTAAGGGGAAGAGTAGGAGGGGATTGGGGAAAAGGTGACCGAAAGGAGAGTCAAAGAGTTAGGTCTCAGCACAGCTGGTGCAGGCGGGTGGGTGAGGGATTGGGAGGTGTGTGTGGGTGTGGGTGAGTGTGTGTGGGTGTGGGTGAGTGTGTGTGTGGGTGAGTGTGTGTGTGGGTGAGTGTGTATGAGGTTTGTTGACGTTACCTGATCGGCTGTGAACAGAGGCTCGTCACTGGTTGAGGACACGATGAAGTCTATCTTCTCGATCAGCTCCCCCTCCTCAGTGATTGCCTCCTTGTCGATGCTCTACAGTGAGAACGCGCAGCCAGAGGTAAAGTCATGGCGCTGGTGCTAACGTGGCATCCAACACAGCCCAAGATAACACCGTCCAGGGACCAATCCATCAATCCCTCCCTAACTCACTCCGTCCCTCCCTCCCGAGATCCCTCACACCCATCCTTCCCTCACTGTCTCACTCCCTCACTCATTCCCTATTTCTCTCCTTCCATCCCTGCCTCTCCCTCCATCACCAACTCACTCACAGTGCCACCCTCTCTCCCTCCCTCCTTCTCTCACTCATTCACTCCAAGTACCCAAACCAGACTGAGAGTTCCACGTACATCCCCTCTAACTGAGATTCCCACGTACAGTATTGGGATGGAATAGACACTCTCCCTCCGGAAACGCACTCTGCTTCCCCACACCACCCCAAATCAATCACAGTGTAAGCCCCGCCTTGGTGCCGATCCCACCCCTCACCGGCCCCTCCCCTCACTCACCTCCATGTTGGTCAGGTTCATGTTCAGCTCCTGTAACCTGGCCACCCTCCAGTCCTCACAGCCACTTGTCACATAGTTATCGGTCAGAGCGTCCCAGATCCTGCAACACAATCACCCTGTGTGAGCCACTGGCGCGAACCAAACCCTGGCACAGAGCACGGTGATCCCCGAAGCGCCGGTCAGACTCCAGCAGTTACCCCAATGTGTGCCGTGTGTTAGGGTAACTGCTGGAGTCTAACCGGCCAAAGCCACATCACCCACCATTGAGAGCGCTGTCTGGTGAACTCTGCCGCTGCTTCTGTCCAGCTAGGACCACCCACCCCATTAGGGCTTTGGCTTGCAGGGTATCTTGTGACTGGCAGACAGACAGCCAGACAGATACCTGCTCTCATTCCACCAGAGGAGGAGAGAACAGGGAGAAAGGTGCTGGGACAGAGTGTGACAACGCCATGGAAATCCTTAACATCCGCCTGAACAGGGCACAGATGGCGAGCTTGCTTTAAGGTCTCATCCAAACGACGGCGTCTCCATAGGAACAGGAGCAGGCCATTCAGGCCCTCGAGCCTGTTCATGGCTGATCTGTACCTCAACTCCAAATACCTGCCTTTGCCCCATGTCCCTGACCTAACAAACACCTGTCCACCTCAGTCTTGAAAAGGTGAATGGATCCAATCACAATCCACAGCCGTTCGGGGGAGGAAGAGAGTTCCAGATTCCCAATGCCCCTTTGCCTGAAAAAATGCTTTCTGTTGTCATTCCTAAATGGCCTATTTCATTCATTTATTTTTATTTATTTATTTATTTTATTTTGTTTACCTGACAATGAGGCGCTCCTGAATATTTTTCAAAACACTGCGGGGGGGGGGGGGGGGGGGCTTCTGTGAGAATATGGACATCACAATATGGGTGATGGAGTGAGGGAGACAGAGTGATGAGAGGAGGAGGGAGGAGAAGGGAGGTGGATGGGCGGATTAACAAGTACAAGGCAAAGACTGCAGGAAACCAGCTACTGACTGTATCCCAGTCATAATCGTGAGGTTTAACGTTTTAGTTGCAAATAATGTTAATTTTCTCTACATATTTCCCAGTTGCAGTAGCACTATTTCTCTCGACCCGCCGCAGGCATCAGAGACAGGAGACCCTGGAAACCTGGTATTTTTAAAATACAAGATGACAATAAAAAAAAGGATTGATCCACACCCCCCCCCCCCCCCCCCACCCCCTCTCTCTCTCTCTGTCTCTCACCACACGCCATCAATGTGTGTGTGTGTGTGTTAGCAATATGCGCTGTATCATCAGCACCAGGGAGAGAGGGAGAGATGGAGAGAAGGAGAGAGGGAGAGATGGAGAGATGGAGAGATGGAGAGATGGAGAGAGGGAGAGAGGGAGAGATGGAGAGAGGGAGAGAGGGAGAGAGGGAGAGATGGAGAGAGGGAGAGATGGAGAGATGGAGAGATGGAGAGAGGGAGAGAGGGAGAGGGTGAGATGGAGAGAGGGAGAGATGGAGAGATGGAGAGGGATAGAGATTCACACACACACACAGACCAAAGGGGTTGGGTGGAAAATTAATATATGCACCGATTCATTTGCAGGAAATATTTAACAATCCTCTAAATAAAATCAGAAAGCCATCGCATTTACCGGTCTGTGCTGTTTAGAACCGATTATAAAACTGCACATTATTTTTTTTTTTGGGGGGGGGAAGGGATCAGATGTGAAATTGCCATGAAATTCACATGAAATGGACAGGAGAGCGGGGTATGATATATATATATATACACATATATATATAAAAACATGTCAATTTCTCTCGTTTCTCCCTCTCTCTTTGTGTTTCTTTTTAGTTATCAATCAAATCGTTTAAGATTTAAAAAATTTTTTTTAAAAAAAACAAAGGAATCGAATGACAATGGGTACGAAAACGCGAGACCCCCCACTCATCCTCTCTCCAATCAAAGCAATTTTTTTTCACGGCGGTGTCCACGTTGAAAACAATTTAAAAATGAAAGGATAAACGGGAGAGCGCAGAGAAAGCAAAGGAAAAGGGGAGGAAAAAAAATGCGACTCGACTCATCCTCTCGAATCCAAATCAATATTTTGATGACCTTCTTAATAAAATACATATTTTTTTTGGGTGGTGGTGGGGGTGGGGGGGGTGGGGGGGTGTGGGGGGGTTGGGGGATGGGGATAAAAAGGGGAATAACGTGGGGAAAAAAATGAAACGAAAAAAAAATGCAATTCAAATCAATGCTTAATGATGAAGAACATTGACATGTCCCCCCCCCACCCCCCTCCACCATCACCCTCCCCCTCCCCAAAAAGAGGGGAATAAAACGAAAAATATATATTTTTTAATGAAATTGTAACTCAACTCATCATCTCGAATGAGGTCCTCCTGGGGGTCCCTGTCCCTGTCCTCCTGCTGTTTGGTGACGGACATCTGCTGCTTCACCGGTGCCAACACCTCGGTCTTCTGGTTGTAATTGTGGAAACACACGTTCAGTTTCTCGTCGAAATCGTGGACCAAGTCCTCCATGGACTTGAAACTCATCATCTCACTGGTGAAGTTGTCCATCTCTCCGAGTTCCTCACCGAACCCGACCCTCCCCGAACCCAGGTTCAACTCGTTCAGGTTCTCGCTGTCCACTCCCTGACCAGGTCCACATCCACATCCATACCCCTGGCCCTGGCCCTGTCCAGGGCTCCACTCTTTCACCTCGTAAAAGTCCTGCCATTCCTCATCTAAGGTGACCAAAGGCGCTGCCATGTCTCCCCGTTGTGTTGTGTTGTGTTGAATGTTCTTCACTCTCTCCTTCTCCCCCAACACTCACTCACACACCGCCTGCGCACTCTCACAGCAACGCTATATGTCAGCCTGGCGCAGTGGAGCTCTCTCTCTCTCTTTCTCTCTCTCTCTCTCTCTCTTTCTCCTCCTTGTCTCCTTCTCCTGCCTCTGATTTCACGAGCTTCAAAGTTTATTTGCCCTTTTGGGGAGGACCAGCCCGAAAACCGCGAGTTCCTACTTTTAATAGTAACAGCAATCCTGGCATTTGACGCGGCGCCTTATCGGGTCATTGAGACGTCTCAAAGCGCTTCACAGGATATACTGTAAAGTGAATCGACTGTGTACATTTTGTGGGCGAAACGCGGCAGCCAATTGCGCGCGGCAGCGTCCCCCACAAACAGCCGTGGATTGAGGTATTGAGTGACCGTGTTAGTTTTTTTAAAAAATGGTTTATTACCCCCGGAAAAGGGATCCGGCAATCGACTAACAACCGGGTTCCTACTTACTGCTGGTAAACAGAGATGTGCGGAGTGAGGAAACTTGCCCAACGTTTCGCCCTGCTGGGAATCGAACCCGGGTCCTCTCGCTTGCCAGGCGAGTGCTCTAACCACTGAGCTACAGGACTCCGCAATATCCCGAGAGACCCCTGAAGGGCAACAGGAACAGTGCCCCCCCCCCCCCCCCCCCCCCAGCCCCGCTCGTGCCGAGCAATGTTGATGATGAGACAATGGACAATGGAGCACTTGGAGCCTCTCACACTGGAGCAACACTAACTAACACAATGGAGCCAGAGAGAAACGAGGCTTTGGCTCCATCAAACCTCCCCTTGTTCACTCCTGGGTCGGAAGAGGTTTGAGGCGGAGTTTCACCGGACACTTCCATTATGGTAATAATCCTTACTTTGGTTATAGCCCCTTTCACGTCAGGAGGACGTCTCAAAGCACTTTGCAGGTTTATCACTCGGGGTGTACGGTTTATCACAAGAACAACAAATGACATTTGTGCAGCGGCTTCCACGTCAGGAAGATGTCCCAAGGTGTTTATTATTGAGTGTATATGTGTGTGGTTTGTCACTGTGTGTGGTTTGTCACTGTGTGTGTGTGTGTGTGTGTGTGTGTGAGCGAGAGAGGAAGGGGGTTTCTATCACACACAAACACACACAGTGACAAACCGATCACCGCACAAACCACAGGAGATTCCCGTAAAGCTGATCCAGCCAGACTGCTCTCAGTTGTCCTCAGAGAACCGGGAAATGACCCGGATTCAGATGTTCCAACTCTCATGTTTTTCACTTTCAGTTTGAAGGTGGAGACATCAGTGAGAGTGTCAGCCAGGCTTCCGGTCACCTCTGAGTCCGAAGGTTGTGGGTTCAATCCCCTTGTTGGGTCTTGGAATTCACCGTCTAAGCTGACACTGCAATGCAGCACTAGTTGTGCTGCTCTACCGGCGATGCCGTCCAAATTACAGTCACTACACTTTACAGCAACTCCCCAGTCTGGCTCAGTTGGTAGCATCTCTCACCTCTGAGTTAGACTGTGGGTTCAAGCCCCCAACACATCAAGTCAAGTCAAGGCTGACACTGCATTGTCGGAGGTGCCGTCGTCCTTCAGATGCGATGTTGAACCCAGGCCCTGTCTGCCTGTAACAGGTGGACATCAAAGATCCTATGGCGCTATTGGAAAAGAGAAGAGACTTTCTCTCTCTCGGTGTCCTGCCCAACAAAGCAGCCATTCTGTCCCCACTCACGTAACCCCCCCGTCTCCCTTGCCTTCAAAACCCATCTTGAGACCCGTCTTTTCAACTGCGCTTTTGAAGCACTCTGAGACAACAACAACAACAACAAATTGCGTTGCTACAGCGCCCCTCACACAGGGTAGCATCCCAGAGATGCCCTCCTGATGTGAAAGGTAACTGTGAATCGTTGTATTAGCTACAACACTGACTCTGGGCAATAATTAACCCGTTAAACCGTCAATAAATTATTGGGTCGTTAAAAGACGGAATGTCAGACTGGGGGTTGGGGGGGGAGGGGGATGGGTGATTTTAACGTCACTCCCAGGGGATTGCAGTGAGTTAGCTGCTTTCGTTATCTGCCTGAGGCTGCCATAGAGAACAGTCGCTGAGTGTGTGAGGCGCTTCCTCACTGTTCAGGCTTCCCCAGTGAGTGTCTCTACCCTGTTCGCTCTTCACCGATCGACCCAGTTAATTAATCCCCCAATGATTTGCTTTTCTCTTGCATTTAGGTTACACTTCTCTCTCTCTCTCTCTCTCTGAGGTTTCAGTATGTTTTTCCCTGCCCAAGAAACAAACCCAGGTCCTCTCGCTTGTGAGGCGAGTGCTCTCACCGCCACAGGCCTCCACAAGGTCGCTGGGGAGTCACTGGAATTGTTATAGCTGGTGTTTTCGTGGGAATCTTGGCGGGGTGGAAATTTTTGCTCGTCACAGTGCAAACTAACAGCAAGCTCCAGGTGATGGCTGGCCTCTCTATTGTTGCTAAGCAACAGTCTAGAAGATGTTCGCAAACCTCGCTTGTTTTTTTTCCCCCCCCTTAGAACGAATTTTTTCTTTCTGTTGCAGATGTCAAGTGCAACACCAGTAACTTGCTCCTCTGAACTCCATCTGTTTCAGTTGTTGGTCAGTGAACTGTAGTAGAACACCACCACCAACAAATGACATTTGCCCGTCAGTGCCAACAGTCAGGGATTTGGGGGTTGGGATCAGGAGGGGTGGTGGGCGGTGAGGGGAAGGGTAGGAGGGTGACTGAAGGGGCAGTCGAAGAGGAAGGTCTTGAGAAGGGTCTTAAAGGAGGTGAGGGAGGAGGCGAAGGGACCGTGAGATAGAAAAAAAAGCAGGACTTTGTGAACACTCTGTAGATGGAGGGCGTGTGGGCATTGTTGATTTACTCGGCGAGTGTTTGTTCAGCCTCTCTCTGCCTCGTGCTGTGTGTTTGCTCAGTCAGTGACCGGTGGTTAATGTCTCAGTGACTGGCACCTCGTGCTCTCTTCACAGAAAACCCTGTGGCACTGTCTAACCCATGCCTTAGGCAAGTTTCTTTACTCCGCTCGCCTCTGTTTACCAAGCAGTAAGTAGGAGCCTGGGTTGTTTGTCGATTGGTGGATCGCTTTCCCTCCACCAACGAAGAGTTCGGTCACTCAATCCACGACTGTTTGTGGGACAGACACTGCTGTGCACAATTGGCTGCTGCATTTCTCCCACAAAATAACTTACAATATATTCTGTGAAGCGTTTTGAGATATTTCGAAAACATCATAAGGTGCTCCATAAAATGCAAAGGATTATTATTGTTATTATATTGCCGGGTTTATGCTTGGGGTATCGGCTGCTCATTACACTGATTCCTGTTTGATTACAGAATAATAATAATAATGATAAGCCTTGCATTTGATATAGCGCTTTTCACGTCTTCTCGACGTATCAAAGCGCTTCACAGAATACGCTGTAAAGTGAATTGACCGGATATTTTGTGGGCGAAACGCGGCAGCCAATTGCGCACAGCAGCGTCCCCCACAAACAGCCGTGGGTTGAAAATGACCGATTTATTACTGTCTTGTTTTTTTTTGGAGGAATTATTATCAGGCGTGCATCGGAGAAGGTGGCTGGAAATGCAGTAAAACTGGTAAAGTCACAATTGGATGCAGACAGAAAGTGAAACACACACACACAGACACACACACAGACAGACAGCTGAGGTCAGGACATTGAGTCAATGGAATAAACCAGCTGTGACATAACATGGAGTGAGGGCTAATGGGTTAATGTGTACGAGGAAGTGACGCCTCAGCCGAGCCCAGCTCGACGCTGAGCATTCAGCAAGGAGGCCATCCCTTGAGTTCCGCGACTTAGAGAGAAAAAAAATCTTAAGTTTGCAGAAATTCCTGAGATTGGGGCTTTCATTAGGGTTTCTGGCACTGGGGATAATTGACTGCCGTGTTTTTCGCCCACAACCCACAGTCAAATCACTTCCCACTATGTCCCGTGAAGCACTCGGGGACGTCTCAACGACGTGATAAGGTGCAATATCAAATGCAAGGATTATTATTAAGTTGTTATTTTTATGGTTGTTAGTTTCCATGACAACCTCATAGCTGGTCCTCACCCGACGGCTACCTGTTGGGTTTCAAGGCCGGGACCTGATCCTGAAATTGCACCTGCTCTTAGCCTTGAGGCCATTTTCTCCCAAAACTTCAAATCGTAATCCTAATTAAAAAAAAAGTTGCGGCCACTCAATCCACGACTGTTCGTGGGACTCTGCTGCGCTCAATTGGCCGCCACCTTTTGCCCACAAAATATACGGTCACTACACTTTACAGTCTATTCTGTGAAGCGCTTTGAGACGTCTCTCTATCCGACTTTAAATCCCAACTTCAAACCCGTGGGCACCAGCTCCGCGGTCTGACCCCGTGTCACAGAGCGCTACCCAGGATTTGCTTTAAATTGTAGTGACTGTTGTGTTTCGCAGGGACGATCAAAGTGGCAAAACATCTTCTTTTTAAGAAGCGGAGTTGGGGGGCGGTGGTGGTCGTGGGGGGTGGGAAGAGGGGGATGGGGGGACGTGGCTGGAAGCTCAGCTGGTCAGGGAGGGCGAAGAAATTGGGGCTGCAGGAGATCTAAGAGGAGACGAGGGGCGTGGGGGGGTGAGGGAGAGGGGGGGGAGGGAGAGAGAGAGAGAGAGAGAGAGCAAACCCAGGTGGGGAGGGGAGGGTGAGAGGTGGGCAAGGTGAGGGGGGGCAGGGTGGGGAGTGGGGGAGGGGGGGAGGGTGGGGGTAGGGGAGAGGCAGGGTTGGGGGGGTAGGGCGTGGAGGGGCAGGGTGAGGGGGGGCAGAGTGGGGAGGGTGGCAGTGTTGGGGGGGGCAGGGTGAGGGGGGGGGGGGGGGGGGGGGGGGGGGGGGGGGGGGGGGGGGGGGGGGGGGGGGGGGGGGGGGGGGGGGGGGGGGGGGGGGGGGGGGGGGCAGGGGGGGAGGGAGGGGGGGGGGGAGGGGGGGGGGGGGGGGAGGGGAGGGGGGGGTGAGGGGGGAGGGGTGAGGGGGGGGAGGGGGGAGGGGAGGGGGGGGAGGGGGGAGGGGGGAGGGGGGGGGGAGGGGGGGGGGGGGGGGGGAGGGGAGGGTGAGGGGAGGGAGGAGGGAGGGTGAGGGGGGGGTGAGGGGGGGGAGGTGAGGGGAGGGGGGGCAGGGTGAGGGGAGGGAGGGAGGGGGGGGGGGCAGGGGGGAGGGAGGGAGGGGAAGGGGGGGGCAGGTGAGGGAGGGCAGGGTGAGGGGGGGCAGGGTGAGGGGGGGAGGGAGAGGGGGGGAGGGAGGGGGGGAGGGTGAGGGGGCAGGGGGGAGGGTGAGGGGGGGGAGGATGAGGGGAGGGGGGAGGGGAGGGGGGAGGGGGAGGGTGAGGGGGGCAGGGTGAGGGGGGCAGGGTGAGGGGGGGAGGGTGAGGGGAGGGAGGCAGGGTGAGGGGGGGCAGGGGCAGGGGGGAGGGGGGAGGGGAGGGGGGGCAGTTTGCAGGGTTTTGCAGAGTTTAAAGGGAGGAGACTGGGCGGATGAGGAAGTGGCTGTGGAGCTGAGTGAGTATCCGGCGCTGCGGGAGAGGGGAGAGAGGCTGAGAGGAGACCCAGGGATCGCCCCCCACCCCCACCCAGACCCCCCCCCCCCCCAGCCTGATGGGGGCGAGCGGCCCCGGCAACAGCCCTCCCCTGGAGGCGTGGAGCTGCGGATACTGCGGGAAGAGCGACTCGTTCTGCGCTCAGGGTGAGTGAGACCCGGAGAGAGGGACCGCGTATCCGCACTCACTCACTCACTCATTCACTCACTGTGGAACAAAAGTTTCTCAAAAGTTTTTGAGAGAGAGACAGAGAGAAACACAGACAGACACACAGACAGACAGAGACAGAGACCTCATATCCGCACTCTCTCTCCCTCTCTCTTTCAACGCTAACAAAAGTTTTTCCAAAGTTTTAAAAGAATGAAAACTTTTCGGGGGCTTCATTCTCGTGTGTATGTGTGTGGGGGGTGTGTGTGTGTCTGTGGGTGTGTGTGTGGGTATCTGTGTGTGGGTGTGTGTGTGGGTGTGTGTCTGTGTGTGTGTCTGTGTGTGTGTGTGTGCCTGTGTGTGTGTGTCTGTGTCTGTGTGTGGATGTGTGTGTCTGTGTCTGTGTGTCTGGGTGTGTGTGTCTGTGTGTGTGGGTGTGTGTCTGTGTCTGTGTGTCTGGGTGTGTGTGTCTGTGTGTGTGTGTGTGTGTGTGTCTGTGTGTCTGTGTCTGGGTGTGTGTGTGTCTGTGTCTGTGTCTGTGTGTCTGTGTCTGGGTGTGTGTGTCTGTGTCTGTCTGTGTCTGTGTCTGGGTGTGTGTGTCTGGGTGTGTGTGTGTCTGTGTGTCTGTGTCTGGGTGTGTCTGTGTCTGGGTGTGTGTGTGTCTGTGTGTCTGTGTCTGTGTGTCTGTGTGTCTGTGTCTGTGTGTGTGTGTGTCTGGGTGTGTGTGTGTGAGTGTGTATGTGGGGGTCAGGCTGTGTCTTTTGGTCTTTTATGTATTTGACGAACAAAATAGGATTTGGTTTCCTGCAGCGTTTGGTTTAACCCTTTAAAGGGAAGGAGGGGGTGGGGGTGGGGGGGGAGAGAGGGATTTTATTTTGGTTTCCAAATAAAGTCCAAGGTTTTTGTTTTGTCAATTTCGCCTTTTTTTAAGGTCAGTTTTGTGGGTCCGGTTTTGTACTTCACTTTTAAGAAGTTAAGGACAGAGTCAGTTAACAGTCAAGTCCCTCTCTCTCTCTGTGTGTGTCAATGTCCGCGTGAGTGTGTGTGTGTGTGTACGCGTGTGTTTGTGGCTAAAATTACTGCAGTCACAGCACAAAATTGCTCGCAATCTTAAGGTTGGATCGCGCTGCGGTATCTGGAGCTGTTCTTTTTTTTATTTTCTGTGCTCGTTGCCGTGTTAAGCGAGGCTTTGCGTAATACACAAGGTGGGCAACCTACTATGTGAGGACTGACACAGCACCAGACAGCACAACCCCGGGACACTGCGAAGGGTGTGCGAACGTGTGCGCGTTGGTGCGTGTCATTGGTGTGTCTGGGCTAACACGTGCCTTATCGAGTCGATGAAATATCTCAAAGAGACGGGAACAGTCTACATTTACATGGCACCTTTCGTGTCAGGAGGACGTCCCAAGGCGCTGGACGGTCCGGGATTTGGACCTAAGGTGGGGGTTGGGATCAGGAGGGCAGGGTGGGAGGGTGACCAAAAAGGAGGGTCTTGAAGGAGGCGAGGGAGGAAGCCAAGTGGAGGGACTGTGGGGATGGAGTTCCAAAGGATGGGTGCAGAGAGGCTGAAGGCCCGGCCACCAATGGTGGACAGGGCGAGGGACGTGGAGCAGATCAGAGTCTGACGAGCAGACGGGTCACTATGGAACCTCATGGATTTTACTCTTATGAAGTGCGGTGACTGTGTTTTTGGAGACAAACGCAGCAGCTGACGTTCCACAGACAGAAGTGCAACAGACCAGAAATGAATGACCAACTTTATAATAATAATAACCATTGCATTTGATACAGCGCCTTTCATTCATGCCGGGAGGACGTCTCAATGCACTTCTCAGGATTTACTGTGAAGTGTAGTGACTGTGTATTTTGCAGGCGAATGCCTTTTATCTGGGGGCTTGCTGGCCAGCACATGGTGAGAGAGAAACTCCCTTTTCTTTTCCAATAGTGCCTCTGGATCTTTGACATCCCCACTGAACAGGCAGAGCAGATCTCAGCTTCACTCAGTTTGGTCACTCAATCCACAGCTGTTTGTGGGACACTGCTGTGCGGAATTGTTCCCCCCACAAAATACACAGTCACTGCACTTCACAATCTATTCTGTGAAGCACTTTGAGACATCTCAATGACATGATAAGACACTATATCAAACGCAATGATTATTATTAGTAGTATTAATGTCTCACCCGAAGGACGGCACCTCTGACAATGCAGTGCTATGCTGGAGTCTCAGTGGTTGGGGTGGGGGGTAGTGATGGCGGTTGTTGTAACTGAGAGAGGTAGAGGGACAGAGTGTGGTGTCCACACACTGGAGGAGTTTAATTCTGAATAGTTTCTCACTTGTTTCCCAGGTACAGTATGTAATGCAGGTAAATTGCGTGACCCACATTCAGTGATCTCAGCGTCTCGCTGACGGCTCTCTATTTATATCGTTCCTTTCATCCCAAACCCACTTGCTTTGCTTCTTGTTCTGAAGGAGGTGACACACACGAGTTTTGCGGTGGGGAGGAAACAGATCCACGGATATCAGCCGGCTGTCACTGTGATCAGCCAGGTGTCTGACACCCGCGGGAACCTATCACTGTGTGGGATGGAGCCGGGATGTTTTTCCAGACCCTTTGCCGATCTCACTCAGGGTTTCAATGACCATGTGTGATCGAGCGATGACCACGGCAGTTTGCTCACTGTCTCCCCTCTCTCTCTCTCTCTCTCTCTCTCTCGTGTCCACAGGGCTCACGACTCACAGTTTGACGGTCCACGACTACCAGCTGATGTTAAACAGAGGGTGGGTCAGGTGAGTAGTGTTGTGGTCTGCGTGACTGACGGATGCCGAGACTCTGGTAATAATAATAGTGATCATTATCTTGGCATTTGATATAGTGACTTATCCTGTTGTTCAGGCATCTCAAAGCGCTTCACATAATACACTGTGAAGTGACTATTTTGTGGGCGAAACGCGGTGTCCAGTTGCGCACAGCAGTGTCCCACGAACAGTTGTGGACTCGACAAAATTATTTATTATTATTATTTATTTTTGGGAGGGATTATTACCCCCAGAAAGCGAACTGCCAATTGACTGACAACTGGGTTCCTTCTTACTGTTAGGTTATCAGGAGAGTAAGGAAACTCGCTGAAGGTTTCACCCCGTCCTGCTAGGGAATCGAACCCGGGTCCTCTCGCTTGCGAGGCGAGCGTGCTAACCACTGAGCTACACGACTCCACAGTGTGGATCCTGTAACCCGAACCCCAGCTCGTGTGCTATCCGTGCCCTGTGGGTTACAGACTGCTAACGTCCAGTCTCTCTCGCCTTACAGGAGTGGGAAGTATCTGTATAAAGCCACCATGCCTGTCACCTGCTGCCCCACCTACCCAATGAGGTAAGACTTACCTTGTTGTTGAGCTGTTAGACAGGGTTTATAATAATAATAATAACCCTCGCATTTGATACAGCGCCTTATCACATCTTCGAGACGTCTCAAAGTGCTTCACAGAATAGACTGGAAAGTGAATTGACTGTATAGTTTGTGGGCGAAACGCGGCAGCCAATTGCGCACAGCAGCGTCCCCGCAACAGCCGTGGCCTTGTCTGCATTGTCCGAGTGAGTGGAGCTGAGAGACACATAGAATGGAGACCCGTTTGTGGCCATTTATCAATCATCAAATGCGGGAAATGTTGGCGTTTCCAATATTTTTACTGTCGGGCCGGGCATTGTCCAACATAATAATAACCGTAAGAATAATAATTAGAATTATAACTAATAGGAATTCTGTCTAAATTATTTGAATAGACAGCAGTGTCTCACAAACCCTCATGAGTTTTAAATATAAAGTCAAGACATGAAGGCACCGTCCTCCGACCGAGAGATGAGAGTGCGAGTGACGGAGCCACAACAGCAGAACAGAGATTTTTCCATTAATGAGGGCAGAATCTTGATTGCCCTAATTCCCCCCCCCCCTCCCACACAGACTCCGCACACCTCACCCCTGAGCTTCTTGCTGAGATTCTTTGACTTTGTTTCACCCTTTTCCCGTCTCCCACTGGTCCAGGTGCCACGTCCTGGATTTTCAAGCCTCCCGGTCACAGCGTCAGGTATTGAAGAGGATGCGGAAGTATCTAACCATGGAAGGGACTTCGGGAAAGCCGGCAGCTGGTAAATGTTTGTGTGTGACCACCTAACTTTCATCGAGGGTCGCTGGCTCAGTCTGACTTGTTTCCAATCAGAATGTCAGCTTTCTCCCCTTCCTTCCTTTCTCTCTTTTTCTCTCCTCCTCCCCCCCACCCCCTCACCGGAGAGGTGAGCTCGGAGCCCCAGACCCTCAGCCGGTGTGAGGAGGGAGCCGGCGAGGGACGAGGGGAACTGGAACTGAACCAAACTGGGAACCATTTCCCCCTGGACCCCACCCAGCCGTGGCCCGGTGAGTGTGAGAGCTATGGTAATGTGTTGGAAAGGAGGTTGATTGTCGGGGTGTTGCTGGGGTGGGAGCGAGGAGGGGGTGGGAGGGGGGGCTTGGCTCAGTTTGGAGGCGGGTTGGTGGGGAGGTGTGGCTAGGAGACAGGACTGGGAGGTGTGATGGGGTGGGCGAGGAGGCAGGGCCGGGGGAGAGCTCCTGTGCTCGTGCTGGGACCTGGTGACAGAGCTGCTCTCTGTTCTAGGTGACGACACTGACTCCTCAATCCAAGCTCGTCATAAAACCCGGGCGGCTCAGCCAACGTCGCCTGCCCGCGTTTCACCAGCCCCCGCCAGAGCCTGCCCTCCCCCTCGCGCCCCCAGGCCCCGCCCCAGCCACACCGAGAGCTTCGAGCAGCTGATGTCGGGGAGCACAGAGCCAGCACAGCAGCGTCTGGAGGTGAGACTCGCATCTAGCGCTTGACTCGCAAAGCGAGAGGACCTGGGTTTGATTCCTGGGCAGGAGAAACCTGAGGCAAGTCTCCTTATTCCACACACCGCTGTTTACCAGCAGTTAACCCGGTTGTCAGTCGATTGGCGGATTGCTTTCTCGGGGTAATAATCCCTTCAAAATAATAAAAATAATTTGGTCGCTCAAACCATGACTGTTTGTGGGACACTGCTGTGCGCAATTGGCTGCTACGTTTTGCCCATAAAATACTCATTCAATCCACTTTACAGTATATCCTGTGAAGCGCTTTGAGACGTCTCAACAACATGATAAGCGCTGTGTCAAATGCAAAGATTGTTTATAAATGTAACGAAGTCTGAAAGCCTCCTGTGCGGTTTGCTGACTCTCTGTAGCTCCAACCTCAAACACTTTGTCCTTCTCCGCCTTCAGGTGAAGCTGTTGAAACTATGCCCGCCCAGCCCCGAGCTACAGACCAGCTTCAGGGAGTCATACAATGTGTACAAGCGATACCAGATGCACGTGCACAAGGACACAGAGGAGATGGCCTCCGAGGCTGAGGTACCAAAGACCATCCCAACCCTGTTACTGACGTAGACATTGACGTTTACAAGCCTGTCAGAACCTGACTTGCCAGGACCTATGTACATTAGGAACTGCTGGACAAAAAACAGGTGTCAAACTTGGGGACACTCTGAAAATCGACTTCCAAAGCGAATTACCTGGTCGGAGTGATGTCCAGTTGTCAGCAGAATCCGTCTCTCCCCACCAACCCCCCAACCCACCGTGATTCTCACTACAATTTCGTTGGCATGTCAGAAACTGAGAGAAACCGAAAGCTGAGGCTCCGATGGACCAAACAGCCTCTTCCTCCCCCATCTCCCACCCGCTACGCAACTGGTTAAAGAGAAAAATACTCTCATAAACTGTCAGGAATTCGTGCACATCCCAAAATAAATCCCAGCTGGTTTGGGATGAGTTCCAGATGTGCAAGGCGTTAAGTGGTTGGTTTGAGGTTTTCATGTCTTGACAGCAGAGTGAGTGTCTGCCTCAATATTGGCTCAAGTCTCGACGTGGGACTTGAACCAATAACCTTCTGTATTTGTTTTCCCACAAAATATGCAGTCATTCACTTTACAGTATATTCTGTGAAGCGCTTTGAGATGTCTCGAAGACATGATAAGGCACTATACCAAATGCAAGGATTATTATTATTATTATTCTCTGGGTACACAGTGGGAAACAGACCGTGTGTTGCTGTGCCTGATGAGCTCTTTCACCTCTTTCTTTCAGTATAGAAGATTCTTCTGCAGCACGCCTCTCTTGGTGAGTACCTCGCACGATTTCTGTCTCAACCAAACTTAATCTTTTGGCTTCGCGTGACGACGCAGAGTCTTTTAAGAGAGATCCGTGGGCTCGCTGAAACCTTCCTCATTCTTCATGTGTGAGCTAAGACAGCAAGTACTGGCAAGATGTCAAGTTATTTATTCTTCTTGCCTATGAGTCAGTGCCTGGCCTGCAGTTAGCTATCTGCCCCCATGAAGTCACAACCACAGTCCACTGACACAAGGTCCTGGAACATGAGAGAACTGCTGGCGTCCTGGCCGGCAATCCTCCAGATATTCTCCTCGTCCAGCTCCCGCACGGGTGTTTGTGGGACATCACTGGGCACAAAATTACTGCTGTGCTTTGCCAAGAAACACAGTTCCAAGTGAGCTTGATTATAGCAAAGTATTCTGGGACATTGCAATGTGATGAATGTTCACTGAATGCAGTTTAGTTTTGCTCTTGTTTTCTTGCTGAAAGTCAGATTCCCTAAAAGGTGCCTTCAGGGACTGTAGCTAACACTAGGGAGTCGCCGCTAGAGAGGAGTTGTCTCCCCGCCCCACCATTCCCCTCCCGGCCTGCCCCACCATCGGCAGTTGGGCCTTCAACCTCTCTGCCTCCATTCTTTGGAACTCCATCCCACTGTTCCTTCACCTCGCTCCCTCCTTCAAGGCCCGTCTCAAGACACTCCTCTTTGACCGAAACTTTGGTCACCCTCCAACCCCCACCCTCCCTGCCCTCCACCCCTCCTGATCCCAACTCTCAGCTCGGGTCCAAATCCATGACTGTCCAGGGCCTTGGGTCATCCTCCCGACATGAAAGGCGCTGTGTAAACGGCAGTTGTGGTTGAGTTTGCTGGGTTCCATGTGACCAGAGCGTGTGTTTGACTTCGTTAACAGGGCGAGGAGCCTGTGGACGGGCCCGACACTGGCTACGGCTCTTTCATCGAGCAGTTCCTGCTGGACGGGAAGATCATCGCTCTTGGCCTCTTGGACATCTTACCCGAAGGCATCAACTCCCAATACCTGTGCTACGATCCCGCCTACTCGTTCCTCTCGTTGGGGGTTTACTCTGCACTCAGGTACTATTAAGAGTCTCTTGGGAGTGTGGACGGACAGAGAAGAGGGAGCTTTACTGTGTCTCTAACCCTGGCCTGGGAGTGTGGACGCACAGTGTAGAGGGACCTTGGCTGTGTCTCTAACCTGTGCTGTATCTGACCTGGAAGTGCTTGACAGTAAATCCAGCTGCCCTATGAATTGTCTTTCCTGTTTCATGTGACGTTATTCCTTGTATCTTTTAGGGAAATAGCATTAACACAAAGGCTCCATAAGAAGGCTCCGAGAATGAAATATTATTACTTAGGCCCATACGTGCATTCCTGCATCAAAGTTAAATACAAGGTAAGCAGTGACTATTGCTTTGGAACAGGGGAATGGGATTTGAGTAAAGAGCTCTAGGATGGCAAGCTATCTGTGCTGCTGCTTGTTTTCCCACTAAAGCTCTTTACTCGGCAAGCTATGCTGTTTTAGTTAGTTAAATAGATTCTAGCAGTTACCCCAACCTCACACTCTGTGCTCCCCCTAAGCCTTCGCACTCGCCAACCTGCGCCTGATACTCTCCAGAATTAGGTAAGCTGGATGTGTCCCTAGAGAGAGTGAAAGAGCGCGTTGCATTCCAACAATCTATCTGGGATTTCCACGTGTAGATGATACTGAGATGGACAGTGGTGCCAAATGGCCTGTTTCGGTGCTATAGGGTCTGTATAATTCCATCAGGAAAGTCCCGCAATGAGCTGAGGAGTTAATCCCTTTTGCGCCATTTTCTGATCCAGCTGCAGTACCAGCCGGCAGAGCTGCTTTGCCCAGTGACTGGGCGCTGGGTGTTTGCGGAGAAATGTCTGTCTAAGTTGGAGGAGAGTAAATACACCAGGCTGTACGAGAGAGAGGATGCAGGTAGGCACTGACCGATCACCGATGGGATGAAACCTCGTGTCCTGCTCAGCGAGGGCAGCTGTGGAGGAGGATCTAATTGAGGAGTTTAAAATGATAAAGGGATTCGATCGGCTAGCTACAGAGAAACTATTCCCTCAGGTGGGTGGGTGGGGGAATCTAGAACAAGGGGGCATCATCTTAAAATTAGAGCTAGGCCATTTAGGAGTGGGATGGGGAAGTACGTTTTCACACAAAGGATAGTAAATGTGGCACTCTCTCCCAATCCCCCAATTCTACCGTGTTTCACCCACAAAACACACAGTCGTTATACACTTTGCAATATATCCCGTGAAGCGTTCGGAGACATCTCAACGATGTGATAAGGCTCTGTATCTTATGGATGAGCTGAATGATAAGAAAATTCATTAACGTTTGTTCTTTTGCTTTAGATGTGGTCTCCGGCCTGTCGGACGAAGACCTGTGGTTTTTCCGGAACTTTCTAGACGCCCTGAGCCCTTCGCCCTCGGCCTCGCTGCAGACGGAGGAGGCTATGCTGGTGGTGTCTCAGGAGGACCTGGTGTCCACACACTCCTCCCAGGGCTGGTGGCGTCAGCATTCCTGCCTCGCCCGCTTCCTGAGCTGCTGCTGTGTGACGTGCCGCAGGAGGGAGACCCAGAGCTGACACCCCCCCCCACCATCTCACTCCCCCCTTGTACGCCCCTCCCCACATCACCCCCCTCGTTCCCCCTCTCATCCGCGCCCCGCTGTGCTGCCCACTGATTGTGCAATACAATACGAAACAATGCATTCAGAAATCAGGTGCCTTGTGTTAGGGGCTGTTTCGCCTACAAAATAGTCATTTCACTTTACGGTGTATCCTGTGAAGCACTTTGAGACGTCTCGAAGACGTGATAAGGTGCTGTATCAAATGCAAGGATTATTGTTGTTATTATTATTGGTGGGCCAGGGAGAAAGGACTGAGACAGAGGAGGGAGCGGGCGGGTTGAGTCCGATGAAGTGATACGAATCCAGGCCTCAAATGCAGGTAACGCACACACTCACATTTGTTGGCAAAGCGAAAGGTAGCTTCCTGGATAAAACAAACAGCCCCCAACACTAGGCCTGCTTTCACATAACTGAGATGACAATGATGACAGTCCCTTCTCTGCATGAGCACAAAGATCCCTTTGCAATAAATTCAGAATTACCTGAAAGAGAATGAAGTGGCTGGTACCCAGCTGTGATTCCTGATGAACTCTTACTAACGATGTCACTATTGTTAGTGCCCTCGTTACTCTGCTGACAGCTCACACCTGTTTGTGCTGCAGGGTCACTCAGGATAGGAAGGTGTCATTCAAGCCTTCCTCCATCCGGGAGTCAAACCCAGGTCCTCTCGCTTGCGAGGTGAGTGCTCCAACCAGTACCCTACAGTTGAGTTAGCTGATCTCAGTAGTGATGGGGTGCTACAATTGGCTTGTGATGTGACTATGACTAACGCTACTCTGTACTTTCCTCCCTTCCCAATGTCAAAAGCCATTTCCACCTCCACCATCATCTTCCACCTTCCAAATCCCTGTGAAGATTTGTTGCACTACCACCTGCTGCCTTGCCCTCCTCCCCATTCAAGGCTGTGGACCTGCTCTTACTCAGTCTACCTGCCTCTCTGTCTTCTGTCCTAGAATCAACGAGCATTTGAAGCCAGCTTGCCACTTGCTTCTTATCTTTTCTCTCTTATTTTCTTACACCTTGATAGTGTCCTACCTTATGGCCTTGGCCCTTTGCCTGGTTTTCTCAAAAAGAAAGGGAAAGTGGATCAGAGAAATTGTGCTCTCGATCCAAACGTTAGAAGTCTCCCTCAACCCAACATTCATGCCTCTCCTCGACAGACTCAATGTTCTTGAGGAACTTGTCTTTTGACCAAAAGATTTGCTTCATTGTGATGTAGAATGAACACGTTTGACACAGTGTGGAGCATTCTATTTCGAATGCCTCAAAATATTTCAAAGCAAGTCCATAGCGTGTTGCAAACAAATCCATTTGATCTCTGAAGACTTGAGTCAAATGCTCGTTTGAAGGTGAGGGAAATGTATTTTAAACAGACAAACAGAGATTCCCCTTGAAGGGGCACAAAAGAGTCTTAATGAATGCACTAACGCAATGCAGTAGAGCTGGAAATCCATTGATAGACTGGACCAGTGCCTTTGTGATTGATAAGTCGTGTGTGACTGGGTGCAATTACATTCCTTTTAAACCTTGTGTGTAAAAACAAATTTAAATAAAATTGCAAATGCGTATATTTTATATTTTACCACCGTTCCATTTTGTTTTCTGTATTGAGTTCTCTTGGCTTTGTGTCCGAAAGCACTGGGGTTCCAGTGGATATGGGCTGTTGACCTTCCGAGAGCTTGGCCAAGTGGTTGTTGTGCAGCCGGATAGGGGCTGTCAATGCACCATTGATATTTTGCTTTTAATAAAATATATTTTTTAAATAAAATATTTTGTTTTGTCCACGGAATACACAGTCATCAGACTTTACAGTTTATTCTGTGAGGTGCTTTGAGACTTTTTTGAGACACTGGGCCCCTCCCTTGACTCCATCAAGGCCCTCCTCTTTGTCCGTGCTCTTGATCTCCCTCCCTGCTTCCCTTCACCCTCCCCGATCTCCAGATCGGGTCCAAAACTCTTGTCTGTCCAACGCCTTGGGACATCCTCCCGACTTGAAAGGCACTTTAAAATGTAATTTTGTTGGTGTCTTGAATACATGATCGGGCGCTATATCAAATGTGAGGATTATTATTCGAGTCTCCATCCTTGTCTTCAGCTGAAATACTACACTATCAGGGGTTACTGCTTTTTAACGCCTTACCAACCCGCCCCCCCTCCCTTTTCTTGGCCATGAAACAGCCCGAAAGCAAAAAGCCACCAACGATCGATCGCAGAATAGAAGTCACTCTCAGACTTCCTGCTTGCCGATACGTGTTGAAGGCCATGTTAAAAACGTGTAGTTTTATCTCTGTTTCCTGCCGACATTTCCTTTTTTTAAACAAAAATACAAGTGTTAAAGGCAAGTCCCAGGAATCTGCAATAAAATCTTTATTGATTTTTTTTTGTGTCACTGCTTCACGTCAATTGTCCTGCAGTGCGCTGTCTACATCACTAAACAACACCCCTCGCATCTCGGTTTGACAGCTGAGCTGCCTGAAATAATACGCTCTATCCAGGTAACAGAGCAATGGTAGGATTAGTGGTCAGTCGGTCCAGTCTGGACGTGCTATCTCTGTCTAAGCAATGCAAAGGCACTTTGTTATTTAAGACAAGCAAAACCTATGGGTTTTAAGTGAAATCCGCATACACAGGGGAAAGGAATAGCATAGTTTACCCAGGCTACAGCGACGATTGTGTTGGTCCATGATCTCTGTGACCTTATGGTCCAAATATACATTGAAAGAGCGACCCAGATTTGAACTAAAACAATTGTCAGGAATGTCTCACTGAAACAGTACAGTTTGGTTTATGAGTCAATCATTGGCTGGGAATGGCATTGTGCTCTCTCACACCAGACTTGCTGTCAAGGGGACAATGGCTGCCAAACCAGTAACTGTGACTGTCATTGGCACAGGTTGGGGTGGGGTGACGTGGGCATGTGGGAGTTCCAATGCAATGGAATGGTGGGTGGTAGTCTCTTGCCCATGGAACCATCAACTTGCCAATGGAGGAAGCAGTGAATGAAGGTTAGGTGTGCTTTCCCTCCGACACACACACATATACCCATGTGTGCATGCGCGCACACACACACACACGAGGAGGGCTTGAAGGTCAATGGGTGAGCAATTTCCTCCTCACCCTCAACTCCCACCCAAATGGCAATGGGTAACTCAGGCAGAGGTACTGAGGGAGGTGTATTCCTGCCCTGAGATCTGAGGGCAATGAATGAATGAATGGATGGACGGATGGAGTGTTCGGCCCTTGTTTACCTGCTGGGAACTAGGGCTTTAGGTGTGAAACCATTATCAGGGACGGGGTTACGGGGACGTATGTATATGTAAAACACCCAGAAAAAAAAAGCAGTGATGGAGCAAGGTCGCAGCATGTGCTCTGTGCTCATAACTCAGCACCTACGCCTTGTTTTACAACCACGAGAGAAGACCAGGGGCTTGACGGGCTAATTCTCCACATTGACCTCGTCTTGCTCCTTGATCATATGGACTCCGGCCGGCCGCAGGACTCGGCTGGAGCCTCTCTGGTGGGCCGGGGAGCTGGGGGATCGACTGGGGGACTTGTGTGCTCTGGTGGAGCTCGGGGATCGGACAGGAGACTTATTGTACCTCCGGGGAGAGCGGCCCATGTGTGCCGTGGATCTGGGCGGAGACATGGAGGGACCCGAGAAGCCGGCCGGCTCGGCTGTGCCTTTGGAATCACTTTGGTACTCGTCCTCACCTTCTGGGGATTCCTGGAAGAAAGACAGTGTCGGAATCACAATGTATGTTTGATCTCAGCCGAGTGTGACTCCACAAGTGGTGCCAATAAAACATGAACTATCTCCCTTTCTCCAGGGAAGCCAGCGATTTAAACTTGTAATGACTTTGGGGGGAAATGATTGTATGAAAGGGAAAGCCCCTGATTATTTTTAATCCTTTCTTGTTTTTAATAGCACTGGTTCTGTTACTTAATTAGTAAGGTGTTGAGGTAAACACTCCATGGCTGTTTGTGGGTCATTACTGGGCGCAAATTGGCTACCGCTTTCGTCCAAAAGGTAGACAGAGTCACTCCATTGTTTTTTGCCAGCCGGGTGTCTGGCACATGCAGAAACCCATCATTATGCTTAAGAGTATCCAAACCAAATTTGTGGAGTCCTGTAGCTCAGTGGTTAGAGCACTCGCTTTGCAAGTGAGAGACCTGAGTTCAATCCCCGGCAGGTCAGGGCGAAACCTTGGGCAAGTTTCCTTACTCCACACAGAGCCTAATAATAATCCCTCCAAAACCCAAAACAATAATAAATTGGTCATTTTCAATCTATGACTGTTTGTGGGACATTGCTGTGCGCAATTGGCCGCCGCGTTCGCCCACAAATATACAGTCAATTCACTTTACAGTGAGACGTCCTCCCGACGTGAAAAGCGCTATATCAAATGCAAGGATTATTATTATTATAAACAGAGAATTCACAGTAAATCTGGGACATCTTCCTGTAACAAAGATGATTATTATTAACAGGCGGACTGCTCCACGTACCTTTTCTTTGATGACGTACAAAGCCACTGGATTCTTGCGCTCAGGCCCCACTTTCGGTAGCAGCTCTGGTAAATCAGACACATGAGAAGCAGTTAATGATTGACTCTGAGAGTTCACTGGTGCTTTGTATCTGTTCAGCTTTTGCCAAAGCCTCAAGCGATTGAGCAGTGTGTGTGTACAGTATGTGTCTGCCTGTTCATGCAGGTGTCTGGCATATAGCAACAGGAAATAGACTGTTCGGGCCCATCATTAAATCTTTCACAATTCTTTGTTGTGAAAGATCTTCCTGCATTTTCTCCACATTGTTCCCCATCCTTATGCCCCAATTATCTATATACTGTATCTCCCTCTTTACCATTCCAATCAGTTCTGCCTCTATGACCTTCTAGTGATGTGAGCCAGGGAGGAAAGAAGCAAGAAATTATTTCTGGACCCACTTTTAGCTCCAAGATTAGTTTACGTCTCCTTTTCTCATATATTGAATATATGAGCTTTTATATTTGTGTGTGTGTGTGTGTGTGTGGTGAGACAGCGCATGTATATATGACATCCACGGCTTTGAGATACGTTGTCAAGTGGAGTTGAAATTCGAACTGATAGGGGAGACCGAGGAAAAAGAGCTGAGGGTTAATCACCCTGGATTGGGTTGCTTTCTCTCTTGCCCTCTTGTGGCTGCACATAGAAGAGTAGTCCGGACACACTCGGAGGGAAAAGGCACAAAGATCACGCGATTCTCTATTTCTTCCAACTCGATTCAACAAACCGATAGCTAAGTTGGTCACGTTTGCCGAGAGCACAAAACGGGGAATCACCAATTTTGCAAAAGGATAGAGATCAGCTTGTAACCGAACACAGGGGAAATGAAATGCAACACTGATAAATGTAGAACCACTGTTCATACACTCACAGAAATGTATTAATAATAATTGACTTTTAGAGCTGTGAAGCGCTTTGAGACGGCTCGAAGATGTGGTAAGGCGCTATATCAAATGCAAGGATTATTGTATAAATGTAAGGATTTGTTGCTGACCTTACTCTGCTAAAGCCTAATTGTGCTGCACAGGGATTTAATACCAAAAAGATCAATGGGGTAAATGTGCAATATTTCATCACGTGTTTCTTCCGGTAATTTACTCCACAAACCGTACCTCAATTTCTGAGGTTGCTGGTTCATTCAGACTCCACCCTACCTCTCTGTGACTAACCTTCATGCTTCCCCTGATCCTCATTACGATCCACATTCTCCGAAGATCCCTGTTTGTCTCCTTTTCCTTTATTTCTGAAAAAAAAACCAACGAACAGTGAGATTCAGAACACTATCACTCTCCGGAGGTAATAATACCCTAAAAAAAAATGTGGTCACTCAATCCACGACTGTTTGTGGGGACGCTGCTGTGCGCAATTGGCTGCCGCGTTTTGCCCACAAAATACACAGTCAATTCACTTTACAATGTATTCTGTGAAGCGCTTTGAGACACTTCTGTAAAATGCGTTCCAGGACGCTACCTTACGTGAGGGGCCCTATAGAAATGCAAGTTATTTTTGCTGCTGTTGTCCCAATGACGTGATCAGGTGCTATATCAGATGCAAGCATTATTATTGATAAGGATTATTAATAGCTTGCTCTGAGAGCTGACGGGACATGATGGGCAGAATGGCTGCCTTCTGCCTCGTGAACGCCTATGATTCTTATGTTTAATGAAGGGAAATTTTCTTCCTTGCTCTTATCAGTAGGTTAGACCCAGTTGCTCCCGCTCTTGTTCCCCTTTTTGCTTTACTTCCAGTCACGGAGCCAGAGCCTTGCGGCAGAGATCAAGGCTAATCCCAAACACTGTGCCCTTCATGTCACAAGACCTCGGTCACAGCCAGACCAGTTACATCACCCGCTCGGTGTATCAGTCCGCTTAAAGCCATAGTCCTGTCCTCAGTTACTAGATGATGGATCTTAACAGTAAACCACAGCAAAAAAAATAATAATAATAATTTGGTCACTCAATCCACGACTGTTTGTGGGACGCTGCTGTGCGCAACTGGCTGCCGCGTTTCACCCACGCAATACACATTCAATTCACTTTACAGTGTATCCTGTGAAGCGCTTTGAGACGCCTCGAAGCCGTGAGAAGGCGCTGTATCAAATGCAAGGATTATTATTATATATTCAGGGGAAATTCTGTTAACTCTTCGATTGCCGTTAGGTCCAGGGATTTAGCAGGCTCGCTGACCCAGATTTTATAGTAATACATATAATTTCAACTTAGGTAAAATACAGTTACATTTATCAGGGGCAGCTTTCTTACTACAGCGTGTACCCTGTACAAATACAATACTTTAACTTTGTCTACTTAACAAGGTATTGTACTTCAGATGAGACGTTAACCTGAGGTCCCATCTGTGCCCTGTTCAGGTGGACTATTCAGAATTATTAGGTTGATCCCGACAGTTGAAATATCACCTTTCACATCAGAAAGATGGCTCGAAGTGCCAAAATTCACAGTAACTGTAACAGTAGCTGTGTATTTTGTAGGTGAACTCGACAACCAATTTGTGCATAGCAATCTCCCCACAAACAGCCAGGAAGTGAACGGCCAATCAATCTACTGTTCACGACACCGGGAGAAACTCACTTCTCTTTTCAAATCTAATGTGTCTACGCAAGGTCTAACGAGAAACATGAGAGACATCTTACCTTTTGGAAGGTTTCCAACAGGCACACACGGTTACCAAGGTAACCAGAAGAAAGATACCCCCGGTGCAGAGAATGATGTATAAAGAACTCCGCCCTGCGGAGAGACACAATCAGGTCAAAGCCCAGACTCCTCTCAGGGTTACTCGTCAGGACGTTCAAGATACAGAAGGCAAAGCGTGGAACGAGGGAAGAACATCAAGGTATATTGCAGAGACAGCAAGGCCAACTCTCCTACAACTCAATCCCAGTGTGGACTGGAATGTGATCTGTTAATATTCACCTCTTCTGCTGTCACTGAAACACACAGAGTGCGAGGCCCACCCACTGGGTCTCCCTATCACTTACTGTACACCGTGAGTTTGACGGGCACACTGCGAGAGCTGCTGATGGGGTTTTGCACGATGCAGCTGTAGATATCATCATCCGCCATGAAGACCCTGGTAATGGTCAGGATCTGCTGGTCCTTGGATAGAGTGAGTCTGGTGTCGATGTCCAACGGTTTCCCTCCCTTCAGCCAGATATACGTCGGCTTGGTGCCGTTCTCAATCGAACAGTTAAAGGTAACGGACTCGCTCAGTTCCAGCACCGTAGAGGAGGATAACATCACCACGGGCTTGCTGACGGGGACTGCGATCGTCAAGGGAGAGAAGAAGAGAAGACAGTGAATAAAGGGCTTAAAACCAGAAGGCATGAAACAATACACAGTGCCCCTCACGCAGGTAGCGCTTGACAGTGGTGGAGCACAATGCTGAGCTGGGAGGAGGGGGAGGTGACCTTAGACACGGTCAAACACGAAGGTCTTCAGGTGCGACCTGAAGATGGGGAAGGAAGGGGTAGAGGCGGAAGGATAGAGGGAGAGTGTTCCAGAGTTTCGCGGCGTAGTGGCTAAAAGTGCGGCCACCGATGGTGGAACGGAAGGCACGAGGGACAAGCAGGCGGCCAGAGCCAGTCGAGCGGAGGCAGCGGGCAGTGGGTTGGGGAGTAAGCAGGTCAGAGAGGGCGAGAGGGAGGTGCCCGGGCATGAAGGGGTTTGGAAACGAATGTGAGGATCTTGAAATTGATCCGTTCGGCGATAAAGAGCCAGTGGAACCCGGCTAGAGCTGGTGTGATAGGGGTATGGAGTTTAGTGCGGGGATCAATGCAGAGAAAAACAACGTGGGTCACCTTGATCAAACAACAGCTTCCAATCTAAGGACGCCAGTTGTCCAGATAAGATCTTGGGCTTTAGGCCAACTAATAATGGAACTCCTGATTACCATATTTAAGATTTGGCAGAGTACGTAGAAATTAATTCCAATGGTCAGTTTATCGGTTACTAGAGGGCATTGATTTAAGGTAATTACGCAAAGACCACATCTTAGGTTTGATTGTTGAGGTAAATGAGGAGGTTGTTCAACTCAACACTAATTAAGGAACAAATCTGTGGTACTGAATAGGCTGCGAAATGATCATAATAATCTTACATTTGATATAGTGCCTTGTTGCATTGTTGAGATGCATTTCACAGAATTTTACTGTGCAGTGTAATGACTGTGTATTTAAAAATAGTAATAATCCTTGCTTTTGATATCGAGACGAGATGTCTCAAAGCGCTTCGCAGAATATAATGTAAAGTGCAATGACTGTGTATTTTGTGGGTGAAATGCAGGCACCAATCGCGCACAGCGACGTCCCCCAAATGGTCATGGATTGGGTGACCAAATGATTATTTTGGGGGCGGGGGCAGGGGTGGGGGGGTGGAGGAGTGGTGGATTATTACCCACGGTAACTTCTAATTGGGAAGCGAACGATAAATAATTGAGTAAACAATCACGTACTGTCTACAGTGAGATTGACGGTCTTCACAGCGGTGAAAGCGTCATCCGTGATAGCGATCTCAACTTCGTACATTCCCTCGTCGTCCAGTTGCAGGTTGTGGATCAGCAGTGACCCGTTCCTAAAGATCTCGATCCGGTCCTTGTATTCTGGCCGCAGCTTGCCCAGGATACGGGTGCCAAAGGACTGGACCAGGGTGATGGGCTTGTCTCGCTTCAGCTGCCACTGAATGACTGGGGTCTCGGAGCTGATGGTGGTGTAATGTATAGACAGCAATGCTGATTCCCCTACAACTCCCAGTGTGTTCTGGCTGTGACCCGTTATATTCACCCCTTCTGCTGGCACTAAAACACACAGTGAGATCATAATGAGACGTTCAGGCGAAGAAAGCCACATTTAGACACGATTAGCCGAATGGCCTTAAGTAATCATAATAATAATCCTTGCATTTGATATTACGCCTTATCACGTTTTCAAGACGTCTCAAAGCTCTTCATGGAATATATTGTAAAGTGAAGTGACTGTATATTTTGTGGGGGAAACGCGGAGGCCAACTACGCACAACAGTGTCCCACAAACAGTCGTGGATTGAGTGACCAAATTATTATTTTTGGAAGGATCATTACTACCAGAAATACTGCTAGAGTTCTGACTGACCACTAGGTAAACAGAGGCTCGTGGAGTAAGGAAACTGGTCTAAGGCTTTGGCCCGGCCGGGAATCAAACCGAGGACTTCTCGCTTCCGCTATTTATCTTTTCAAACCTTCATGAATCTTGGGAGACCTGTTGGCATTCCATATGAATATCTCTGTTTTCTGTGTCAATGAAAACAGTTGGAGCTGGAACCCTATAGTCTGTGCCATTGGATCAGTGCTGCAGTGGCTATTTCAAGCCTGGCAGAGTTTTAAAAGTGATGTCTGATGTCTTCTGGTTTGAGCGAGCGAGTTCTCATGCTCTGGGAGTGAATCCCCGCAATGACAGCTCGTGAATTGTTATGGAGGCACTGACGCCAACACAGACCCACGCCAACCGTGCTTGGATCTGTACGTTTACAATAGTCTCCAATAATGGAGTATAACTTACACATCGCTCCAGGGAAGTGGAAGTCAACTTTCTTTGGTCAGCCAACCGAATATTTTTTTCTTGATTGAATATTTCTCGTTTGCTGGCCACACCGTAAATATCGCCAGGAGGACCACCCTGCCATACACAGTGAGCAAGACAGATGGTGGGGAGTGGCAAAATGTTGGAGAATCAAGGCACTGGAACCTCAGGCAGATTTTAACACAGAACAGTGGGCTTTATTCCTTCCACATACTCAGGTTCAAGCCTTTTAAGAACTCCAGAAAACCAACTTCAAAGACTGAATTGTTTGAACAATTTACCAAACTCTGGACACTTGAAAATGCTGCATAAACCTAGGCCCAGGTCGAATTTTTCACCCACCCATAATTTTTTTGTCACTGAATCTGTGCACTTCGCTTTTTATCTCTGGATAAACAGTGCATTGTAACCGCTGTTTTTTTTTGGTGTATGTGTGCATTGCGCTCTTTATATAAATGTTCCTATCTATAAAAGGTTTGTTTTATAGTGTTCCAGCATCATAGTGAAGAGAGAGAGAGAGAGAGAAATGGTGACAAGGCTTTTTTTGTTGGTTGAGGGGACTACCCAGCCATTTTTTTTTACTCATTCCTTCCGCAGCCTTTATCTCTCACCATCTGTGCTCAGGAGAGTGGGAGGGTGACCTGCCAATGTGACTCTCAGCTGGTTCCAGCACCACATCAAGCATTCGCAAGTCGCGAATTTACATTCTCCATCCAGCAGCACTCCCAGGTCAGGTACAGCACAGACGAGATATAAAGTAAAGCTCGCTCTACATTGTCCCATCCAGCACTCCCAGGTCAGGTTCGGCACAGGTCAATTATGGAGTAAATCTCCCATGACACTGTTCCATCCATAATTCATCCTCCACAATCAATTGCTCTCCCTGCAGCTTGCTCCTCCCCCGAATATGCTGGCATCCCAACTACAACACCATAGGAACTGACTTTATGCACGTTACTGATGTAGGGCATTGCAACAACACTTTTAACTATAGACTGTTAAAGCAGATCTTTAGATAAGGGTTCCCTCACACGGAAGCATTGTGTTGAGGTTGTCTGGGTTGGTGGGGGTGGGGGGGGGTGGTGGAATGGGAGAGATATTGTAATTGTAAGATACCTATATTTTTACATTTCTGTTTATAAGTTTAATTTGAGTAGGATTTATCAATTTTTTATTTTAAAAAAACTCAAGGGCCTAAAATGCAGGTTGGGCTAATAGCCTGAGGGCTAACAATAAATAACCATTAAACAGGATTACAGGGGATCCTATCATTCTTCCATTGGTCAAATAATAATGATAATAATACTTGCATTTGATAAAGCACTGTTATCACGTTTTCAGGAAGTCTCAAAGCGATTCACAGGATATACTATAAAGTAAATTCACTGTGTATTTTGGGCAAGTTTCCTTACTCCACACGTCTAATAATATCCCTCCAAAACAATAATAAATTGGTCATTTTCAATCCACGGCTGTTTGTGGGGGACGCTGCTGTGCGCAATTGGCTGCCGCGTTTCGCCCACAAATATACAGTCAATTCACTTTACAGCATATTCTGTGAAGCGCTTTGAGACGTCCAGAAGACGTGATCAGGCGCTGTGTCAAATGCAAGGATTATTATTACTATTAGGGGAACCTGTGTCGTGTTTGAACAGGGTTAGCCCAAACTTTTTTAGCAACCAGAGTATAATCAGGTTTGTAAATACCATAAGGTGGCTCATGTTAGAACTAAACATCCACCCAGCTCCAAAATGCAGAGTGAATCCGCTTGAAGCCCATCTATCCTTAGTGTGTGCCCATCCATTGACTCCAAACTGCTAAACCGTGGGAGGTTCCATTGGGTGAACGTAAGACAATAATTGATAACGAACAAGTAAGATGGGAGAAAGTGAACATTCCATCTCGGGGGGGGAAAAACAGCAGTTTATGGGCTTGAAGGAACTGCCAGGAAGTAACGCACAAAGAGTTTGCTTGTTGGACTCATTTCCTCCTCTTGGCTGTGTTTAAAGAGTGGCTTGTGAAAAGCAGTGTTTTTGTGGTATAGAAAGTGCTGGAAGAAGCAGCTCACGGAACATGCTAATAGCACCCAGGACAATGGCTTCAGGGGGTGGTATGTACCACAAGCTAACGGCAGGTCTTCTGCACTCCCACCCCGGTTAACTCTCAGAGGGCCTTAAGGGCAGGGAATACTTTACTGGGGTTAAGTACTTTTAGCTATTCCTTAGAATTACATAGAACGCCACAGCACGGAAACAAGATATTAGGCCCCAATTCTTTTATGGTCAGCCGGGTGTCTGATACGTGAAATCCCCGAGATAGATTGTTGGAGTGGAATTGCGTCCTGCTTACCAAATCCGGACAGTATTAGGCGCAGGTTGGTGAGAGCCATGGCTTGAGGATCCCAGAGTGTGCGTTGGGGGTAACTGCTGGAGTCATTAGGCCAAATTAGTCCACACCAGTGTTTTTATTCGACACAAGCCTCCATCCCTGCTAATCCCCGCTCTTCCCTTCTCCCTTATGTATGCATCAAGCTTCCTCTTAAATACACTGATGCTTTCTGCTTCAACCACAGCTTCTGTCAGTGAGTTCCACTTTCTCACCACTGTCTGTGCAAGGTTAATATCAAGTTATTGACCTGTTTAATCGCAGACTTACTTGTGATAATATCACAATCCATCTCTGAGTACATCACCAAAGAAATGACATGATATGTATGGAAGGTTAAGCAGTTGTGCAATTTCTACTCCTAATTAATAGCACAAAAGACACCAGATTAACGCAGGACATGCAATTTCAGCAAGAGCTTCACTCTTGCCAATTATCTGGATTAGACGTTAAACCAAGATCCTATCCTCTTGTCTTCTGGTAAACGTTATAGGTTTCTTAACATTATACATACTCAGTTGTTTCTGTGTGCACTGGGTCACAGCAAGCAAAGTGTCCAGTTTTAGTAAATTCTGATAAAGAAACTGTCCCAGAAATATATAGTATTTGGTATAAATCTGAAGCTTCCCACTGCATTCAAAGGCAGAAAACAGTAGGTTTCTACAATGGGTTGGGTCTATGTCCTATACATCTGGTCAGACCTGGGATTACAAGCAGCGCCTTGGTGTCTGGTCCTGTCTGAGTATTTAGTCTGGCCCAAACAGCTTGCTTTTTAGAGTAGACAAACTATGACAGATAACAATAAAATAGACAGTGATGCACATAACATGAAAAAACTGCAAATTAACAGCCAAGAAAACACAACTAATGTGCATCTGTGCTCAAATAAGCATTATTATTATTAATACTTATCTTGTGATCAGAACAGAGAGGTGTGTCTGGATTTGTCCACACCTGCCATCACTGCGGTTTGGCTGCCTTCCCAGCAACAATCAATGCAATGGACTTACATACCTGAAATTCCATATTACATTGTGCCTTCAGTGGTTACCCAATTTATAGGGATGATGCAGCAATGGAGAACACAGTATAAAAGTGGAAATACAGAGAGGTGGAGACTGGACAAGAACAATAGATTCAGAGAAAATAGATAGAGATCCCAAGAAAGGTTGGATAGAGGCCATTTGGCCCATTTGAGCTAAACATTCTACCTCAAACTCTGTTCTAGCTGTTCATTCTCCTCCCTGATGGCTGTCCTAAATTTGCCTTTCACAACAATGAACCTGTAACTACTGCCTTGCCATAAAGCAATTTTATAAACACATTTTCATACAGAAGTGAGTCATTTGGCTCATTGTGTCTGTAACAATTACGCTCCATCCCATTTAGTATCTTGTATACCAACACATACATTCAGTCCATGACCCTTTTTAATCTGACATCACAGTTATTCATGACTGACTGACTGGATGCCTTTGCATGAGGTGTGAGCCACGATTTGCAGTCTCAATGCAAGTCCAGTCAATGAATGACATCTGAGATTGGGGAAAGGCAACGTCGGCAATGAACTGTCTGTTGCTATGACCTTTACAGTGGGGCAACAGTCACAAATTGAACACAGCTACACATTGTTTTGTAGCTAATTTCAACTAAATTAGCCTCAGGTAATTGGCAGAAGCTCAAAGTGCAAGAAGTCTGAGAAAGCCACAGGCAGAACCTTCTAATCAAAGAAGAAAAGCATCATCTGCAAGCATTTGACATGGTTCAGTGATCGCTTAGCTGACTATCCTTAGACATCGCTCATGTTAGTCTTCGCTCAGTACTTCTAGCCCTTGTCTACCCGTGTGCTCCAACCTTCCCTTCATCCCACTCTTCCCACTCTTTCTCTCGCAGAATGATGACAAACACAGTCGGGTTAAAGGTTCCTGGTGTCCAGCAATGCGTGTGATGCATTGATCCTGAGCTGGAGTTATAAACAAAATATGCGCAGACCCTATAAACAACAACAGCTTGCGTTTATAAAGCACCCTTCACGTGGGGCAGGGCCTTGGAGTGCTTTAAGTAAATATTGTAAACCTACATGGGTAATGGGACTGTAAATTTCTGACATTATTAATTTCCTACTCTAACCCCCCCACCCCCCCCAAGTACCACTCCAGTAATGGTTTGACGGTGCCTTATACTGACAGGTCATGCGTCATATCCATCTTTATTACTCTTCCAGCTAAGCCATGTCAGCTCTATCATGGTAACAACCAGGACAGTAAAAAAGGAATGTTTTTCTTTAAAAAAGATGTGTTTTGGTCTAAAGGGTAAAACGTAGTGAGTTTTTTTTTTCTGGGGTGGGGGAGAATTCAATCTCAGAGGTTGGTTCTGAAGGCTGAATCACTCCCTTGTGGATAAGTTGTCTGTGATCCCAGGTTATTGTCGCTGATGTGAAAGATCACTGTTGGAGACTGCGAAAATCATCTTAAAAAGACCGCACAGCACCACAAAAGGTCACCCTGATGGGACGTGACACAGCTGCTGAGTTGCTGAACTGTGTCGAGTCGTCCATGAGGTGCGGCCGAGAGAGAAAAAAAAACAGTCGAGGTTCCATTTTGGATCACCCTCCATACCAGGCCCATCTGCCGTACCCCACCATTGAGCTCAGAAAGCAGCATTGCCCAAACGCCCAGGATCACACAAAAGGGGGAGAGGAAGCAAAATAAAATACTTATGAATTTAAAAAAAAAAGCGCTATCTGTTGGAAAACCGGGGATGAAAGAATTAAAGCCCCCAACACGGGCGCTCTCGTCACCCACACACATCTCAGCCATTTCTTCCCTTCCCCCCCTTCCACCCCTCAGCTCGTAAACTGGATATGATTCCCAGATATGACAGACAGACCGACAGGTTTGCATCGACATGAACTATGTGTTGTAGTCACGTGAAAGAATCTACACAATTGAACTGGAACAAAGTGCAGTAGAATCGCTCTATATGACTGTCTTTACAAAGCGGCATGTTATATAGACAGGGGCCATGTTGTGGAGAGTTTTTCATATGGCTTTCTCTCTTGGAGAGACAGCCCAAAATAATGTATGTTAGATTAAGGTCACGGTACTCAACGACTATAATGGAGCTACTGTACTTTAACATCTTTCCTCCAACAAAAGCATCTTAAATCTTCGGGATTCTTTTCCCCCTCTGTCCTCAAGTACAGTACTCCGCAAAACTCCTGCACGTTTGCACAGAGTGTGCAAGAAAAGAACGATGTTTAAATCGCTCCCCTCCGCCCCCCCCCCAACCCTACCCCGACATGGGTGATGTTGGTTTTAATAACTTAACCGAGAGCTCGGCAAGCGCAACGAGTAAACTTTTTTTTGAGTATTTTAAAATCAGATGGCCTTTACACGTTCAAAAAAAATACTGAAGGAAATAAAAGAAATAAAACCCCTTCCTACCTGTGAGTGCTGCAAGAAAGCAGAAAATGTTGAAAAACTCTAGCGTGGTGAAACCTCTTGAGAATACTTCCCTTTCTGCCTTCATTTTGGGACTAGCACTGGCTGCTGATGATTTGCATGATTTGTACACTCCAGACACGTCCTCAGTACCACTAGGAGTTTTCGACAAATCTCTACTCTGCCAACTCCCCTGAATAGAAGGGCAGTGTTCTCTAATTTATTACTGAGGTTTTCACCACTGAGATTCCATGCCAGGCTGAAGGGAAGAAAAAAAGAGAGAATCATAAAGATCTTGTCCTTTTCCACCAACAAAAATCTCTTGATAAAACACGGGAAGTGATGATTTGCACTCGATATGTTTAACGGCCCACAATCACGATTGTCAGCCCCGATTTTAGTTCCTACATCCCCGACATCACAAGGTTTTGAATTCTCAGAACAAGCGATTTAGATTTTTTTTGGACGTCAAGACAGCTTCGAGAGGTATTTGACTGCGTTGGGGAGAGAAGGGAGTATATGTTAGATAGGGAGTGATCCTAATTTTAAAAAATTGCACTGATCAAATGGAAGTATTCTGTTCTTGCCATGTGCATCATGTCGTTGAGACGTCTCCAAAGCGCTTCACAGAATATACTGTTAAGTGAATTGACTGTATATTGTGGGCAAAACGCAGCAGCCAATTGTGCACAGCTGTGTCCCACAAACAGTTGCGGATTGAGTGACCAAATTATTATTCATTTCTTCATTTTTGAGGGGACTATTACCCCCGGAAAGCGATCTGCCAATCGACTAACAACGGGATTCCTATTTACTGCCAAGTAAGCAGAGGCATGTGTGCGGAGGGAGAAAGGAAACTTGCCTAAGGTTTTGCCTTGAACCTGGGTCCTCTCGCTAGCGAGGCAAGTGTGCTAACCAGTATGCTACGGGACACCGCAATTATAGTATTGGAGTCTATTACATTCTGATTCCGAACATAAGTGATCCTTTTCACAAGCTTTCTAATGGGATGTCATTAGATGTCGTCTAATCAATCTTCTCCTCAATCACGGTTGCAGTCTGAGATTTTTTCAGCAAAGCCGGTGTACGGTACTAGGAAGTTTCTGGCACCTTACTCCAGTGTCAGCCATGTCAGTGATTGATGACAGCCTATTCAACAATGGGAACATCTCAGCCTGATCTTCTCCTGTCTACCACAAACAGATTTTCTGGCAAGGAATGACAGGATACAACAACAGCAACTTGCATTTGTATAGTGGAGTGAAATCAGGAAGCACCTGTTCACACAAAGGATAGTGGAAATCTGGAACTCTCTCCCTCCCCCAGAAGGCTATGGATGCTGGATCAATTAAAATTTTCAAGACTGCGGTGGATAGATGTTTGTTTGGTCCGGGTTATGGGGCAAAGGCGGGTACTTGGAGTTGAGATACCATGATGCGCAGAGAAAGCAAAAAAGATGATTCTCCAGTACTGGACACAGCTATGAACATTGAAGAGTCCCGAACCTCAAAAAGAGTGTCTCAAAGGGCATATAAACTTAACGGACACTCTCTGTGGAGTCCTGTAGCTCAGTGGTTAGAGCACTCGCTTTGCAAGCGAGAGACCTGAGTTCAATTCCAGGCAGAGGGCGAAACCTTGGGCAAGTTTCCTTACTCCACACAGAGCCTAATAATGATCCCTCCAAAACCAAAAACAATAATAAAAAATTGGTCATTTTCAATCTACGACTGTTTGTGGGACATTGGCTGCCGCGTTCGCCCACAAATATACAGTCAATTCACTTTACAATGTGTTCTGTGAAGCGCTTTGGGACGTCCTCCCGACGTGAAAAGCGCTATATCAAATGCAAGGATTATTGTTAACAGTTTAAAGCTGTAATGGAAAAAGGATAGGGAGGGTATTCTGGAAGGATAAGATCCTCATCCAAATCTTCTCTTATGAGATATTTTTAGCAATTGGCATACAACACACACCATCAATTGTTTCTTTAAAGATCTTTCATTTCAGATCTGACTACAATATCTTTATATCTGAACACAAATACTGTAGTGCCAGCCAAGGATTAAGCCTATTTTTTTTTTCTTATGTGTAACTTTATTTTAAGCACTTTCACCTAAATCCCTTCAATGTTGGAGTGCGGGGGAGAAAAAGGAGATGAGTGGGGGAAGACAGGAAGAGTGTTTGTACCCTGCAGCTCCGGAGAAAAACAGCAGAAGAAAGAAAGGGTAATCTGAAGTTCCCATAGCAATAGAGCAACACAGATTTCCAGCTGTAAATTGTTCCTAATTAAAAGACAGTGACAAGAGGTTATTCCACTGTGATGGAGCAGAGAGGAGAGACTGAGTTCAGTTCCCTCAATTTCTGAGAGGAGCAACTTGTTATTTTGCCAAAAAGAAGTCCCGTTGGGAGTAAATCTTCAATGTTCGAGGGTGAAAGAGCTCAGCATTATAGCAGCTGCAGTAAACCATGCGGTCACGCCTTCTGGATTCAAAAGGTAGCGAGCAGAGTTTGTTAGCATTCAGTCTTTAAAAGGATGCTCAAATTATATTTGAACAGCCTTACACACCATGCCAACACATTCTCCCGCATAGAAATCTCAAGGAAACATGGAGAAAGCACACAATTCCAGAGTTTTCCACTATCCCGTTGTTTAGAAACCATTGTTGAATACTTGCATTGGATGCGATGCTTTGTCGCATTGAAATGACTGAAGTGCTTCGCACAATGAGTTATTCTGAAGCTCCGTGACTGCTTTTCTGTCAGCAAATGTGCTGGCTAATCTGCGGGAGCAATGTTCCGCAAACAGCGATGAGACAAATGACCACATTTAATGGGTTTAAGTGAATTTGGATGGAGCGTATTGGCCAGCCATCCCTGGTCATCAGTTGAAATACCAGCCTGGGCCTTGATTTTAGCCTAAATCACCAGAGAAGGATTCTCCTCTCCTCTCGATTTAACATCTCATCCAAAAGACGGCATCTCGGCAATACAGTACTCCCTCAGTCCTGCACTGCAGTCCTGTTGCGTAGTGGTTAGAGCACTCGCCTCATAAGGTGAGAGGACCCAGGTTCGATTCTCGGGCGGGGCAAACCCTTAGAAAAGTTTCCTTACTCCACACGCCTGTTTAGATACCAGTAAGTAGGAACCCGGATGTTAGATTGGTGAATCGCCTTCCAAGGGTAATAATTAACCCCCCCAAACTATGTTTTGCCCACAAAATGCAGTCAATCCACTTTACAATATATTCTGTGAAGCGCTTTCAGACGTTTCAAGGACCTGATAAGGCATGTTGTCAAATGCAAGGATTATTATTATTGTGTCAGCCTGGATTCAATACTGAAGTCCAGATATTGGACTCAAACCTCCTCAGAGGCAAACAACTGAGCCAATTATATGACTAATTACAGCCCTTCTCGATGAGGTTGGGTTTGATCATGCTTTTTTCCAGTGACAAAAGGGATACTAGGGAAACTCCAGAGACGTGGCATAACCTGCAGAGGTCTATCGGTGAGTTTTCACTGATGGAAAATAATCCGTGGCTTGACGCAAAGGCTCACTGGACTGCTGCGAGAGAAGAGCTAATGCCATTGTTCTAGTGTATTTGGGGAGGTCTATGTCACTATTACACATTTGCTTTCTGTACCCATTCGGCATAAAGCCGTGCGCAGTTATCAGGCTGATTGTATAAAACAGATAACGCGTCGCGAGTTACGTGTTTGAGAGCTGTCATTACTGTGTGTTTGTGATTGTACAGTCAGTATCAGAGTTCCCTCTGCTGGCGTCGTGGGTAAAAGCACCAGTGGGTTTAATAATAATAATAATAATCCTTGCATTTGATATAGCGCTTTTCACGTCGGGAGGACGTCCCAAAGCGCTTCACAGAACACACTGTAAAGTGAATTGACTGTATATTTGTGGGCGAACGCGGCAGCCAATTGCGCACAGCAATGTCCCACAAACAGTCGTAGATTGAAAATGACCAATTTATTATTGTTTTTTGTTTTTTTGGAGGGATTATTATTAGGCTCTGTGTGGAGTAAGGAAACTTGCCCAAGGTTTCGTCCTCTGCCTGGAATTGAACTCAGGTCTCTCGCTTGCAAAGCGAGTGCTCTAACCACTGAGCTACAGGACTCCACTTTGCCTGGAACACTGGCACACAAACTCCCTTCTCTTTTCGAATAGCGCCGCGGGATCTTTAACATCCAGTTGGCTGACAGGACCTCAGCTTAACGTCTCACCTGAAGAACGTCGCTTCAAACAACGCAACACCACCCCAGTGCGCCATTGGAGCGTTAGCTTAGACTATGTGATTCCGAATCCTGACATGGAGGCTTGAACCCACCTTTTGATTCAGACGTGAAAAGCGCTATATCAAATGCAAGGATTATTATTATTATTATTATTAGTGGCGAGAGCGCTACCGACTGAGCTGCGCTGATGCATCCAAACAACTCTCTGTGGAAAGAAATTCCTCTTAATCTCCTCTTTGGTAATCGTTCTTAAATTGATGACCTCTCGTCACTGACTAGTGGAATTGTCAAAATCAAAAAAAATTATAAAAATAAATTCATATTATATCCGACCTCCACTATATAAATGTCAATTTGTCTTGTATCAGACCTCAACAAGATCACCCTCACTCTTTTGAACTCCATCCCAGAGTCCCTCTGACTTGCCCTGAACTTCACTTCTTTCAAGGTTCATCAGCTCAGGTGCCAAGCAAAGATACCTGAAGCGCCTAAGTGGCTTATTACTCCTGGAACGTGTCCGCAAATTGTCTGTGAAGCTGTGAAACATCACCTTTATTTGCCCCATCCACTGCCCCTCGCGTGGGGAAACCCCGTGAAGCTGCCCGAGCAGACAACCAGTTTCCCAGCCTTCCTGCCCAAACCCCAAAGTCATCAACTCAACCATCTCCTCAATCCCAAACTAACCCCAAACCAACCCCAAACCTACCCCAACCCCAAACCAACCCCAAACCAACCCCAACCCCAAACCTACCCCAACCCCAAACCAACCCCAACCCCAAACCAACCTCAACCCCAAATCAACCCCAACCCCAAACCTACCCCGACCCCAAATCAACCCCAAACCAACCTCGACCCCAAACCAATCTTTCCCACGCAAACCCCCAATTCGAAAGCGATCCGCCACTCGACTGACAACCGGGTTCCTACTTACTGCTGGGTAAGCGGAGGCGCGTGGGGGTAAGGGAACCTGCCCAGCATTGTGCCCTGTCGGGAATCAGACCCAGGTCCTCTCGCTTGTGAGGCGAGAGTAAAAAACAACAACAACAACAACAACGACAGCGTGCATTTATACAGCGCCAACCCCCACCCTACGCCTGGTAGCGTCCCAGAGGGCTTGAAACAGTGGCGCGTGGAGCAGCGCTTCAGGACGTCCTCCTGACGTGAAAGGCGCTATCCAAGTGTAAGTTGTTGTTGTTGTTGTTGTTGTCTGACGTGGGTGTGTGTGTGTGTGTCTCTCTCTCTCCTTTACCAATATGGCGGCCGCGGGGGCTTCAGTGCGGATCACGTGCCGCTGGGCGGCGACAGCGGGGGGGGGGGGGAAGGGGAGGTCTCGCGAGAGTTGGCGGGAAGCTGTCCGTCAGCGCGGAGGGGGCGGTTCCCGCGAGAGCCCAACCGTCAGCTGCGCGCGCACGCACTGTGAGGAGCGGCCAGACGCACACCCACACACACACCGTGACAGAGAGAGGGACACACACCCACACACACACCGTGACAGAGAGAGGGACACACACCCACACACACACCGTGACAGAGAGAGGGACACACACCCACACACACACCGTGACAGAGAGAGGGACACACAACCACACACACCCACACCGTGACAGAGAGAGGGACACACACCCACACACACACCGTGACAGAGAGAGGGACACACACCCACACACACACCGTGACAGAGAGAGGGACACACACCCACACACACCCACACCGTGACAGAGAGAGGGACACACACCCACACACACACCGTGACAGAGAGGGACACACACCCACACACACACCGTGACAGAGAGGGACACACACACCGTGACAGAGAAGGACACACACCCACTCACACACACCGTGACAGAGAGAGGGACACACACACCCACACACACACACTGAGAGAGACACCCAGACACACACCGCGAGAGAGAGGGACACACACGCACACACACACACCAACACACCCAACAAAGCCCACAGAGAGAGAGAGACTGTGGGGGGTGGGGATGGGGGGACATTCAGTGAGCTGAGGGTAAGAGCGAGAGTGTGAGGGGTTGGTCTCGGTGTCTGTCCGGGTTTGGGTATCTCTCTGGGTGTGCGTGTGCGTGTGTGTGTGTGTGTGTCTCTCTGTCCCTGTGGGTGCCCGTCTCTCTCTCTCTCTCTCTGTCTGTCTCTCTCTGTCTCTCTCCCCCCGAGAGCTCCTCTCGAAGGCGTCCCGGACGCCATGCCCCCAAAGGCGGCCCCTGGGCGGAGGCGGCCCCGGACCCGAATGGGGAGGGTGCTGGCCGAGAGGAACGAGGCGGTGATGCCGGTGGGCGCGTGGGTGGAGAACGCCGGGGAGGAAGGGCAGCACTTGGCATTCGTGAGTAGAAGAAGCCACGCGGGGGGGGGAGCCCCCTCTGGGAGGGGAGCGGTCGGAGGAGCACACTCGCCTCGCGGGCGAGAGGACCCGGGTTCAATCCCCGGGCCGGGCGAAACCCTGGGCAGGTCTCCTCGCTCCGCACGCGGCTGTTTTTGCGCGGCAGTGAGTAGGGATCCCCCGGTTTGTTAGTTGAGTGGCCGATGGGTGGCTTTTCTTTTCCGGGGAAGGGGGTCATAATTCCTTCGAGAATTAAAAAAAAATTAATAATCTAAGGATAATAATAATAATCCTGGCATTTCATATAGCGCTTTTCACGTCGGAGGACGTCCCAAAGCGCTTCACAGAACACACTGTAAAGTGAATTGACTGTATATTTGTGGGCGAACGCGGCAGCCAATTGCGCACAGCAGTGTCCCACAAACAGTCATAGATTGAAAATGACCAATTTATTATTGTTTTGGTTTTGGAGGATTATTATTAGGCTCTGTGTGGAGTAAGGAAACTTGCCCAAGGTTTCGCCCTCTGCCTGGAATTAAACTCAGGTCTCTCACTTGCAAAGCGAGTGCTCTAACCACTGAGCTACAGGACTCCGTAATTTGGTCACGTAATCCATTTTGTGGGACGCACAGCTGTGCTGCCATGTTTCGCCCACGACATCTGCACTCGGTTCCGCTTTGCAGCATATTCCGTGAAGCACTTTGAGACGTCGTGAAGACGTGACAGGATGTTATATCAAACGCAAGGATGATTGTTATTAGTTATATAGTGCCCTTCACGTCTGATAGCGTCTCAGAATAATGAATGAGTTATTGGAAATGTGAGCACCTCTGCTTCCCGACAACTTTTGCCTACTAATTAAATTACAGTTTCATTGTTCAGTAGTTTTTCTGGAAAAAGCTGAAGGACATCAGTTCTTCCAAATTCACTATTCCATGAAAAAGTCAACAGCAACAGCAGCGGCTTTGAAGAACTCCGATTATTATAGGCATTCAATTCCTCACAGTTAATATCTGTTCCTCTCGGCTACAAAACTGGGCCCATGAAAATCTTGGAATGCACCAAGTTTCAAAAAGTAATTGTTTCTGAAGAGATAATCCCATTTATTCCCACGTAAAGAGCTGGTTTGTTCTCGACAAGCAGTTGATCGAAAAAGCCCACTCATTAACCAGGCAATTCCTCATGGAGGCGGAAAGCATAAATTGGGTCTGAGAGGCATTTCAACCGATTTAAGAATTGCAGCCATTAGGCATTTCCAATTCCATTTAATAGCTACTGGAAATATTATTGTATTTGTTTTATACTTTAGAATAGATTAACATGTATCATCTGAATTGTTTTAATGTACTTTCTAAGGCTTTTTTGTGAGGGAATTCTCCCATTAATTTCTACTCTCAGTGCACTGCTCTTTCAAACCAGCAAAGGAGTTTTGAGGCCTTGTTTCCATGGAGCTTAGCTTGTTTTCTCTTTTCCTTCCACGAGTATAGTTCTGATATGAATCCATTGTTTTCATTGCCCACCTCCCCACCCCACCAACAATACACATACAGGCCTCACTCTGTTAGGTACTCTTGCAAAGTAAAAATAAAAATCCTGTTGCTGGCCATTAAAATTGAACAAACGTCTATGTTTTTATGCTTGTAATTAGTCGACTGGATACTAATTGAGATTGTTTAATTTCTTGTAGTTTTCAGCTTTTGAGGTTGAGGAGCAGCTTAAAGAAATCCACCGAACAAAAATGGAGAATCTGAAACGGTTTCAAGATAACGTGAAGAGGCGTGTGAGCGAACAAGCACGAATGTACAAAAACCACCAGCAACAGCGATCCTGTGACGCCGTATGAAACTTACAATAATAATCGAATAATCATAATACTCCTTGCATTTAATATAACAACAAAAACTTACATTTATTTAGCTCCCTTCACACGGGTAGCGTCCCAGAGCGCTTAACAGTGGCGGAGCACAATATAACACCTTATCACGTCTTCGAGACACCTCAAAGCACTTCACAGAATATATTGAATATATTGTAAAGTGGATTGACTGTATTTTGTGGATGAATATGTCAGTCAGTTGCGTACATTTGGATGAATGGACTTATACAATCAATCCCCTTTGCTGTTCGAAACAGAAGGATTTAGTAATGTTTAATAAACTCTGTCAATCCTTCGATAATCAGCAAACTGAAACCATATTTGAAAACATTTCATAAGGGCTGCATGTTGAATTTTATTTTTGTAACCCAGCTTGTATAATTACATGAATCAGCCTATGGAGACAAGCCATATATATTTTTAAATATGTGTTTAATGATGTGAAACCATTCTATTTTGTGCAATTCTTCCTGAGCAGCATTAATCCTTCTTTGCTACATGGGAGATTTTGTAGGACCAATTGTCAAGGTATTACTCCTGCGGCTCTCAGTTTGGCTGCATGTTATGACTTATGAATACCTCAGTCACCTGACTACAAAAACTACTTCTAGTTTTATTTTGATATTGCATACTTTAGTATATATGTGAACAGATGTTGTAATTAGTGCTTTAAAGAGGGTTTTGAAATATCGAGAATTAGATGCCATTTATGGATTTCTGGTGCTTTTATTTAGGTTGAAAGAGATAACTGGATTATAAGGCAATCCTCAACTTCTGCTGATCACCTCACTCCAACGAAAATCACTTGTGCGCTTCATGCCAGCAATGTGGAGTTTGCTATCTGCAGCCCCAGCGTAAAGTGGGTGAGCGCCCAGAGAGTGGGCAAGGTCGCAGAGGAAGCCGAAAAGAACAAGGCGTTCAATGACCAAGCTCAGAAGGTCAGTAGCGTACAAAGGAATTTATACAGAAACTGTTTCTTCTGAGCTTTTCTTGTCTTGATTTTCTTTAGAATAATACATTCCTGCTGATTGTTTAATAGAATTGCATGTTTCTATTTATGCCTTTGCTTGTTCAGAGAAATAATTAAAGTACTTTGGATTCATACTAATCAGTTTACTGATAGACATTGTAAGCATTTCTGGTGCTGGTTGGCAATCTGGACTTAGAAATGCACAAAAGTAAGCCGTATAGCCTTAGTTTTTCTCCCACTCTCCAGATAACTTTGGATTAGATGGTTTCACCCCATAGATGAGCTAAGAGTCAGTACTTGAAGAACCTATGACCTACTCTTGTTTGTCTATCATCTGATTCGATGTCTAAGAATTTACTAGTTTTAACAAAAAATAACAATCATGTACATAAGCTGATCGTGAACATGTAAATCCTCTTTTCTTGCTTTGCCTAGCTCATGTAATTTGTGTGTTAAGTGCTCTGGGACGCTACTCTGGGTGAAGGGTGCTATATAAATGCAAGTTATTGGTGTTTCACCACAAAAATCAGCTGGGTTTGTGCTAAAATACGGTGTTTGTTTTAGCTCAGCAAAGTGACAAAGCAGGCCCGGCACAGGCTAGCATCGTGTCAGACCATAGCACAAGAGGAGGTGAGCGCGGGACTCCCAGGAGGTGTCTGGAAAGTATCTCCTACAAGAGACGTAAGTCATGTTTAATGCATAATCTAATTTATAATAAACTAACTGATTTTAAATTTACGTGATGATAATCCTTGCATTTGATGCAGCGCCTTATCATGCACAGCATATATTGCAAAGTAGATTAACTGTATATTTTGTGGGCAAAATGCGGCAGCCAATTGTCTACAGCAGCATCCCACAGACAGTCATGGAATGAATGACCAAATTTCTTTTTGTGGGGGAGTTATCCACGTAGATTACAGAGCCCCATTTTAAATTTTTAAAAATCTAGCATTTGTTTCCACACATGCCTGGAATCAAAACAACAACAACAAATTACATTTGTATAGCGCCTTTCACGTCAGGAGGACGTCCCAAGACACTAAGAAATCATTGTTTTACATATGTGGTTATGTCACATGTAAAAGTTATTGTGTAGTTATTTACACATTAACATACAGAGATGCCTCTACATTTTAATGTGTTCATTGTTTCTCTCTCTCGTCAAGTTTGCACCACTTCACGTTCCAATTTTATCTTGAAATGTTGTAGGTGAAGGAGCCAGTGCTGTTTCCTTATCCATGGGACACTGTTGGTTGGATCTCTTACGCTCTCATAGCTTGACTTACGGTTTTACCACTGAATCTGCAGCTTGTTCCATGTACATCTGCAAATTTTACTGTCAAAAAGTCTTGTTAGACTGTCACAAAGACAGCAGGATTTGCTTTGTTACCAGATCCTTTGTCCTTTTCCAGAACCCTGTGTCCCGAAGAAAACTCCAGCCAAGCTTCGAAGAGGATTTTACCTGTCTGGAAAACCAACATGATCTGCCTGCAGAGTTACAGGAACAACAGTCAATGAAGGATGGCAAATGTGTCACGTTTCAGCTTAGCGAAGAGAGTGGAAAGGTTAGACATGGGTTCAAAGTTTTGTTTCCGAAATGCACAGTAGCAAAACACAACCTCGTTAAATATCTGACTTTAAAATGATTGTGATATTGTCAAACGTGCAAAGGAAGCTGTCTTTGGAACAGAGTGTGTTTTGCACATGCTACAATCCTAGCTACAAAGTTTTTTTTCGTTCTGATAATATCCAAGCTTAAAATTAAATCCTAATTAATGAATCATCTAATGATTATATAGTTCCACTTTCCAGAGAATTACTTTATTATATATATTTTAATTTCCAATTGGGATCGCTGGAATATATTTCTAAACATCCAATGATAACAGCCCTAATCAAAGGATAACAATATTGGCAAAGCAACTGTGTATGTAGATGGTTCAACTGTAAAAATAAAATTGAAAATGCACTTCTTGAATGTGCATGATTCATGACCCCCTTTGTACTGTATATTGGGTTTCGAGTCTCATCGTGGTGTTAAAACCTGCAATCTGATTGTGTGAATGTAATTGCTATTTTAGGTTGGCAATCGACTTGTCTGTGAGCCTCCCCCCGCAGGGCCTTACCCAGGATTCAGTGCTGAGCACAGAGGAGCTGCCATTCTGCAGCCTGGGGTGGACAAGGAAGAGAGCAAGAAACAGGTCGGTTAAAGAGATTTTATATTTTTTTTGACAAACTTAAATTTTATTTTTTAACCTGAATATACAATTAATGATTTCCACTGTTAATACTTGTCCACGCTTTCACCCCCTCCCGTGGTTAACAACGCTTTCAGCAGAAGTGTCCCCTTACCTTAATAATAATAATCCTTGCAGCGCTTTTCACGTCTTCTCGACGTCCCAAAGCGCTTCACAGAATAGACTGTAAAGTGAATTGACTGTATATTTGTGGGCGAAACGCGGCAGCCAATTGTGCACAGCATCGTCCCACAAACAATCGTGGATTGAACTGACCAATTTATTTTCTTTTGGAAGGAAGGAATAATCCCTAATAACATTATAATATCACCCCCTTGCAACAATTCTCGGTGAATAACTTGTTCAAGCTGGAACATCTTTGAAAGCGGATTTTGAATAAATCTAACACTTTTTGTCTCGTCTCCTCGAACGACAGCGCCAATGCCAGTACCTGATGTACCGTCGTCTTTTCATGGACCTCGAACGGGAACAGGTCAAAGCCCAGCGACGGCAGAGAGAGCACGAGAAGAGAATAGCCGTGTGAGTGACGCTGTTTAGGTTCAGTGGATTTCTCTCACTTCACCTTGAAAGTAACGTCATGTGTGGTCACGTTCTTGCTGTCACAATTAGTAGCTTGTATTCAGCTGAATACTACTCAGTATATCCCCCATAGAAAGGACCTATAGTAAGAGTATTGACAAGTGCGTCAATTGCTACTAATTGGAATAAACAACATAAGAATTTCCAAGGCAAAAGAAGAACAAGGTGCATCCAGTTCGCCTTCCACCATCCTGCCAGTCGCGTGACATGTTACGTCCCATGTATCTCGAGATATTATTTTCAAACGGAAATCATTTGTTCTTGAAAGAATCAACACTATTAGGCCTAAAGAATGATTGGAATGAAATTCTCTGCCACAAGCTGTAGTTAAAGCACAGTACAGATACAGTACTCTGCATTGCTAATATTTGTACCTTAAAGTAAAATTAAAGACTATTCCATAATCTGGCACACATCAGCTCAGCTGATGAGAGCCATATTGTTCACATCTAGACCCAGATACAAATGTACCATTTAGATGCTCTTAAAATCTTTTGTCAGAATTAAGGAGGAGAAAGAGAGGCTGAGGAAAGCTGCAGAGAATCGGCTGTATCAGGAAATTCATCAGAGATGCCTCATGGCAGAAAGTGAAAAGATGCTTCAGGCAAAGCTGCAGGAGGAGAGGAAACGGGAACAACGGGGAAAGGTCCAGAAAGATAAGGAGACAACCAGGTAGGCTGGCTACAGTGCCTTTCTCGGGCGCTTTGGGAGAGTAATAATAATAATTGCATAACAATAATCCTTGCATTTGATAGAGTGCCTCAAAGACATGATAAAAAGCTATATCAAATGCTAGGATTATTGTTAGAGTTGTCATGGAGGTAATGGTGAGTTGCAGGCTATTGTGGGATATAAACCGTGGTTAGGGGGAAGTTTTAATAGCCGTTCACTGATCTGGTATTTACTCCTAGTGAAGGTGACTGTATTTCTTCATCTTTTGCTTTGTCTTTAACTTTGCTGCAGGTATATTGAAGCCCTGAGAGCACAGACAATGGACAAGATTAAACTGCAAAACACCGATCTGGCCCCACTCTGCTGCTGTGGGAGCGACTTCTGGGACTCGCACCCAGATATGTGTGCCAACAACTGCATATTTTATAAGAACCCTAAAGGTAGTACAACCTTCCTGACGCAGTAAAAACTTGGGAGCTTAAATCTGCTCCAACAATGTGTACCTATACTGCTCCTCATGGCTCAATATAGCCACCCTCTAACATAAAATGGAGCCTTATACATCATAAAGATTCCAGGTATAAACACAGAAGTCACTGGGAACATGCAGCAGGTCAGACAAGATTCCAGGTTCAATTCCCCGGTCTGTGCCATTGACCTGTGTTAAGGAGGGAGAGGAATGGGGGAAGCAGCTAGGATTCTTGATCCTGATTCCTACCCAGTGTTTTTCTGGTGGAAAGTGTGGGTGTGGGATATCAGCTGTAATGGTCATTCATTATGGGGCTCACATATTAAGAATGGACGTTTGGATTTAATGAAGGGAACTGGGGCCTGTGGAACTAGTACCCACTCCATGTTCGTACCTTCAGCATAGGAGAAGGAAAGATAACTGAGAACCATTATTAGCTGATTGCAATCTGATTGGGGTGTTCCCTGAACACAACTGAAACAGTCATTTGCACTTGTGATCGTGATTAGATTACACCCTTATATCACCACTTCGGAACTCTGCAACTGTTTTTGGGGAGTTTAATCTGGGGTAAGGACAGTCTGACGATGGGATACATATCCTCAATGTATTGAAGGATATTTACACAACAGAGCTGAGCTTCATAACATTACTGCAGGTTTATGAAGAAAGAAACTTCTCGAAGTTGTGATAAGGTGCTCTATCAAATGCAAGGATTATTATTATTAAATAATGTGAAGGTGATTGCAGGAATGTTCTCTAAAATTCAAGCCCATCTTAAATGTAAATTGGGTGTTTAGTCAAGCTGATCAAAGCTGATCAAAGCTGATTTTCACCCAGAAAATACACACTTTACACTTGATATGTGAAGTGCTTTGAGACATCTCAACGACGTGATAAGGCGCTGTATCAAATGCAAGGATTATTATAAATGGGCAGGTTTGACAGTAGATTTGTGTGCTTTTTTGTCCTGCCAGTATATGCTCGAGCACTACAGTCTGTGTTGTCTTCCTGTGACATGTGGGATGGAAACCACAGAAGCCACTTCTCAAAGAGAATTGCATCAGCGCCTGTCCGTTCACTCCAGAAGTAATCGATGCTTTCTCGGAAGTCAAGACCAGATGAAGACAAAGTTAAACTTCATTGAAGAGACTCTAATCAGCAGAGGTGTGTGTGTGTGTGTGCTCGGAACAACAAGTGCCTTTCCATTGACAAATGGTGCTGTGTTTGATAACTTATTTGTATTATGTTTAGCTATGAGAAGTCGATATTGCTCTGTAATCCATTCATTGACTTTTTTTCCGTTAAAAAAACTGATCTCCGTTTTAAAAAATATCCGTAAATTGGAAAAACAAGGTTCTGGAGGAGGGAAAATTCACAAAATATACACCTTGCTCAGGTCCACTCTCATCATCCCAAGAGTTTTGATCTATGTACGTACAAAGTCAATCTTACAGTCGTACGTTTATTGTCGCAGTTCGTTTGCGCAGCTGTTCTTTCACTGGTCTCGGCACATGGCAAGATTAAGAAAATAAACACTTTGAGTATTCTTTTAGAACGTCTGAATGCAAAAGGAACGTGAGGCGAAGGTCTGATGGTTCAGTGGGTGAAACGCTCTGTTGCGGAGTGGTTCTGTACCGGAGTCGTACAAACAAGAGAGAACCTGTGTGCTCACCCCCCGGGCTCAGGTGGACTCGAAATAAAATCCACAAGTGTCGGGGTGACGCTCTCGCTGTTGAGTCAGAAGGTTGTGGGATGAAGTTATATGTCAGGACTTCATGTAGTCTTGTCTGGACTGACGCTCCAGCTGCAGTGCTGGGGGTGTGCCTCGCCATCAGAGGTGCCGTCCATCAAATGAAGAACGTGTTAAAGTGAAGGTCTCGGCAAAGACCGCATAGCACTCTTCGAAAACAATCCCTCTCATAAAATGGGTCACCAACGCGCTCACTCCACTCCACGGCTGTTTGTGGGACGTTGTTCTGTGCGACGTCTGCGAATGATGATAAAACATAATTTTCCCCCCCCAAAAAATACACTTATTGTTAATAAAGGTGACACTAACATTTTAAAGACCAGGGTGGCTTTAAATCATCGTACGTGGCGCGGTAAAGCGATTGTGAGTGAGTGAATGAAGAGTGACTGAGACAGTGAGTGAGTGAGTGAGTGAGCAATGAGGGAGGAGTGACAGTCAGTGACAGTGAGTCAGTGACTGAATGATCTCAGAAAAGCTTTTGCCCATTTAATTGCTCTTTTCGTCAATTACACTCAACCTCCATCCGATCACATGTTAAACTACACCCTCTTCCCCCCTCCCCCACTACCCCCCCACTACCCCCCCACTACTCCCCCGCCCTCCCCCACTACCCCGCCCCCCCACTACCCCCACTACTCCCCGCCCTCCCCCACTACCCCCGCTACCCCCCCGGCCCTCCCCCCCCCCACTACCCCCCGCCCCTGCCCTAACCCCCCCCCCGTGTCGGGGTGACATTTAAAGGGGAACATGTGATGTGGCTTCACTGATCAGAACCGGAAACAGTATCAGTTGTTGTCACCATTTCAATCGGTTACATTGTTTCCCTCCGCGGAGACCGTGTGGGTAACAGTGCGACTGAGACACACACCGTCAGCCTCTGTCCCCCTCTCTCTGTCCCTCTCCGTCTCTCCCTCTCTGTCTCTCCCCCCTCTCTCCCTCTCTGTCCCTCCCTCTCTGTCTCCCCCTCTCTGTCTCTGTCTCTCCGTCTCTGTCTCTCCGTCTCTCTGTCTCCCCCTCTCTGTCCCTCCCTCCCCCCCCCTCTCTGCCTCTCCCTCTCTGTCTCCCCCTCTCTGTCTCTCCGTCTCTGTCTCTCCGTCTCTCTGTCTCCCCTCTCTGTCCCTCCCCCCCCCTCTCTGCCTCTCCCTCTCTGTCTCCCCCTCTCTGTCTCTCCGTCTCTGTCTCTCCGTCTCTCTGTCTCCCCCTCTCTGTCCCTCCCTCCCCCCCCCCTGTCTCTCCTCTCTGTCCCTCCCCCCTCTCTGTCTCCCCTCTCTGTCCCTCCCTCCCCCCCCCTGTCTCTCCCTCTCTGTCCCTCCCCCCCCTCTCTGTCTCCCCCTCTCTGTCCCTCCCTCCCCCCCCCCCTGTCTCTCCCTCTCTGTCCTCCCCCCTCTCTGTCTCCCCCTCTCTGTCCCTCCCTCCCCCCCCCTCTGTCTCTCCCTCTCTGTCCCTCCCCCCCTCCCTGTCTCTCCCTCCCCCTTTTACCAGGAGGCCGCACGGAATTAAGGCGAGAAGTGTGTGGGGAGAGAGAGAGTGAAGAGGAGGAGGAGGACCCCCCCACACCCCATCTTCTTCAGCTGCTTCTCTCCTCTCTCTCTGTCAGTGAATTCGGTACCGACTGCAATGCCACGTCCCTCACTCCCTGTGGGAGGCCGTCTCTGTCTGTTCTCCAGGGACCGCTGGTGAGGAGGTGTTTACTGTGTACTGTGTGTATTAGCCTTTATGTTCCTCTGTGTTACTCTCTCACAGTGTTGGTGGGTGGTGTGTGTGTGTGGGGGGGGTGTGGTGTGTGTGGTGTGGGGGGGGGGGGGGGTGATGGGGGTGGGGGGTAGGGGGTGTCAGATTAAATCCAATTTTAAAGGCGAGATTTCTCTTTTATTTAATATGATATAATCTTAACATAAAGAGATATAATATCAATTAATATAATTAGTTATATATTAATGTAAAGATTTCTCTTCTGTTAATGTAATATAATCTTAATATAAAGAGATATAATCTAAATTAATATATTATATATTAATAGAAAGAGAGAGAAGGTGTGGGAATTCCGTGGCCACACCGCTCCCTTCGTTCTTGTGACTTTCTTTCTGTCTCCTGTTTTTTACTGCGTTGCCTCTCAATCAGATTCCAAAATGCCACCAGAAAATATATATATATATATATATATAATAGCTGTGTCTCGTTCCCCTGCCCGGGTTAGCAGCCTTCAAACTAACTCGTGGTGTGTAATGTGTGTGGCAAGAGGCTCACTCTCGCCTCTTGAGTCAGAAGCTTGTGGGGTTCAAGCCCCACATCAGGACTAGGAAGCGCACAGTCTAAGCTGAGACTCCAGTGCGGTGCTGGGGGTGTAATGCATCGTCCGAGACCCCCGTCCTTCAGATGAGACGTTAAAACCCAGGTCCCGTCTTCCGGTTCAGGTGGACGCTCAAGATCGCCTGGCGCTATTCGAAAAGAGAAGGGAATTTCTCTCTCTCTCTCTCCCCTGGTGTCCTGGCCAAGAATCCCCCAATCCCCCAGATAACGTCGGACACTCACTCCACGGCTGTTTGTGGGACGCTGCTGTGCGCGATTGGCCGCCGTGTTTCGCCCGCAAAGTACGCCGCCACTACACTGTACCGTATACCCTGCGCCAGAGGGCAGAGGGTGGGGGTTTGGTTTCATGTAAATTCCTTTGGACTTGGAAAAACAGTATTTGCGTGAATTTTGCATCGTGTGGTCTATCTGCTTCATTGGCCTGATGGGGCCAGCCTAAAACCTATATTATTATTATTATTATAAAACCTATATTGCACATCACTGGCCTCTCTCTCTCGTGCTCAGGTACGTGTACACACACACAACTGGTACAAAACTAGCCAGCGATTTAAACGATAAACAAAAGGCAAAGTACTGCAGATGCTGGAAATCTGAAATAAAAACAAGTTGCTGATCCCCCTCTTTTATATCACGATTGAAGACCTTCCTCTTCGGCCGTACCTGTGGTCACCTCCTCTTATTCGCTGTTCGAAAAGAGAAGGGAGCTTCTCTCTCCCGGTGTTCGGGCCAACAATCCCCAAATAAAATTGATCATTCGCTCCGCAGTTGTTTGTGGGACACTGCTGGACGCTGCCGATTGTTGCCCCAAAATACACAGCGAATCCACTTTGCAGTACATTCGGTGAAGGGCTCCTGAGAAATCAGGCAGCTTTTATGTAGAGAGGAAAATCAGTTTAACCTTTCAGGTCGATGACGTTTTGAAAGGTGTCCCCCTGCCTTGGCTAGCGTTCCCCGATCAGTCACTTGTTCACCTAATTAATGGCTGTTTGTTGGACCTTCCTGATGTAAGAAATAGCTGCCAATAAAGCTACTCATTTTAACAACAAATGCTTGTAAAGACCTGTGATGTTTCGATGTATGTGGCCCTATAAAACTGTGAGCTCGTTCTTTCTGGCAGCCATGTCATATGTGGGAGAGGTTTAAGGCAAACAGTCTGGTTGTTGTTGGCTGTTGCAGTGTGGTTCAGTTTTGCCCGGAAAGCCAGGTCACAGCAACGTTTTATACTGTTTGGAACACCACCAAAAAGGTGTGTCCGGTTTTAACAGTGGTTGTGGCTTAGTATTGGTCTTCGAACCACAAAGGTTTTGATCTTTGAAATGCCTCTGTCTTCGTGGAGTCCTGTAGCTCAGTGGTTAGAGCACTCGCTTTGCAAGTGAGAGACCTGAGTTCAATTCCCGGCAGAGGGCGAAACCTTGGGCAAGTTTCCTTACTCCACACGGAGCCTAATAATAATCCTCCAAAACCAAAAACAATAATAAATTGGTCATTTTCAATCTACGACTGTTTGTGGGGCATTGCTGTGCGCAATTGTCTGCCGCGTTCGCCCACAAATATACAGTCAATTCACTTTACAGTGTGTTCTGTGAAGCGCTTTGGGACGTCCTCCCGACGTGAAAAGCGCTATATCAAATGCAAGGATTATTATTATTATAATATTATACAGAGCTGAAGTAAATGGAGATGGTGAACTCAGTCCACATTGTAACTTGAACCTTCCTGATCCGATTCCCAGCTTGTAACGCGACTTTTCCTTCTGTAGGTACCGTGGATTTACCTTGGTGCTGACCTTTCTGTGTTATACCAGTTACCACTTGTCTCGGAAACCCATCAGCATTGTCAAGGTACATATGTGGGTCAACTGTTTGTGTGTGGGGGGTGGGTAGCAAGTCACTTCTGGGTGGGGAGGGGTGCGGGGGTTGAGATCAAAGGGGGGAGGCGGAGGTGTGAAAGGTTGGGGGGGTGGGTAAAGGGGGATAAAGAGTTTCCAACTGGATAAATCTCAACTCGAATCACTAAGAGTGAGCTTCTGAACTGGGTAAACACCGGTGATAATAAGGTTACAGGGAAAGCGGAATCAACAACACAAATGACATTTATATTGCACCTTTCATGTCGGGAGGATGTCCCAAGGAGTTGGAATTTATCAGAGGCGGAGACGCCGTGGGCCAAATGTACGATCCAGGTGAATGTGAATGGCTCTCTGTCTGCCCTGTGGCCTATTAACCTGGCGTTTCATTTGGTTTTACAGGGGGAACTGCACAAAAATTGCTCGGGAGAGGCCAGGCATGGAAACCACAGCATCTTTGACAATGACACATCGTGCGACTGGCCGCCCTTTGGTGAGAGTCTGAGTGAGCCAGCGTAAAAGCATCAACAGCTTTCATTTACGCAGTGCCCGTTGTGCTGGAAAGCGTTTCGGAGTGCTTAACAGTGACGGAGCCTGATGTTGAGAGGGAGGGAGAGTGTGACTGTAGGTGTGGTTGGTGTGTAAATTTCACTCCCTGCACAGAAGTGAGTGGTGACTCAACAAGGATCTTAGTTTGTCAATAATTAGAGCCACTTTTAGCAAAGTCCGGGTTTGGTAACTATACAGAAACGATACGAGTCGGTAACCGTTGCCGTTTGTTTCAGATAAAGCCAATTACAAGCTGCTGTTCGCTGCCCTGGATAACTCCTTCCTCATCGCCTATGCCATCGCCATGTTCTTCAGGTGAATGTCAGCAACTTGTGACGTCTGCGGGAAACCATTTCAAACCACTGTCCACAGCTCGGTCTCCACTGCCCCCGGCACTTTGGAACTCCCTCCTCATGTCCCTTCACCTTGCACCCTCCTTCCCCCTCTTGTAGATCACGACTGAAGAACCTTCCTCTTCGACCGTGCCTACGGTCACCTCCTCTTATTCGCTATTCGAAAAGAGAAGGGAGTTTCTTTCTCCCGGTGTTCTGGCCAACAATCCCCAAATAACAACAACAACAAGATTCCATTTATTGAGCGCCTTTCACGTCGGGAGGACGTCCCAAGGCGCTAAATAAAATTGGTCACTCACTCCATGACTGTCTGTGGGACACTGCTGGATGCAGCTAGTTGCTGATCTTTGCCCAAAATACACAGTGAATCCACTTTACAGTATACTCTGCGAAGGGCATTGAGACGTCTCGACGACGTGATTAGGCGCTATGTCAATTGCGAGGATTATTATTGTTATGAAGATGATATACCAGATCTGGGACAGTGTAGAGTGAATATTACCTTTTTCTAACATGCGCTGTAGCTGATAGCGCTGAATGGCATAGCAGCTGAACCAATTTTCATCCCCTTCCACCAATAAACCCGGGGGGAGGGGAATCTGGATGCTTGTGAGACACGCCGATCTATTACCACCTGACGTCAGCACCAGTATATTTGCTCTTGACCTCAGCCTCCCACTCTCTCTCTCTCTAGTGGTATGTTTGGTGAGCGACTGCCCCTGAGGTATTACCTGAGTGTGGGGATGCTGCTGAGTGGCCTCTTCACCTCCCTTTTTGGGTTGGGATTTTACTGGAAGATTCACAACATTTGGTTCTTTGTGATTGTGCAGGTCAGTCGCTCGCTCAGGGTGTGTGTGTGTGAGGAATGGGCTGGGAGCAATGTGAGTGAGTGAGACCAGCCTTTCACTTGTTCTCTTTGCCCCCAAACAGGTTGCAAACGGGCTAGTGCAGACGACTGGTTGGCCATCTGTGGTGACTTGCGTTGGGAACTGGTTTGGAAAGGGGAAGTAAGTGCCTCGCTGACTAATACTGCAAACCTCAGTGAACGTGCGGTTTCCTCTGGTTGCCTCGTCTTTCAGCTGAGGCTGAGGCATGTGAGCATGGCAGAGATGATTGGGAGTCACCAGATGAGGCAGAAGTAGCGAGCGTTTCTGCCTCTAATCGCTGTCCGGTGACCTCTTTTCCTCTCCCCCCACCACCATACTGGAAGCTTTAGGTGATTGGGTTTTGGGTGAAGGCAGCACCATGTCCCGGCTGTGACTTGTCCCCGTGAGGACCACTTGGAGTCCCGTAGTGTAGTGGTTAGCGCGCTCGCCTCACAAGTGAGAGGACCTCATCGCTGCTATGTTTCCCCCACGAAATACGGTCAATCTACTTTCCAGTGTATTCCTGTGAAGCGCTTTGAGACATCGCAACGATGTGATAAGGCCTATATCAAACGCAAGGATTATTATTATCATTAATTCCGCACCAACACCCACCACCATTAACCAAACTGTTCAGCAACCATTTTAGACGTTCAGTGAACTCATTACTTTCCTCTTCCCACCGAATACCAGGCGAGGGTTCATCATGGGTGTCTGGAACTCCCACACGTCTGTGGGTAATATCCTGGGGTCTCTGATTGCTGGCGTCTGGGTGTCATCAGCCTGGGGGCTGTCGTTCATAGTGCCTGGAATCATCATCGCCGTCATGGGAATAGTCTGTTTCTTCTTCCTGGTGGAACGTAAGTATCTCGTCAGTTAGTGCGTCTTTGTTTGTCTAGCAGGAAACACATGGGTCATGTACGAGGACGGAGCCATCACTCAATTGGTGACGGGTTGAGCATTGATGATGAGATGCCAGTTCTCTGGATATGTACACAGCGTCTTTCACGTAGGAAGGGCGTACCAGGGCGCTGGACGGTTGAGTGTTGAAATCGAGGGTGGGGTGTGATGGTGGCTGAAAACGCTAGGCTCAAAGACGTGCAAAGGCGCTGTATCAAATGGAAGGAGTATTATTAGTGTTATCATCTGTAACACTGGCGTCAATATAAGATAATTAACAAATGGGGAGATGAGAAGTTTTCTCTCAAGCAGAGTGGTTAGGATAACAAATGCCTAAAACAGCAGTAAACCAGAAGGATTTGGTGGGGGGGGTGGGAAAGAGCAGATACTTGGGACTCAAAGGGTTGCTCTTTAAATAGCCATCACAGACGCGATGGCCCGAACAGCCTCCTTCTGTGCTGTCAATTTCAATAGTTCTCCGGCGGATTCCGGATAACCTGTTGCTGAACGTTTCAAACGTTTTACTTACAGATCCCGAAGATGTGGGGTGCACTCCCCCAGATCACGTAAGTAAAACCCCCGCTTCTCCCCTCAAACACAAACCGGGGCCCGGGCTTCTCCCTCGGCTCTAGACGCTAAGCTCTGTGTGTCATCAGCAGGAACAGCTGGAGCACGAGCCGTTGCTCTGCCAGGAGCTCGAGGAGGAGGAGGGGGATCTCGGCCACCTCACGCCGAGCGGGGAGGCTGTGGGTGGCAGCGCCAGCTCGCACAAGGAGGCGCCCTCTGCCATCAGCTTCCTCGGGGCGCTGAGAATACCCGTGAGTACAGCGTCCCTGGGCACGGTTGTGAGCAGGCTGTGTGTGCTGTGCACTGGTGGCTAACTCGGTGCAATTTCAACCTGAGCGGCCAGGGGGCAGCCCCGAGTGTGTGTCTGTGTGTGGGGTGTGTGTGTGTGTGGTACATGTTAAACGTGGACTTGAATACGCGTGTGTCAATGGGTAACACCGAGGGTCTTTCTAAGCTCTTTCTCCTCCTCCTCCAACCCTCCCCTCCCCTGCTCAGAATAAAGGCGGATTAAGCGATTTTTTTTTTTTTTTTGGGGGTGGTCCTCGTCAAATAATTAACGGCGTGCGGTTTGAGCAGTTACGCAGCTGCTGCCGGTGTGTGATAATTGCAGCCGCCTCTCTCCGGGTGCGTCGTGCGCATCCAGTCATGCGGTGTGTTGCGTGTGTGCCGCGATGCAGCGGTTTGGAGTGCGTGCAGTCACGCAGCTGTGTCTCTGTTGCAGGGAGTGGTGGAGTTTGCGCTGTGCCTGCTGTTTGCCAAGCTGGTCAGCTACACCTTCCTGTTCTGGCTACCGCTCTACCTCTCCCACGTTGGTGAGTAAGCACGGTCCACTACTGCCAGGATTATTATGCTCTTCTTTCAGCAAAGGGAGCACCGAGCATTACCACAGAGACGGTAGCGAAACTCAAACGTAATTAAATATTGCAGAAGTCTAAACAGCTCACGAGTGTGAGAGTTGACGCTAGTTTTTTCTCAACCAGTTTCTGCAAACTCGGTGAAAACGATTGTGCAGTCGCACACCCCAGTGAAGTTCAACCACTGTACGTCGGTTTGCCGAGAGAGAGAGATGTGTGTTTTCCTTCGATGAAAGTAATCGCAGGAAATGTGATTTCACAGCCACGTCGATCTGAACACTGAAACGTGTTTAGTTGGGAGTGTTTTCTCAGTCGTGTATTATTTTAGATGATTATTTCAATTGAATGTTCCAAAAGCCTGGTCATGCGCCTAAATACCTGTGCTCGCATGTCTCTGTGTGTAAATTGGCGGTCCAGCAAAGAGCTCAACAACAACTTTCATTTATATAGCGCCTCGCATGCAAGGTAGAGTCCCAGAGAGCTTAACACAAGCATAATAATAGGACGTCTTCCCGACATGAAAGGCATTAGACAAATGTTATTTGTTGTTGTTGTTGTTGTGGGAGGGGGTGGGGGGTTGTGAGTGGTGATAGATTCCTTTCACTCGCCCCCTCACACCCCCACAATGTTTCCAATGTCACTTTAACTCAAGTGGAACAGAACAGGTCGTGTGACTGAGTGCGTGATTTCCTGACTCTGGTCTAATTGACTTTCACATTGCCTTTTAGGACATTTAGATCCCAAAAACGCCGGTGACATTTCCACACTCTTTGACGTTGGTGGGATTATTGGTATGTTTGATGTTTGAGTGATTTGGGGTGGGGGGGGCGAGGGAGGGCGTGGGGTGGAGGGAAGGGGTGTAGAGTGTGCGATCGCAGTGTACTCATTGCTTACCGTTCCTCATGTCTATGCAGGTGGAATTCTGGCTGGTGTGGTCTCTGATTACACTGGGGGGAGAGCGACAACATGCTACGTTATGCTCATCACAGCAGCTCCGATGGTGAGAACTGGGGGACGAGACGGGAGGGGAAGAAGTGTCCAGATGTATAATACTTGTGTTTGATACAGTGCCTTATCACTTCATTGAGAGATGTCTCAAAGCGCTTCAGGGAATATACTGTCAAGTGAATCGACTGTGTATTTTGTGGGTGAAACGCATCAGCCAATTGAGTATCCCAGAAACTCTTGATCCATTGCGGCGTACTAGGGCAAGTGGTTTGTTCGTTGGACTTACTGTCTCTCTGTTCCAGTGTTGTGTCACCCACACTGGGAGCACTGCTGTAGAGAATGAGAGATACTCGGACTGAAGCTATATCAGAGGTCCTGCCTCTGGGTTTTCCAGTCACTCGAGCTCCCAGAACGACTGTCTGTCGTGATGTATCGTTGACTCACAAACTGTGGGATTGATGTTCTCTTCCCTTATCTTCCAGCTGTTCCTCTATAATTATATTGGACAAAGTGGACTTGCAACGGTGATAGGTAAGTCCCCAAAATGTGATGACTTTGGTCAAATATGGTTCGTTTAGCAAATAGTTTAGTAAAATAGGCCTCGAGGTGTGGAAGGTGAGAATCTGCCTGTTTTCCCTCCGCAGGGATGCTGATCGTCTGTGGTGCCCTAGTGAATGGTCCCTATGCTCTCATCACCACAGCGGTGGCTGCTGATCTGGTAAGAGGCTGGGCTTCACTGTGGATATTGTGTGAGTGGTGGGTGGGGGGAGAGTGGGGAAAAACAGCGCCCAGTCAGACCAGTTACACAGTTAGAGTCATTCCCCCCCATTATTAGTAATAATAATAATAACAATCCTGGCATTTGAAACAGTGACTTATCATGTCGTTGATGTCTCAAACCGTTTCACAGAATATACTGTAAAGCAGATTGTGTGTGTATTTTGTGGGTGAAACGCGGCAGCCAATTGCGCACAGCAGTGTCCCACAAACAGTCGTGGATCAAGTGACCGCATTATTGATGTTACTCCAGTTCCCTCGAGCCTTCTGACTCAGTCGCGTTGTGTTCAAACAAAAATATAAAAAAAACACTAAAAGCATTGTTCATCTTTGGCTGTGAGACAGTGTCTTATCTCTGCTCACTTTGCCCTGACGTGCTGTGCTGTTGGCTGGACACTGAGCAGGTAGCTCGAGAGCATTCAAATTCCCATCATTAGCCTCCCTGAGCGCAATGCAAATTCACTATAACATTGAGGTTAGCGTGATGGCTGAGGCTGGGTGTGGATGAGAGAGAGGGAGAGAGTGGGGTATGTAATAAATAACGAATATAGCTAATAGTGCAGTTACCAGATGCCTAACTTTTGTTGTGTCTGTCTCCAGGGAACCCACAAGTGCCTGAAAGGCAACGCAAAAGCTTTATCCACAGTCACCGCCATCATCGACGGCACCGGCTCCATCGGTGAGTGAGCTCCAATGGCAGGAACTGGAGGGGCTGCCAGCGGGAGAGGGTTTGGGGGGGGATGGGGGGGCCACCGCTCACTCGCACCACCTGACACGAGGCTTCACGGGGGTAATTCCTCAGGGCAGGTTCTGAGATTTTTTGGGGGTTTGTCTGGTTTGAGCTGAGGGTTGACTGTTGTGGCTTTGTGTGTGTTTGACTCTAGGAGCTGCTCTGGGGCCGCTACTTGCCGGCTTCATCACAGACTGGAATAAAGTCTTCTACATGCTGATCACCTCAGACACCCTTGCCTTCCTGGTAAGGTCGTGGTGTCGCTGCGAGCTGGCACTAAGTGTTGATGGATCACCAATGATGGTGGCTTACGATTGCGCTATTTGGAGTCAAAATGGGTGGGAGGTTGCTAACTAAATAGCAAAACTGCATTCCTGCGGGTCTGACTTCTTAGAAAGACATAATAATATAAATGTATTGGGTATTGCCTTCTGTCTGTGATTGGCTCCTCAGCACAGAGATCCAGAGCAGAAATACGCATCCGGGGCACTGCCCTGCATGAGGCGCGCTACATAAATGGAGGTTGTTGTTGCTGCTGTTGATGACTGGTCCCAACTTATCTCTCATCTTCCTCACAGCTGCTGAGCAGACTGGTGTACAAGGAAGTCCGCTGCTGGTGCGGTTACACTGCAAGACAAAGGGGGTAAGTGAGAGGCTCGAGCCACTGGAAGCGCAACTGGTTTCTCACTTTCTCTATTCCGTGGTTAGTGTGGGTGTATAGCTCTCTCTCGCTCTCTCCCCCGGTCCTCTTTAAAAATGCACGTAAAAGAAAACAAATGACATTCACGCGCACGGCCCCTTATCAGGTCGTCGAGACGTCTCTCAGAGCGCTTCACAGAATACACTGTAAAGCGGATTAATTGTATTGTGTGGGCGAAATGCTACAGACAACTGTGCGCAGCAGTGTCCCACAAACAGCCGCGGATTGATCGACCAAATTATTTTTATTTTCTGAGGGATTATTACCCCTGGAAAGCGATCCGCCAATTGACTTAACAAATGGGTTCCTATTTACTGCTGGGTAAGCAGAGGTGTGTGGAGTGAGGAAACTTGCTTATAGTCTTGTTTATTCTGTGTTTTATGGCTGAACGCTTAATTCCCCGTGTTTTCTTGCGAAGGTGTAAAGAGATCTGAACAGGAGCGGAGCATTTAACATGGACCAGAAAGTCGACACGACTGTGTTTTGCTTTGAAGTTCAGCTCCTCCTTGGACAATCCCCGGATCCTCGGAAGGGAGCGGAGTCGAGGGGGTCTTGAATCTGCTGGGGGGGAGGGGGGACCGGGTGACTCAGTTCGGTTTAAAACCTGACTGCCTTTTATGAACTCCAGCCCCTCGCTTTGAATTAGTTTATGTTTTACCAGTGTACAGTGAGACGCATCTCGCTGTGAATTATTGATGAAAGCTCTTTCTGATGTGCAATATCTTTGATCATTTAAAATGGGTGTCAAACTGTATAATTTAAATTGGAGAAACGTGCTCTTAGTTTGGGTGCAATTTTTTTCTGTCGGCTTTACTTCTGAGAGCCGGAGTGGACGGTTTGCCTGCCCTCGGTACCTTGGGGACCAGACAGAACCAGTGTAGCTGTGGGGAGTGAAGCCCCCCCTCCCTCAGGGAATGCATAATCCTGGGAACAGACTGTAATGCGGTTAAAACCACCCAATTGTCTTGAATCTTTTCCAAGCGCACAAACAATCAAAATATAAACTGGTGCGTGAGTGTGTTTATGTATATTGTACATACATCACATGTGCGCACGCATTTATGATACATGTAACACACAAATACACATATATATTCACTCACACAACTATTGTAGCACTAATATTTTTCAAGCCTCTCTAGAGTGCTGTTAGAGTGAATGCCAGCCAGCACTGTTGTCAAGTCTCTTCCCTTCCGGCCTCTCTTCCTGCAGATTGCCGAGGCTGTGGTGGGGTTGTCCTGTCATCGGAATTGGACGAGGTCCAGTGGGTAGAATGGGAACAGAACCAATCTGTGACCAATCAGCTTTCCACCGATCCGCAGCCCAAACTGAGCTGTATCTGCAACCCCCCCCCACCCCCGGCCCGGTGAGGGTACAAGACGGGTTCAGCGTGACTGACCGTGAGTGGGGTACAGGGGGAAATGTACGAAAATGTTGCTGTGCAGAAAGATTTAACCTCTTGTTTTTCCCCCCCACCTCCCCCCCCCAATTGTAATGGTTTTATAAAATACTCAGCACTTGCTTTTAAAAGGTTCTGGTTTCAAGTCCATCTTCCCCCTCCACCCCGTTCCTCCCCAGTCATAGCTTTAAGCTCACAATCCAGGTTGACTGGGGGCAGAGAGCACTTTATTGTCAGATAAAATCAATCACTCACCTCATGACTGTTTGTAGGACGTCGCTGGGGACGAATTGGCTCACCTACAAAAACCCACAATCTCTTTAGACTGTAGGAAGCTTAGCAGCATTCTGAATGAAATGGGTGCGATATACTGTAAGGGTTATTATGATTAATGTTCGGTTTCTTTGGAGTAATGGGTGTTGGGAATGAGTATCAATGTGTATAAAGGTGTGATCTACAGGGTATTCACAAATTCCTGTTTACCCCAATGTGTATTCTACAGTGCGCTCACTGACCAACAAACTGAAACATGTGGAAGAATGATGATAATTGTATTTAGAAGCACTTAATTGTATTCAGTTAAAAATGTCTAACTGTGTTTAGATGTCCAGAGTGAGTGAACGCTCTCATTTTCATGGCAGATAATGATCTGTTGCTATGTCAAGTGTGATATCTTTCGTAACATGCGTGAAGTGAGGAGGAAGTTACTGATATCAGATGTTGTTATAATGGAAAATAATTTTCTGTTTAATTTCCTCGTCCGTAATAGAAAATAAAAATAATTGTAAGAAGAAAAGAAAACGGCGGGTGACAGGACTTTGTGAATACACTGTATATAAATACAATTTGCTGTTGTTGGAAACGGAACCCCAACATTGTTCCTCTGTCTAATGGCCGTTTGGGAGTTCAGCCCTTGTGGAGCTGTTGGTTCCTCTCTTGACGAAGCCTGTGATGCTGTTAATTATTGTGGACGGGAGAATTTGTTTTTAAAATTCATTAAAAACACCTGGAATTGACCCGAGTCTGAGACATTGCCCTGTTTGAAAAGTCGCTGTACAAAAAGTTAATTGCAGTGATAGAAAGTGCTGATTATTGGCAGTTGCCTAATAATAATCCTTGCATTTGATTACGTCTCTGAGGCATCTCAAAGGGCTTCACAGAATATACTGTGAATTAACTATATTTCTTCCTTCCTCCTCCCCACCCCCAGCACTTGCTGTAAATAGCCACTCTCCTCCCTTTGCAAACATTGCAAATTATCCCTCAGTGGCGCCGGGTTTGTTGAGTTAATGCCCGTGCTCTCTTGATAATCACTGACAATAACATCACCCACCCCGTGGGGAATAGTCCTCATTATCCTTGTGGTTTGCAATCAGCTTGCCTAACGACAGCTCTAATTTTGTGATAGGTCTTTAAGAGACGGAGGGGATTGATCTGTGCTCAGGCTGATAGTAATTTTCGCTGCCTGCGTAATCCTTTCAAATTGCTTTCCCACGGCAACGACACCTTGGTAACTGGGATTGGGATTGGCTGAGCGTATTGGTGGACAGTCAGCTCCGAGCCCTGGCTCCTCACCTCTGAGCCATCTGGTCGGCACTGCTCACGCTCACAGGCTTCGCAGTCTTCCCTCCCTCGCTCTCCTACTCCCTCGCTCCCCGATTCCCTCGCTACTCCTGCCCTCTCGTTCCCCCACCTCCCCCCGGCAGACACAAGGACCATGGGCTCAGCCTCCTCTTCCAACCCCCTGAAGGTCATCTACCTGCAGACAGACGGAGACCCCCTCAAGGTAATCCTTGCCTTTGATATCGCGTCGTCGAGACGTCTCAAAGCGTTTCACGGGATATACTCTGAAGTGTAGTGATTGTATTTTGTGGGTGAAACGCGGCAGCCAATTGGGGATCTTTAATGTGCACCTGAACAGGCACAGACGGGGAGCTCGGTTTAACATCTCATCCCAAGGACAGGACCTCCGACAGTGCAACACACTGCTCCTGTATTTGCCTCACAGTCACTACACTCGACGGTAGTCATAACAATCGTTGCATTTGACACAGCACCTTTCACGTTGGGAGGATGTCTCGAAGCGTTTCACAGGATATATTATAGATTGTGGACTGTTTTGTGGGTGAATGTCATCAATGGGTAGACTTTGAGGCACTGTCAGCCTCTGTGTTACTGTTATTTGTCCCGAGGCTGTGTATGAGCTGAGTAACATCCTCTCTGTTTACAGGTGGTGTTTAACACACACTGGAGCTCGAGTGATGTCAGGGAGCTGCTCTGCACCTCGATGGGACTTGGCAGGTCAGTACCGGCCTCAAACCACCCCCAGGGTCAGGGCGGGAGTCTGAGAACCAGGACTTACTCTGTTTATGTTGTTGTGGTGGTTCTTTGTTTGTTAGTTACATTTTATTGAGCACCTCCAGGAGAGGATTCTTTCTTAAAGTCAAAGGTCAGAATTCACTCCTGTCTGTCTCTCTCTCATTTGTTCCCTCATCCTCTTTAGAAACTCTTCCATTTTGCTGCGCGATCGAGACGGGGCCATTGTGGCCATAGACACCGCCTTGCCAGCCAACTCCCCGAGGTACCCAACCCACCCAAACCCCAACCCATAGGCTCGTGTCACACGCAGCTGCATCCTCAATCACCCTCACCTTTATACGTGCGTGGCATGTACAGTATGTGTGTGCATGTGCGTACGTGAGCAGTCTGTATGTATAGCATGTCTGTGTGTGTGTATTTTGCAGATGTGTGAGTGTCTGTGTATATATTGACGTGAGTGCGCATGTGTCCGTATGTAAAGTGTGTGGGTTTGGGTCTGTATGTACAGTGGAGTGTGTGCGTGTGTGTTGTCTCACGCTGTTGCAGAGGTTGACGTTCTCACTATCTCCATGATGATTATCTTGTTTTTCTCTCCCTCGCAGCTCTCCATACAGAGTTGTTCCTCTCGCTGCCAGTCAGCCGACAGGTATGTGTCACGCACACCTCACTGACTGGTGTCTTTTGCTCACTCGCTCGCCCATCCACCCTCCCACCCACTCACAGGTGTTTCTGCAGATTTGTTTTGGATTTACAAGTGAGGGTAAATTCAGAACAAATCTGGGGAATCACTACTTTAGTGGTTAAACCTATGGAACAGATTCCCTCGGGAGACAGATGGTGGAAGCAGAAAGTGTTGATTCTTTCAAAAGCAAATGTGATGGATTTCTGTTAGGAAATAATATCTGGGGATACAGTATATAGTTTGGGACACGACATGTGCAAGCGACTGGCAGGGTGGTGGAAGGCAAACTGGATGGTATTTCCATAAATCAAGAAATAATCAGCAAGAAAAACCTGGAAGCAGACTTGTTCGAACACGGAACTTACTGAGACTCGTGTGAATGTTCGGAGGGCCGGAAATGGCCCGCGGGCCGCAGTTTGGCTGGCGCTGATCTAGGCTGACACAAGTGCAGCGCTGGGGTGGGGGAGCACTGCATTGTCGGAGGTGCCATCAGTCAGTGAGTGAACGACCAGAGATTGTTATTGAGTCTCTGATGTGTTGTAAGCAGCGGGACCGTGACCGTCTGTTTAGGGTGTGAGAGAACTTTCGCCCACAAATATACAGTCAATTCACTTTACAGTCTATTCTGTGAAGCGCTTTGAGACGTCGAGAAGACGTGAAAAGCGCTATATCAAATGCCAGGATTATTATTATAACTTTCATTGAGACGTGATCTCATTCGACGGTATCACTGTTTCCCCACAGAGAAAGAAGAGCTGTTCCAGAACATTCTCTCACAGATGGTGGATCAGTTTTCCAGGTAACGTCTGTTTTATTTAGTTGTCTGCCTGTTTATTAAATCTGAGATTTCACGGATAGAACATTCCAGAAACTCCACGTTCTCATACTGAGGCCTGTACTGAGCGGCCGACTGTTTGTGGGATTTCCTGCTTTCAACGCAGTCTTTCTGCAAAACACAGTCACTACACTTTACAGTGAATCCTGTGAAGCATTTTGAGACATCCTCCTGGTGTGAACGGTGCTGCGTCAAACGCAAGGATTATTATGATGATTATTCCAATTGGCCGCCGTGTTTCACCCACAAAGTATACAGTCAACTCACTGGAAGGTGAATCGTGTGTAGTGCTTTGAGACGTCTCGAAGACGTGATGAGGCGCTGTATCGAATGCCAGGATTATTATTATTCACCAGCTCGCTGTTAACTGTGTTACAGAGCTCTCAAAGTCAGCGACGTGAAATCGGAAGTCTCGGACAGACTGGCGGCGTTGGAAAAGAGAGTGGAAGGTAAGCTCAGCTCTGACCACACACTGAACGCCATGGGGCAGGGAGAGAGCACTCCAGGGTGGGGGGCGAGAGCGAGAGAGTGTGTGCTGGGAACAGTGAATCCTGAGATTTCTGGAATGGCTTGGGGGGCGCGGTGTGTGTGTGTGTGTGTGTGTGCGCGTGGTCCTTGTGTGGGGGGGCATGGTCTCTCTGGGGGTGGTCTCTGGGGACTAATCGCCAGCGAGTGCTCTTCTCTCTTCACTTGTGTTCTCAGAGAAGGAGCTGAAGGGGGTGGAGATCGACAAGTGTAAGAACGAACTGAAAATGCTTCGCGATGAATTGTCTCTGGGACACAGGTGAGCGGTCAGAGGTCAGAGCGCCAAGTAATCCTGGCTGACGGGACGAATGGTCAGACAACAGCAACAACTCAGAGGGGGTAGCGTGACAGAGCGCTGGACAGTGGGGTGGTGGGGGGTGTTTGGTGACCGTAGTTACAGTCGAAGAGGAAGGTAATCAGCCTGACCTGAAGATGAGGAAGAGGAGAGAAGGAGGGAGGGAGTTCCAGAGTTTCGGGGCGTGGTACCTGGAAGTGTGGCCACCGATGGTGGAACGGAGGACACGAGGGATAAGTAGGAGGCTGGAGCTGAGTAGAAAGATGGGTTGGACACCTTCCGCCTCATTTCTTTCCTTCCTCTCCGAGGTCCAGCTGTCCCTGCAAACACCATGAGCCGAAGGAACCAAGGTATCTCAGATCACGGCGAGATATTCCAAGCTATCCCAAGGTAACTTCCTAATAATAACGGGGAGAGGGAGGGGAGAGGAGATAATAATAATAATAATAATCTTTGCATTTGATACAGCGCCTTATCACGTTGTTGAGACATCTCAAGCGCTTCACAGAATATACTGGAAAGTAGATTTTTTTAAAGGGATTATTACCCCCGAAAGCGATCCACCAATCCATTAACAGCTGGGTTCCTACTTACTGCTCGGTAAACAGGCGTGTGGAGTAAGGAAACTTGCCTAAGGTTTTCCCCTGACCCGCCTGGGAATTGAACCCGGGAGGTAGCAATTTACTCGAAGAGTAAATTTATTTACGTTCAGGGTGGGGTGGGAGGGGAATGGGGGCTTGTGTGGCGTATAAACGATGGCACAGACTAGTTGGGTTGACCTGAATGGCCTCTTTCCGTGCTGTGCATTTGGATGGGATTTATTTTTAGATCTGAATAATTGGTGTATAATTGCGGTCATTGGTTGGGAGCTGATCTGAACATCAAGTGAGTTGATTAGATTAATCAGCGCGTGACTCTGGCCCCAGGAGCGCTCACACACACTGGGCTCGGAATAGTCACCTCAACCTGCTCCTTGTCATCAAGAGCAGAGGATCTGACCCCGAGCCTTATCACGACCGTGCCTTAAAGTGCTTCCCTTGGTTTAAAATTGAAAGCTCTTACTTATTCATTTCACGGCTGTTTGCGAGACGTTGCTGGGCATAAATTGGCTGCTGGGTTCATCTACAAAACACCCACTGGTATGTACACACTGTGAAGCGCTTTGAGACGTCCTCCCGACGTGAGTGCTGCTGTATCAAATGCTTGGATTATTAAAGGGGAGGCGGGGGAGGAATGTTAGGTCTTATTTTTTTTAGAAGTGGGGAGACTGGAAGGTGTTGGCGTTCAGAGGGACTTGAGTGTCCTTGTACACCAATCACAGAAAGTTAGTCTGCAGGTGCAGCAGCAATTAGGAAGGCGAACGGTATGTTAGTGTTCATTATGAAAGGATTAGAGTATAAGAGTAGGGAAGTCTTACTGCAACTGTATAGGGCCCTGTGAGACCACACCTGGAATACTGCGTCCAGTTTTGGTTGTCTCATTTAAGGAAGGATGTACTTGCCGTGGAGGGGGTGCAGTGTAGATTTACTCGGTTAGTACCAGGGATGAAGGGGTTGAGTTACGAGGATAGGATGACCAATTTGGACCTATATTCTCTAGAATATAGAAGAATTAGAGGGGATCTTATAGAAACTTATCAGATCATCAAAGGGCAATGATAGAGTAGATAGTGGGAGATTTTTTTCCGTTTGGAGAAACTAAAACCAGGGGTCACAACCTTAAAATCAGAGGCAGCCCTTTCACACTGAGTTGAGGAAGAACTTCTTCACTCAAAGGGCAGTGAATGTATGGAACTCACTACCCTAAAGGGCTGTTGACGCTCAGTCCTTGAACATATTCAAAACTGAGAGAGATAGATTTCTCATTGCAAAAGGGATTAAGGGATATGGGGATAAGGCTGGGGGTTGGGGGGGGATATGGGGATAAGGCTGGGGTTGGGGTGGGATATAGGGATAAGACTGGGGGTTGGGGTGGGGGGGGATATGGGGATAAGACTGGGGGTTGGGGGGGGATATGGGGATAAGGCAGGGGTCAGGTTATTAGCTGGTGTTAGAAAATCAGCCATGATTGAATGGCGGGGCAGGCTCGAAGGGCCGAATGGCCTCCTCCTGCTCCTACATGTTATGTTATGAATTAAACCAGAGAAGATGGTTGTCAACCCAATAACTGGACATGTTCTTTGCTGACAGTACACGCTCTCCCAGGAGACCATCAGGGCATTGAAGAGACCGAGCTTTGACATTTGGCATTGGGAATACAATGAGGTAAAGTCCTATGCACTGGAGCTCTCTACTCTAATCCCATTCCCCTGCTCTCCCCACACCCCCCGCCCCCACATCGTGTCTGTGCTGGTGCTTGGTCCCTCTCCCTCAACCCCCCACTACAGAAAACAGTCACTACATCTGACAGTAATGAGTGTGTCTTGCTCAGTGCTGATGCCCCTGTGCTTTGTGTCTCTGGCAGATGCTGAGCTGTCTGGAATACATGTACCACGACCTGGGGTTGGTGCAGGACCTGAACATGAACCCGGTCACCCTGAAACACTGGCTGGTGAGTTCTCCGTACAGGGGAGAGCGCAGACGTCTTGCTGGTCTGGGGCCTCGCTGAGCACGGGGTGGTGTGGGGGTGGTGGAGGGGGGAGAGGGGGAGAGATAACGGCAAGAGCCTTGAGACCTAGGATTTTATCTTGTTTTCCGGCTCATTCCCAATCCGGAATTCCTGACGCAGAGAAATCTGTTGCGTTCTTCCCAGCTCAGCATCCAGGAGAATTACCGGAATAATCCATTCCACAATTTCCGACACTGTTTCTCCGTGGCCCAGATGATGTACGGAATGATCCACCTGTGCAGCCTGCAGGTGAGAGCGATGCTGAGCCAGGTTCGGCCCGGTCCGGCCTGCTCCATTTACACTGTGGGGGTGGGGGGGTGTGAGACGGAGTGTCTGATTTTCTCTCTGATGTTAAATCTCCAACCAGGAGAAAATGTCCCTACCGGACCTGAGCATCTTAATGACAGCAGCGATCTGCCATGACCTGGACCATCCCGGCTACAACAACGCGTGAGTGGTGGGTTGGGAGGCTGGGGGAGGTGGGGGCCTGGGCGGGGTGGGAGGCTGGGGAGGTGGGGGCCTGGGCGGGGTGGGAGGCTGGGGGAGGTGGGGGCCTGGGCGGGGTGGGAGGCTGGGGGAGGTGGGGGCCTGGGGGTGTGTGTGGCAACGTTTCGGGGAGACTGTGACAATGTCGGACGGACGTACAGAACATAGGACCAGGAGTAGGGGCATTCAGCCCCTCAAGCCGGGTCCGCCATTCGCAGGTGGGGGGTAATTGGGGTCGAGGTCAGCCACGATCTCTCGTAGAACGATGGAACAGGCTGGAGGGGCTTATCGTGACAGAGACGGAGCCTGAGCAGAGGGGGGAAACGTTCGGTCGGGATGGGGAAGGCGGGTGAGGGTTTTGCAAGGGATCGGTTGGTTGGTTGGACTCTGGTTGGTGAGACGGACGTTCTCTTTCTCTCTCTCTCACTCTGTGTGTGTGTGTGTGTGTGTGTGTGTGTGTGTGTGTCTCTCTCTCTATCTCTCTTTCCCCTCTCAGTTACCAAATAAATGCCCACACCGAGCTGGCCGTACGCTACAACGACATCTGTCCCCTGGAGAACCATCACTGCGCTGTGGCGTTCCACATCCTCTCCCAGCCTGAGTGCAACATCTTCACCAACGTGGACCCTGAGACCTTCAAACGCATCCGGCAGGTCAGCGGCCACCACTCAACCCACACGCACCCCTCTCTCCCCCAGACTTAGGTCAAGGTCATCTCCAGCCCTCTTCCCCTCCTGGTTCGGGGTCAGACTCCACCACTGTCAAGCGCTCCAGAACGCTACCCCCTGTCGAGGGCGCTATATAAATGCGAGTTATTGTTGTTGTTGTTGTCGAAGGGGATCATTACGCTGATCCTGGGGACGGACATGGCTCGGCACGCTGAGATCCTGGCCTCCTTCCAACAGATGGTCAACAGCTTCGACTTCACCAACGAGGAGCACAAGATGTGTGTAAGTAACTCCCTCCGGCTCACTGACCCCCCTCCCCCCCCACCTCAGCAACATGGCCCGGCTCCGCTTGTCTCGCCCCCCACCCACCCCCCCAGCTCGCCGAGATCCTCATCCAGGCTTGACTTCGCCATCTCCCCGCTTGGCGGGTTGTCTCGCTCTTTTCCTTCTCCCTTCGCAGCTGAAGATGGTGCTGATCAAATGCTGTGACATTTCCAACGAGGTGCGGCCTAGTGAGGTGGCAGATCCCTGGCTGGACTGTCTGCTCGAGGAGTATTTCATCCAGGTAAGAGGTGCCGAGAAGGCGACGGGAATATTACGTCTCGTCAGCGATTCATTGCAAATCGGTCTTTGTTGGGAACTGAGCCAAGCTGGTCCTGGGCAAGGCTGCTCTTAAAAATTAATTAATATGATAATTAATATATATTTCACATTGGGAGCACGTTTCAAAGCGCTTCACAGGATTCACAGTAAAGTGTAACGACTGTGTGTGTTGTGGGCGAATCGCGGCAGCCAATTGCGCACAGCAGCATCTCCACAAAACAGTCGTGGATTGAGGGATGAAATAATATTTTTCAAGGGATTATTACCCCCAGAAAGCGATCTGCCAATCGACCAACAACCGGGTTCCTAGTTACTACTCGGTTAACCGAGGCGGGTGGAGTAAGGAAACTTGCCTAAGGTTTTGTCCTTCCCGGGAATCGAACCCGGGTCCTCTCGCTTGCGGGCGAGTGCTCTAACCACTGAGCTGCAGGCCTCACTGTACTAATGTCTTCGCAGAGTGACAGGGAGAAATCCGAAGGGCTGCCCGTGGCCCCGTTCATGGACCGGGAGAAAGTGACCAAACCCACGGCCCAGATCGGGTTCATCAAGTTCGTCCTCATCCCCACCTTCGAGACCCTGATGAAGGTAACAACAGCTCACATTTTTATAGCCACCTTCAGGTGGGGCAGAGTCCCTGGAACACTTTCGTTGAGGGTTAAAGCCTGTGTTTCCGAAACGCTGTCCTCGAGCTGAGGCTTTTCTGGAAATGCCTCTCATCGAGAGATCAGTTCCCTCACACGTGGTCACACGTGGTTACTTGTGGCCCAATGCAGCCCGTGTGAAATGACACCCTGATTCAGTCTCTCTGAAGCTTGTGCGTCTATTACACTGGCTCAGAGAGGAGTCCTGTTGACATCCCCGGCCTGTATCGTACCGACAGAGCGCTGAAACTGTACTGGGCCGAGCACTGACTGTTGGCGTGTGTTTGGCCTGTGTTGGCAGCTCTTTCCCCAGATTGAGGAAGTGATGGTGCAGCCCCTCAGAGCCTCCCGGGATCGCTATGAGGAGCTGAAGCAGTTGGAAGACGCCAGGACTGAGGTTTGTGTAACAAAGACCCCCTTGTCGGTGTTGACCTCCGCGCACAGGTTTCGGGAACAACATCAAACAACAACAACAAAATTACATCTCTAGAGCGCCTTTCACGTCGGGAGGACGAACCAAAGCGCTGAACAGTCAGGGGTCGGGACCCGAGCGTGGAGGAGGGGTGGTGTAGGGGGGAGGGAAGGCAGAGAGGTGGGAGGGCGACCTGGGAAGCTGAGCCTGGAGGCTTGTCGACCAGGACACCGGGAGAGAGAGAGAAATTCCCTTCTCTTTTCCAATAGCGCCACGGGATCCGTAACATCCCCCTGAACAGGCGACGGGACCTCGGATTAACGTCTCATCCAAAGGACGGAATTTGCATTTATCTAGTGTCTCTTCAAATCAAACATCAAATGCAGGAATTAGTATTATTATTATTATCTTTACTGATTATTTTCTGTGTTCAATAGAATAATTAATCGGCCCACAAAACACACAGGGCACTTTACCAAATGTCCTGTGAAGTGCTTTGGGACGTCCTCCCACTAAATGTAAGGATTATTATCGATAATAGTGTTTGACTTTCATTTCTTGTGGTTTAGAAGCTGAGGAAGAAAACCACAGGAAGCATAGCTGTGGGCAGCCAACGGCAATAACAGCTCCGGGTACCACCTCACCACGGAGTGGTGCTCCGAGACCCTATCCTGAGGGGAATGGCGCTGTGTGAACGCAAGCTGTTGCTGTTGTTGTGAAACCAACTAATTGAGTGTCACCCTCTCACCTCCGAGTCGACATGCGAGACCTCTCATCGCTCCAGTGCAGCGCTGGGGGGAGAGAGCGCTCCACTGTGTGAGGTGCCGGCCTTCGGATGAGACGTTGAACCAAGTTCCTGTCGGTGTCCTATTCAGGTGGGAGTCTAAAGATCAATCAGCGCTGTTTGAAAAGAGAAGCGAGTTTCTCTCTCCCTTCTCGTGTCCTGGCCGACAATTCCCCCCCATCTCACACCAGATAAAATCAGTCAACAGCAGCAAATGACATTTACACAGCGCCTTTCATGTCGGGAGGACTTCACAAGATGCCGATCCGTCAGGGATTTGGACCCGAGCTGGGGTTTGGGATCAGGGTTTTTTTCTCTCTCTCCCCTGGTGACACCTGAACGTAAAGCCCCTGCAAACCACCGATAAATCGTGCCTTATTTATTGGGTGATTCTCGTACAGAGAAAACCATGAATAAAGTTGAGACATTTGCAAATTGATTGAATTCAATTGTGGTTATTTGAGTGAGCGATGTCTCCCAAGTTCTATTTCCCAGATAGATTGAACCCTTTGCCCCCCCAGGCTCTCCCCCATCATATTCTCAATCACTGGGGGCAGGGAATTCTCCCACTCAGCTCCTGTTAACCCTGCAGCCAAAGCCCTCATGGGTAGGGTGGTCCTAACTCGCTTTGTAAGTGAGAGACCTGAGTTCAATTCCAGGCAGAGGGCGAAACCTTGGGCAAGTTTCCTTACTCCACACAGAGCCTAATAATAATCCTCCAAAACCAAAACAATAATAAATTGGTCATTTTCAATCCACGACTGTTTGTGGGACATTGCTGTGCGCAATTGACTGCCGCGTTCGCCCACAAATATGCAGTCAATTCACTTTACAGTGTGTTCTGTGAAGCGCTTTGGGACGTCCTCCCGACGTGAAAAGCGCTATATCAAATGCAAGGATTATTATTATTATTATTAACTGGACTAGCCACGGGAAAGCTTGCCAGACAGTGCTCTCAATGGCCAGCTATGGGGCTTTAGCTGGTTAGACTCCAGCAGTTACCTCACTTCCACCCCTTATAATAGTATCTTTTCCTCCAGTATTTATCCACCCAAACGTCAGGGAAACAAACCCAATTTGAGAATCTGTGGAGTGCGGAAAACTACTGGACGTGAATTAAGAACACTTTTGGTCTCGGATTCTCTTCCCGACTTTTTTTTGCGGTAAGTTCCTGGGGGGGGTGTGGTTGGAGCTGGCCGTGCGAGACACCATAAAATGGCACATTCATCCCTGAGATTCCTGCCTGTTGCCATGGAATTGGGAGAGGGAAAAGCAACGCTGTAACCTAGCGACGGGCAAAAATTCCGACTTGCTGTAAAATAATATTCCTATAAATAACAATCCTTGCATTTGATACAGAGTGTTATGATGTCGTTGAGACGTCTCAAAGCGCTTCACACGATATATATATATATATCCACAGCTGTTTGTGGGGGACGCCGCTGCTGTGCACAATTGGCTGCCGTGTTTGCGCACAAAATACGCAGTCAATTCACTTTACAATATAACCTGTGAAGCGCTTTGAGAAGTCTCAATGATAAGGCGCTGTATCAAAGACCAGGGTTATTATTATTATTACTTTGCATGTTAATGAGGAGTGTATTTTGCCCGGAAGCAAAGCTGTTGGAGTGGAGACGGGGTTCCTGGAGTTCTGCTCATTACGAGGGTATAATTTTGTGAACATTTTAGATTGATAGAAATTATAGCACAGAAGGGGGTCTGATCAGCCCATTGAGCTGCCTCATGCCTGCACCATCACCAGAGATAGCTTCCGTGTCCCCGCAGTCCCCTGTTCCTTCCCAGTAGATTTCAGTAATAACATTAATAAAAATCCTTACATCTGACAAGAGGATGCCTCAAAGCCCTTCACAGGATTTACTGTAAAGTGTAGTGACTCTGTATTTTATAGCGAGCGCAACGGCCCATTTGAGCACAGTGACGATAACAGGTGTGTGTGTGTGTGTGTGTGTGTGTCTATAGCTCTCTAATGGTCTGTTTAAGTGCGTGCTTGCAATGTGTGTGTGCGTGTGCAATGCAGGCATGTGTATGTGCATGTATTGTAAATGTGAGGTGCGAGGTGGATTTAAAATACCATCAGTGTTTGCCCGTGACTCTAACCAGAGTCTAGTTTGCAATTACTCTGATTTGAGCATTTAAATTAGCATAAAAATCCCTTTCAGCATAATGAACATATCCCTACAAGGGTCATTAAACCAGGATGGACAATTATCCGAGTTTAGAGAGAATCTCTGTATGGTAACCAAGCTAATTTTCCATATGTAAATGACACAATTAGTGCGTTCTGCTGCTTCGCTCCAGCAATTTAACCTGGTATATGTGGGAAATTCCCAGCTGTGAGTTTGAGTCACTTATAACTCCGTGGCTCAGTGGCAAAAGGCCCCGCACACAGATTGCAAGGTCGCACGTTCGAAACTCCTCTCTCTCTCTCTCTCTGTTGTCAGCTGAGCTCAGCCGGGACATTGCTCAGTACAAAACAACAAAAAAAAAAGTGGTCACTCAATCCACCGCTGTTTGTGGGACGCTGCTGTGCGCAATTAGCCGCTGCATTTCTCCCACAAAATACGCAGTCACTCGACGTCTTTGAGACGTCTCAACGATGTGGTAAGGCGCTAAAGTGATGGGAGTCGGCAGGGGAGGGGGAGGCGGTGGTCTTGAACCCACAATCTTCTGTATCAGAGTTGAGCTGAGGGAGGGAGGGAGGGAGGGAGGAAGAGTCCTGGAAAGTGTCGGACTGCCAATCCTTTCCGTAACTCGTGGGGAAGAGAGTAAATGAA